CGAGAGATGCCGAACCGCCCCCTCCTCGTTCCGAAGGGTGAGAGCCCCGAGGACGACACCGGAGCGCCCAAGGCCAGCCAGGCAAGGTGATTAGATTAGTCAATCAAGTTGGCTTGGTTTCTACGACCTATTTGGACAAGATCAGGTGCGTTTTAGTGAAGGAGCTTCCTAGTGCACACTATCATCATCTCCCGCTCCTGTTTATTTTGCCTTTGTCCTCTTCCTCCGTTCTAGCGGATCTACCTCCACGGGTCAAAAAGCTTCTGGAGATGGGGTGTCCAACCTTCCCACTAGTTCCCCAGCGTTTGAGAAAACAGTACTAGGGCCAGACATCAATGTGTGTGGTGGGGTGGCTGGATGGGGATGGGGATGGGGATGGGGCTCGGGCACGGCAACTCCATTGAGTCATCCCCTCCGCCGATGGCCTTGACCCCGTTCAATCGAGCTTTGCCTGTCTTGGACCCCCAACACCTCACCTAGGTTACCCATTATAGGAAGGTGCTGCACAAATGGAGAGCTGTTTAGACCTGTCCGGTGCCGTATCGTTCTGTAATCAATCGAGCCCCAAGCTGGCGGCGGGGTGGACGAGAAGCCGAAAGTCTCCGAGCCATCTCGTCCTGCGAGTTGGGAAGAGAAGTCTAAAGTTTTCATCTGGTGGGGTGACGACCACGGCGGAGAGGAAGCGAGTTCGTTGCCAATAAACTGTTCCGTGAGAGGAAAATCGTCAAATTGGCAAACAGTTGAAGAGAGAGAGGCCCAGTCCCTTGGTATAGCTGAGGTTAATTGGACCGGCGACTACCCGAGTCTGCTCACGAAGAGTCCTTAAATGCATGATCTTACCCTGTCGTCTCATCCATGGAGAGAGGGCCCTTAGATCCCAGGGCCCTGTTTGCACCCCTCTTAGAAACCCGCGATGGCCAAATTCACATGTCAGTCCTACAAGGTTGAAAAGAGTCCAGTCTGTTGTGGACGGGTTGATTGCGCTATCCCCCCACCCCGTGTGCTCCATGCCCCCGCCATCAGCGTCTTAACCCACGATGGGGGTCGACACGAGGAAGAGTTTTTCATCGTCAATAGCACTCGATTTAATTATTCCGAGATAAAGCCCAAAAGACCTACAATAGCTGGTAGCGTCTCCAACTGTAGCCCTATGAATACGACGTGTTGTGGAGAGCTTGACGGGTCTGGTGGTTCAATATCTACACCCCCTCCCCACTCTTTTTTTCTTCTTTTTTTCATTCTTTTTCCTGCTTTCAATTTCTTTTCCTCTTTTTTCTTCTTTTCTTTTCAAACCTCTTCCCCAGGATACGCCCCTCGGCTTCAACGTTGTCATTGCCTACAAGTAGACAGCAAGAGGACTGAAAAAGTAGGACGATATACCCTTCACGAAGCAGGCCACCTTGAACTCGGGTATTAGTGTGTACTGTAGGCTTTCATCACCTTCTGACGTGATGAACAAAAGGGGGTGGTTTTCCCCTTCTGAGGTACTTTGCGGGTGACGCAGGAACACGGGGGCTGAGGCATTGCTCGCCTCGACAAGACATCGCTGAGTGGCAATTTGGCGGAAAAGCTCAACTCCGGTGGAATAATGGGTGTGCAAATCCCGGGAAAATATCCACGCGAAACTTGAAGGCACTAGACCAACCAAACACACGCCAAACCAGACTCTCAAGGTTCCCTTCACCGAACCCACATTTAAAGTCAAAATGGAGGTGAAGTCGTCATCCCTAGACTTGTTCTTGGTTCTGCCTCTCCCAGCTTAGAACCTTTTCTTTCTTCCCTCCCCCTCGTTTCTCTTGCCTGGCGTCCATTTTGTACTTCCCCGGCGAACTCTTTCCCGCCGATGTAGGTGGATGACTTTTGGGGGCCTAATGGGGCACCCGGCCCGTTTCGGAGCATGAATGGATTAGATCCATCTTGACTCAACCTGGTGGGTGGATGGGTGAAGTGGGGAGAGGGAGAAAAAATTCTACTGTGACTTCCTTCGCTTCTAGCTCGTGCGCTTCTCTCACCGACCTTTCCTTATCAAGTTGGAGAGACCAAACCGGCTCTTCGCTGTTCAATGTTGTGAGTGGAGCGGGAGTTTGACCCCAAATCACAACATCTTTGACGCAATTTCGGACCCTGCGCCTTGGGCCTCCACCATCCCGCGTTCCGACTTTTTGCCTCTTGCTCTCTCTCCATTTTTCCTCTTCTTTTTTCTCACGGTTTGGGGGTGGGGCATGTGGATGGAGTAATCGGACTCCTTCTCCAACAGAGAACCACCTGTCGCGTACATCTAGTAAGCAACCACCTGGATGGGGCCGGACAGTCAGCCTGCCACAAGCGCCCAATCGCCACCTTAAGACCGTCGGCATGCTGATGTTGTTGGAGGGGCGGCTTCTATTGATTCTCTTGGTGCATCGGCTGTGATGTTCTCACGAATATCCAACCTCTGTAGCAAAGGGAAAAGACCTTGTCCAATCCTTCATGCCAAGAGCCTAGTTATCGCGAGCAACTATGGATTTCTAAGGGACGCACTTGCGCTCCCTCTCGCGGTTGATCCACCTTATGCGGCTAACATGGCTGTCTTGATACTGACAGAATCGTGATCGGTCGAATGTGTGCTTGTCTTTTATCTATCTATCACGCCTCCCAATTGATCCCTTAGTTGGCGAACGCTCTCCAGAATGGCCCCTAAAGCAATCAAATACTAGCTAGCCATGGCTCGATGCCAAATCACTCAATCCCTCAGGCGTTTGTGATACTTGGTTGTGGAGAATTTTCAGCTCTCCATTCTTACCACTATTGATGCAAGGGGTCATTTCGTCTTCTCCTCACGAGCTCTCCACCTCTCCTCACTGCCTATTCTCTTTATCACCTGTTCTCCATCTTCTCCCCAAGCGGTTTTCTCCCTTTTCCTTTTCCTTTTCCTTTTTTTCCTTTTCTTTTTCGGGGTATGATGCCCCCGCAACGTACCATTGATAACCTCGGTAGTCTCCAAGCCTTCTCCATCCGGTATTTAGTGGAGAAGCAAAGCTTTGTCGACGGCCACGGACTGGCAATACACACCTGAACCAAAGGTTGTAGAAACGAGGCCAGGATGTCTGTGGAATACCACTTGGCATGTCATTGATGTTCTTTTGCTAAAGCTGGGATCTGGTGATCCCACCAAACCCTGACTAAATTTCCTTGGGAATACAGAATGACTGTTGGATGCGACAGGCAGAACACTTATGACACAGTGATATAGCTCTGTTCAGCTGGGTTGTATATGGTGAAATCAGTTCAATACAGGCCTGGAGACTAGGGATAGCGGTCGGTCTGCAATGATGCGACGCGCAAGCGAGGGAGAGGCTATAGGTGTCGCTTCTCTTGTCCGACCTCCGTGGGCGGCAACAGGCGTATCCCAAACCATATACTCCCTGCACCCAAGAGGACGAGGCTCATTTGCGTTACTTGGCGTGCGACAATGCCGGCCGTCTAGGGTTTCATCTCGAACCTCGCAGTAAAAACAAAAAAGATCGCCTGCATGAAGCCGTGGGGTCTTGGGCGAGGCGGGCGGCCCATCTCTTCGACTTTATCAGTCTCGAGCTAAACATGCCTGGCATGTTCTGGGAGTTTGGGGATGCCTCTACCCCCTTGGCTTGCGTGCTGGTTCGGCCTTGGGTTACACCGCTGTCTTAGCACCGGCTCTCCCCAGCACAAGCCCCCGTCGTTTGCGGGTAGTCTTCGTATGAAAAGGGGTGAAGTGGGAGGCGAGCGAGTCTCATCAATTCACGGACTCGTTCGGGTTGCTGCATGCAGCTCCATGTCTACGCCCTGCCCTTCTTTTCCCCTCGCCCCAGCTTGGTTCCGAACATCTGGTCACGAGGGGCATCACGAAGAGGGGGCAGAGGGGAATTGGGTGTGGCCTGGTAGCCTTCGTATCGCTTAAGAGGCCTTCTGCCCAAGGCAGATAGTGAACTGCGCGCTGCAGGTGCTAAACACATACTTGGTGAACGCTCTCCTACATCTGCATGCATTCGTACCGTCAGCCTCGTCAGAGGCCACGGGCTTCTGCAGATCCCGCCGCCCGGCCACGGCTTCCAGAAGGCGTCTACGCGAAAGGAGAAAGGGGAGCTAGTATGATTTCCCTCGGCCAATTTTGGAGCCGGCATGTTGGGTTCTTGGAAGTGAATACGGGAACAGGTCACAGCGTGCTGCAGGGCCACGGCCAGTTCAGGACCAGATGAAACTAGGTTCTTTTAGAAGTAGATTGATGCCCCAGTGTGCGAGACTCTTCATAGGGAACAAAAGGGGGCGTTGCCGAGCTGGATTCCAGGTTGGAGAGACCAGGTTTTACAACGACATTCGGGTTTTCGTTCTTCGTCTCTGTCCCCCGCCGTTCCCCCATCTTCCTCTTTCCGAATTTCTTCTCCTGTTTGGGGACCAAAAGTATGGACATGGCGTCTGGAAAGACTGCACGGCTTGGCCAATGATGCGTGGCCGGGGAGGCGAGAGGCATGGTGATGAGACAGGGTGAAGAGTATCAGCGAGGAACGTGCCTCAGAAGGACGGTGGGATGGACCAGAACCACCCAATCGGAAATCTACCATGTGGGACTGGAGAGCATTTGACGAAGGGTTCAATCCCGATGTTCTCAGGAGTAGTCTACACCCAGCCACTTACCGTCGATCTTGGGGTGATTCATCAGAAACGCGCTACGACGGTAACCTAGAGGGAGTGAGTGGGAGGTTCCTCCCTCCCCCAAGCTTGCAAGCTCGGGATGGTTCAAGGTCACCTCAAGCAGCTGGCCGGAACGTTGAACCAGGGCACGCGGCTCGGACGGTATCAAGACATCACGTGACATGCAACCTCACGGCACGGGGCTGCATCATCTCACCCGTCGACTCCGTTCCTCAGGACCTGAGTCGAACCTTCCCGCCCGTGTCCAGTGATTTTCTGGTTGTTTGGTCCCAAGGAGGGAGGTTCCTGCGTCAAATTAATGTTCGCTGCCGCCGCTCATACCCCTTCGGCTCATGAGCAGCTTTAAGAGTAAAACATCGATGCTACATTCCTGGTAACTCGAACCGGTCTTAAGGAGGGGAGGATTTACTCAAGCAAACGGAAACCACAGAGGGACCGGCCGCCCAAAAGAAAAAGAGGACAAGAAGCAAGAAAAGGGGTGAAAAGAGAAACAATTGATTTATTACGGGATGGATCTGTATTACTCCATCCATGGGCGCGATGTATCGACGTTTGACATTCAAGACACCCGTTCGCATGCTCCTCCCTCCCCACCCTCGCTCTCTTTCCCCAAACCCAACACCGCATTTCTGCATGGGACGAAGGGGGCTTAGAACTATTTTGCTGATGTGTGTTCGCGACTTACCATCTAGATCGCCTGCCAGCCGTGTCGGCTGCACAGGCGCTTGACGATCTGAACGATGATCCCTCACAATTCGTGTCAACAGGCCTCGGAAGCCTTGACCGGGCGCTGACAGCCACGCCAGAAAGTCTCCGAGATCAGCAACAGGATGGCAGCGGCGACCGTGCCGAAAACCATGTTGGTAACGGCAGCGGGCCTCCTGGTGCCCCGTCCGGCCTTTGTCGGGGCCAAGTAACCGAGATTTGGGGTCCTCCCGGCGTAGGGAAGACAGCGATGGGGTGAGTAGGCGAGTCTCGGATTCCCTCCACTTCTCCCCTTGCCTTGCTTCCCTCTCTCCCAGCTCCCGATGGCTCCGCGCACGCGCCTGTTGGTCTAAACATTCTTCGCATCCTTTTATTTTTATGAAGCCCCAGTGCTACCCGCCACCCCACTCAACATCCCATTATCCCCCTCTTCTTACCTCTCGCTTCCGTCTCATCGACGCCATTCCCTGGTCTACTTTCACGTCCATCTATCGAGAATTTCTCAACTGAACAAGATCTTCCGTAGGATTCAAATTGCCGCTTCTGCCTTGTCCGATGGCCGGGGTGTGGTGTGGGTAGGTAGGTAATTCCAACCCCGTAACGTCTTTCCTTACATTGGATGGGGCCACCTTATCCTCGTCCCATTTCTAGAGGAAGAGGGTCTGTCACAAAATCGGGCGTGTGGCGCGCCCGGCCGAAGCCGACCTAGTCGGGTCACTACCCACGGCCGGCCCAAATGCTCTCCTTGAGCTCTGCAGTCTTTTCCCAGACGTTCTTGTTTCTCACCATCCCTGATTCCTCTGTAGATTGTACATACCCCCTTTGCGGACAGCGTTTTGCCCATGTCGTTGAAGCTGCGCGCATAAAGGGCAGGCCGGAACAGATTTTAGGCAGGGGTGCTTCAGATGGACAAAGAAGGCAGCAGTCTGGACTCGAACGGGAAGAAGAAGAACATGCTGACGGCGATGAGGATGGCGCCCCCGGCGAAAAGGCGGAGCATGAAACCGATACCGAAGCCAACGCATTCGTTCACTACACATGTACGAGCTTGGCACATTTCATTGCGCTGCTATGTAGGCCCGTTGCACATAGTATCCCTTCTACCACCGCCGTGGTTGTAGTGGATTCACTATCAGCGCTCCTAAACGAAGCTTTTCCCAAGGCTCCGGATGGCCGGAATCTCAAATCTAGCAAAGGTAAGAGACGTGGTCTCGTATGACGTTGGCCCCTCCTGCCCCCGATTTCTTGGTGATCTTCCTAACTCCATCTATTGGCGGCGTCTTATATTCTCTCTTGAGTGATTAGAGAGTTCGAAGTCCTTATATATGATGAACGCATCATTCGGCTAACATCAGAGGATGTAGCTTCGGGGCTTTCTACGAGGCGGCTACAAACAGTCCAATACGTGATTGGTGCTCTGCAAAAGCTGGCGGCCACGCGTAATTGCGCCGTCGTCTTGCTATCGCAGTGTGTAACCAAGATGCAGTCTCAGAATCGAGGAGCAGCCTTGATGCCGAGCATTAGTGCCGGTGTCTGGGAACAGGGCCTCACTACTAGGATTGCCCTGTTTCGTGACTGGATGTGGAAGGACGGGATACCCATAGATACACGCTTTGTGGGGATTCAAAGGCTGGCTGGTAAGGCTATACCCGGTAGCGGCATCCAAAAGGTGGCCGCGTTTAGAGTGGAATCGGTACGTGACCAAGATGCATCGCTGCATCTCCAGTCCCCCGCTCCGTCTTGGTCTGTTTTCTCTAGCGTGATAAGACCCGGGCTCATGTTCACCAATCTCCCCAACTAACGCGCGAGAATGAAAAAGTTTGGACTGGCCGAGGTTGAGTTTGACGAGGCTGAACAACAGCGCGAGCAGCTCCGAGCCGGCAATGGCAGGTCTCAGACAAAGCGCAAGCTCGGAGTTACGAGGCAGGAAGTGCCCGACAGTGACGAAGAGTACGGCTGGGACTCGGATGACAACGCTCACCTACCACCGGAGCCTCCACAATGGCAGGGGAGTGAAGACCTCATCATCGGTACACAGCGGAGCCTAGACGGGGAGGAAACCGAGGGGGATGGTGACGCCGAGTTGGAGACCGATGAAGGACCCGAGGATGGACAGGCGACTACCGAGAAGCGCGGGTACTCGGGGGTCTCGCGCTAGGCAGAGTATCAATCACGGCAGCTATGCAAGTGTTCCTTGGGCACAGGTTGTAAGGCCGGCCCCCTTGGCCCTTGGGGCTTTCATTGACCACTCAATTGTGGATCTTTTTGCACCCTTTTCCCTCCCCTAGTCCTGTTCCTACTTGTAGAGGAAGAACGCAGAGACAAGTCCCTATCCCAGCAAGAAGAAGAGAGAGGGAGAAGAAGAAAAAAAAAGAAAGAAAAGAAAGACACCAAGCCCTTTCTCGCCGTATTTCCCTTTGAGTGGGGAGGGAGTGAGCCGAGGAGAGCCGCGCAAGTGGGAGATGTGCTCCGATACCGGACCGTCTCGATGACGCCTTCCGGCGATGCTTGGCACACCCACCGCTAACACCTATCCTAGGCCTCTTCTATTGAACCTTTCAAGGGAGGGGCTTTGCAAGGGCCACGATCCTTGCGAACAGAGGTCCAAATGATGCCATGCTCTCTGGCCGCTCAGGGCATGTGCGGCTCACTTTGGGAGGTGACGCGGGGGTTGGCAAGCAAGCGAGACACGACCGATCCCTCTCTCTTGCTTTCTTTCTTTCTTTCACCTTTTTCTTTTTCTTTTTCTTTCTCCCTTTTTTCTTTTCTTTTTCTTTTTACTCTCCTCCATCCCCCTCCCCGCTCAGCACCACCCTAACCGTGTGGTATCAACTCTCCGCAATTATGCGCGCGGTTGAGGCGCTGAAAACAGAAGGGGCGTGTGTTGGGATCCAGGCCGATGGGACCCATAATACAAGTCTCGACCGATAGGGCAGAAACCAATCTAATGAGTGGATGCATTTACATTACTTCAGGAAAATGGGAACAGCTCGTCAGGTTCATGCTTATTAGTCGTTCTACTTCCCCTCTTTGAAGGGAAGCAAACCCCTTCCCCCTCATGATGATGCATACTTGTGCCACCGCCACATTTCGTGCGTAACTAACATTTGTACCCACGTTGAAAGGACTTGGTTGATTACTCCCTGAAAACCATTTGACTCCTCTCAAGAGGTCTTGTCCCGAAATTCTTTTTCTTTAGGTGGATGCAGTAGGAAGAGTAAGAGTCGAAGGTGGGGAGAGAGAGGTGAGAGAGGGAAAAAGACTTGGTGATGGGATATGTCGACATAGGTACCCTGGACGACAAAGCAGGCCTTATGTAGCGAGGGCATACAGACAGAGGGAGAGCGCTGACAAGAGCCTGTGGCGGAGGAAAGAAGAGCAATATGCCTCAGAGATCGCGTGCCCCCTTGCCATTGTCGTCACTGCCTGCGATATTCTCATGTATAGAAAAATTTTCATTTTTTCCCCTCATTATAACTCCGCATTCACTTGGGCGTCAGCCTGCCCGCCTACATACGCCAACTGCAAGGGAAATTTGACAAAAGGAAAAGAAGACAAAACGCATAGGCTTTGTGTCCCAGTCACATAACAGAGAAGAATGTTTAGTAAACTGGGCTGGGCGAGATGCAGATGCATGGCAGAGATGGGTGACTAGTTCCGCCCCTGGCTCCAAGTAGGGGAGGTCGAAGGAGGGAAAAGAAAAGAAGGGAAAAGAGTGGGTGGAAAAGAAAAAAGAAAAGGGAAAAGAAAAAGAAAGGAAAGAAAGAATAAAAAAGAATAAAAAAGAGAGAAAAAAGAAACAACTCCCGCCGAGCTCCTCTCGTCCCTAAAGACAAGGCAGTCAAGAGACGAATAAAACGCCATACAAGGATGATTGATGTAGGCTGGCTGGTGCATCTCAAGGGCAAGCGGTGTCGCGCATTGAATTCTATGCTGCGTCAAGCACGTCCAAGCCCACGCCACGGTAAAAATGAGAGGGGGTGTGGGCATGGAGACTCTAGCTCAGCACTCTCCTTGTTTTGTCCCGGAGTTTCGTGAGCTGGGTTTTGTCCCTTCACCCCAAGCTCACAAAGGCCGAATCGCGGCGGACATGGAGCTCGATAGCAGAGGAGTTTCGTGACTAACAAAGGCTGGTGCGAGAAAGGCGGGGCAGAGAGGACCAGGGTTGATCAGAGCGAATTTGAAGAGAGAGTGGGGGATCAAACCAACAAACGTGAAGCTTGAGCTCAAGGATGAGGGGGTGTGATGTGGAAGCTTCATCGTGCATAGCCAAGTCAGGACAAGCTCCAATCCACAACAACAGGGCGGGGATCAATTTTCCTCCCTTGTGATGTTTCCTTGCATGCTTTCATTTACTTTTCCTTTCCCTTTTTTGCGATCCCTTTGTTTCTCTGTTTAACCATGATTCCGCAGTTGCTTGCTCGGCGGCCATGGGTTGAGTCGGTCGAATGATGATTGATGCTAGCGGAGCAAGATTACGTGTAGAGATAGTCAAGCTTGCTCCTTGCGCTCATCACTTGCACATCCTACGAAGTATGTGAGGTACATCTATTGATGTAGTGATGCATAGATGGAAGTAAAAGGATACATGGTAATGAAGAGGGAAAAAGGAAAAAGGAAAAAAAAAAAAAAAACTAAAAAGAAGAAGAAAGAAAGAAAGAAACAAATGTGACTACGGCGCTGAGGGAAGAGGAGAAGACTCCTGGAGGCGTGTTGAACTTGGCTTGAGCATCCATGTCTGTTAGGATAAGTTGAGCTACAAGTTGAGCTAAACCGCGAATAGAGTCGGTGAATAGAGGGACTAGCAAAAGATTTCCTCCTCGGACAACTCGGAGGTGGTTGTTCATCAAGTAGTAGTGGTCATTGAATTCACAAACTTACACAAGAGACGAAAGGGTGGGGTGAGAGAGGGCGTGGTATGTGATGCGGATGAGCACGAGGGAATCCCTTAGAACAAGGCTCAGAAACGTCCATTAGATGCTGATGGATGCAAGGGAAAAAGGTATCCTCAGTGGCCCCTAAGCTCTCATGCATAGCCATCAAGAAATATATGGCGTGAGGAGGGAAAACTGTTGGGACACGCGGTGACATTTGATGGAGAAGAGAAGCGACTCCTTTGGCTGGCTCCCAGTTGGCGCGAGTCAGAGCAAAGAGATACGTGAAAGAGCGCCAGTTTGGATCGTTTGATTCTACAGCGAGTGGATCTATCAATTCACGTACCATCTATGGATGTTGGGATTGTCATGGACAAACTGGGGCGTGCGAAGCTGCCATCCTGATGAACATCTACGTCGCTGGCGGGGGCGTGGTTGCACCAATGAGCCGATGCGCATTCTATTGCTCATCTTCTCATCTTGCTTGAAGAACTTGCCAGCGGCCCTCGGCCGGCTGCTTGAGAAGCGCGTCCGAGGCCTTCACGGGCATTGAAGAACCAAAAGGCGCTGGATGAAGAGAGGGGTGGGAGCAGGCGTTGCTCCAACATTCCATCAACAGAGCACCTCGTCGAGGTTTGCAGGTTCCCCGTGGTTCGATCCATAGCTTTCCCCGCCTTTCCCCAGTTGAAATTGCAGATGCCGTCTCAGCTGCACTATCGCTTCCATCCGGGGCTTTGTTTCTATTATCTTATTTTTGGAAAGAGGAAGGGGTGAAGGGGATTAGGGGGAAGAGTGTCGAAAAGGGGGGACACACTATGCCACCCCTACCTCTGGCATAATCGCATTCCAGACCCCCACCTCCTGCACTCGGTTGCCTTCTTTTTTTTTTTTTTTTTTTTTTTCCCCTCCCTTTCTCTCCTCGTACTTTTCGAGATGTGACAGGGCTTTTACGACATCTCTATCGACAGCTTCGGAAAGTAGGCGACGTGGGGAGGAAGAGGGGCGCTCGCGGCGGGGGTTAAAATGGCGGTTCGGTCGCCTCCGATGGGGGATGCTGGGAAGGCGCGAACGGGAGTCGCGGGGAAGAACAACATTTACAGACATGGGGCGAACGGGCGAGGAATGGCGAGATCCCTCTTACGATTGCGGGAATCAAGCGTGGAACCGCTCCCCGCCCCCGGGGCCCCAGCCCCATCGTTGATCTCTCCATCAATCTCTTGTAGTTCCACCCTTCTTTGCCCGGACGCGGGTTTCCAGGTGATAATACGATAGCGAAGATGCACCGTAGTTTGAGACATGCGGTTCGCAGCCGTTGGGGCAATGGGGTGGTTTTTTTTTTTTTTTTTCTGGTTCGTTCCTTTTCTTGCCGAGACTTCATTTAATCAATTCATCCTTCTCGACATTTACCAGCGTCGTATTTCTGCTCGCTCTGCAAGGCTCGAACGAGGATGCAGCGTTCGGCCACTCCCGCTGGATGCGCGCAACTCTGATGACAACCGTGGCTCAAGGAAAACTCTGTGAAGAATTGGTCGCAATGGGGTTTTCTTGTTTTTCTTGTTTTTTCTTTTTTTCTTTCTTCTTTTCTTCTTTTTCTCCTAGGGCTTTTCTATCTCTATTTTCTTTCATCTCTTCCTTCTTCCTTCTCAGCTATTTTCCCTTGGCTCTAATGATATGCATCCGTAGAATGAAAAGTCACCCCATCGGCCCATGGTTGAGGAGAGTGGGAGGAGGTGGATATAGCCATGCCTACCAAGAGATTGAAGAGCCTGCGACGACGCTTGAACCGGGCCGTATCTCTGGTGTGTCCAGTCAGCCTTCCTCGGCTCGACAAAAGCAAGGAACGAATCGAGTGAAAACCGGACATGTAGATGATGCCGATGGCGAGGAGTGGCCAAGCTCGATAGCCCCCACCTCCACCACCGCCAACTCCAGGCTCTGTCAATGCATCTCCCGGTGCCTCGTCTAGGCCGGCCCGGAAGTTGACTCATCTTTTGCGCCGTATAGGGTTTCTCCGGGGCCCCGAAAACCGCCGTGTCTTGGCACCGGCTTCTCGGCAACAAAATGCCAAGAACCACACCCTGTCTCACCCTCCCCCATCAGAGGGAGTAATGTTAGACACGTCCGTGCCCATGAAAGACGCCGTTCGGCCCGGCCGGTCCCCGACCCTGAACGACATCCGGGTCCGGGAAGCGGCGGTGAAAACGGTGAGAGGTTAATGCACGGCAACGAGTATGCCGTTCCCACGGAACAGGTATTCACTGGCCTTGGCACCTCGCAGCCTGAGCTTTGGGAGGTAAATTTGCTTCCATGGTTTCTTTTGATTTTTCTTTTTATGATCGATGACCGCTTCCATGAGTACTCTTCGGCCCATTTCGACTTATACCTTGCTACATGACTCCTCCGTGCCCCTCCACTCACAGTATTCTCTTCTAAAGCGGCCAAATGCGTGAGTGCGAGGGAGCTTGCTCCGGTATACCCCAAGCGCCAAATATTGAAAGCGAAGTGGTTTGATACATGATGTACCGAGGTATATGTCAACCTTATCAAAAGGGGGTTTACAGAAACTTTCAAGACCGAGGAAAAGACATGGGAGACAGACAGAGCAGATGGTTCAGTCAGATCATGGAGGAAAGTAGATTGTGGATTTCAGCCGGCTCTGTAAAGCCTTTAAAAAGAAAAAGAAACAAAGAGAGAGAAGGAGGTACGCAAAAAGAGGACTAGGCTAAATTGACCAAACGCAATGTTTGAAGTGGGAAATCAAGACCTTTCCGTCTTGACGATGAGCTTTCCATACACCCACCGAGAAAAGCTCACCACCTTGGCATCCACCAAACGCGTGGCAAGATCAGACACGTAAATGAGAACGGGCCAGAGTCCAAGATAACAGAGCACAACGCCCCAACCGTACTGCGCGTCCGTCGCGTCTTCCTGGGTGGGGACAAGCCGGGCCGCGAGCCACGCGCCCAAACTCCAGACTATGGGCCCATGAACCAGGTACAGGGCGAAGGAAATCTTGCCGAGGTACTGCGCAAAGGGGGTGTTGAAAAATCGCTGAAGAAAGGTGCTGCGGTCAATGGTGGCCACGAGGGAGACGGCTCCGATGCAGACCCAGTAATGAACCGTGTTCTTGCCCAGGTGGAAGAACTCGGGCACGATATTGATGAGACCTCGGTAGAAGGGGTCCTCGCTCGCGCCTCTCTGGGGCTCGGGCATGCTGAGCAAGTAGACGCAAAACACGAACGCAAAGAGCGCCGCGGCCCGGCGGGCAAGGGGTGTCCTCAACGTGCGGTAGCCGGGAACCTTTTCTCGTATCATTGCCACCCACCGAGGTGCGGGGTCGCCGACGATGGGAGCGGGGAATCGGAGTCGGAGTCATCGTGGTAGTCGTCAGCTCGACGGAGGGGTAGGTCGTGGCGCCTCTCGTCCCGGACAGAAGCGTACGCCTGGAGATCCGCCATGAACATGCCGCACATGAAGAGCAGGATGTTGAACTCGGTGCGGTACAGGGCGTAAGCGATGAGAGCTAGATTGAAGACGATGCGGGCCCGCGGGCGGAACTTGTGCGTGGCGGCGTGGAGGGTGAAGACCAGCATGGAGCACCCAAACTCGACGGGAAGGGTCCACAGGTTGGGGTCGTATGGGTTTACGTCTCGGCTATTGATAGTGTTCCGGATGGGGTAGGCGAGAGAAATGCTCTGCTGGGCCCAGTTGCGGAGCTGGCCCATCAGCGAGTCTAAGTGAGGTGGGACGCGCGTGGCGATGGCGACTTTGCGGGACCACGGCTCCGTCGGGAACAGGAGGAAATAAGACATGATGGCGGACATGAGCAGCACGGCGGTCGCGGGCATGAAGAGGCGCTGGTGCCGCCGGAAGATAGACGAGGCGAGCGACTGGGCAAACTCGGCCGATTTGCCTTGATGGGAGAGCTGCGCGAGTTTGATGCTGATGGCGTAGCCCGAGATGACGAAGAAGACACATACGGAGGGGATACCGGCAACGACGAGTCGGATGAGGGGAGCTGGATGAATCGCGATTTTTCCGAGTCTTGCCAACCGTGGTGAATATCCGCAGAAAAATAGAGAAGCGAGCTATGGTGCCAAACGACGATGAACGCCGCGATGCCTCGGAGGCCATCTGGGGGATTGGAAACAAGTCTTCACGTCAGCAACAAGAGAAACAGATGACCCTATATCCAAAAGAAGGATACAAGGACAGTCGTTCAAGTTGGAGGACAAGCCCTTACCTAGCCAAGCAGACCGTGAGAGTCGCCTCTCTCCTTTGCGACTTGGATGGAAGAAACTGGGCAGGAAGTGAATCAACTGCCTCCTCATATAAGCGAAACGTGAGGAACCGCCATCGGACACTTTCTCGTCGAATTCGGTATCGGAACCTTCGAGCGATAGGGGAGCATAACCTCTCGACCAGGGCATCTGGGAGCCCAGGCTGCTCGAATCCAGTCGACCGCCATGGAGCTGGGAAGGACCCTCAGTCCCCAAGATACGAGGAAGTCGAAGAGAATCGACGGAATGAAGCAACGAAGGCGGACCAGGAGAGAGTGCGTGTGCGTGCGTGACGAATGGGATGGTTGTGCCCGAGTCCCCGTAGAATCGAGACGAGAGCCGAGGTAGGCGTGATGACTGAGTGGCTAAATACCAACGTTTCTTCGCCAGACAACGTCACATCCAACTGAAGAGATGTCACAGGAAAATATATCGAGAGAAAGCACTGTGAAGGTTTCAATGAGTGAAGAGGGGACCGGACGAGGAACTATAGAATGAATGAATGCAAGAAGTAAAAGAGTGCACTTGTTGTATTCAGTGTCTTGGTCGCCCACACAAGAACAAATGAGTGGCAGCTTACAACCGGCAAGCGAGAGATACCGAGTTGTAGCAGAGAGGGGAGAGGGAGAGAGAGAGGTTATTCAGAGAAAGTGAAGAGGATTAACATCATGAAGGAGGGAAAGAAGGAAAAGGATCGTCGCCAAAGGAGGACGACGGCTTGGGAACACTTGTATAATGATAGTTGGTACAAGCTCATCACGACATGCCCGACAACCAGAAGGCACTAGCCTCGATCAGAAAAGGTGAAGGGTTGTCAGATGGCTCTGTGACAGACTCGTTTAGCCCCCTTCCCATCTCCCATAGCGTCCCTGAAGTCTGCAGCTGCCTCTTGCTTAATCGAGAAAGGGGGTCAGCGCTTGATCCCACCTTCTGATCCGTCCAAGACAGGCGCCTCGGTATGTCACCACACACTCGATTAAGCTATTGACTCAACCAACCCGCAGCAGCGATTCCGAGCGGAGGTGAAACCTTTCATCAAGAGACTGGCTAATCATGTTCAACGTTGTGCTAGTACCTGCATAACAGGGATCTATCCGAGTTGGCTGAGAGCAGCCCAGGAGGAGGACAAAGGGGGCGGGTGGAGGGAAGAACTAGTCGGTCTGAAGGAGCGGGGGCAGTTATCATAACCTGGAGCGTCAGACAGGATTGGCCCTTGGTCCAACCGACAGCTGGGACGGGGAACGAGGAACGGGGAACGAGGGTATCACGCATGACCATGTCGAGTTGTAGTGTACACATAGAAAGGAGATCATCAAAGATCAACAAAAACAAGAGGGTAATCAGGGCATCAAGACAAAGGTAGCAAAGCTTATGAGTCGGGAAAAGAAAAAGAAAAAAGAAAATTAAGATAAAGAAAAAGCATAAAGCAGAAAGAAAGAAGCAGAAACGAAGAAATCGGGAACTTGCTTGGCCCTCATCGGCCTCACACTCTTTACCAGAAATTCGGCACTTGGTCCTTCGGAAAGGGCTCTCACCCCATCAACGGCGTGCTAGCGAAGTGTACTGATCGTCTCTCCATGTTACGGAAGAGGGAATATCACGATCTCTGCTGTAGTTCCCGTGTACCTAGGAAGTGGGAGTTGCATGGTGAAGAGAGCATTAATCTTGAATACGGGAAGAGCATGGAATGGATCAAGGGCTGACCAGGCCCAGTTTCAACAGAACCAATGAACGAGGCCGGTGCAATGCTTGTACCGGGATCGATCACCTCGTGTTCGCGCCCAAAGCCGGGTTGGAGTGAGTGCGGTCCCTCTGCGCGCAACCTGCCCGCCCCCCTGGTTGCAGTTGAGATCAATGGTTGCATTGTGCGTGCAATAATTGATCCATCTCCGTCTCTCTCAAGGTAGTCACGAAGTAATGTGAGACCCATCCCCCAACTCTAGTAGTGCCGATGGGTACCTGGCCGTTACTCGGTGCGGAACCCTCCAAATTTTATCAGGAGCTGATTTCAAGAAAGGTGTGTGCGGGGAGGTCTCTCCGACCCCGAGACGGCCAATCCCCCTCCGATCGATTTCGCGAGCTTGCTCTCTTCCTCGGAATACGGAGGGTAGGGGGAAGACTCGCAGAGAGAGAAATGAAGACAGGAATAAAGAGATAGCCGATCATACTGAAAGGCGCGATGGGCAATGAGCATATCTAACTTTAATCGAATGCTGTAATATCACCCTCTTTCCCTGAAAGGAGAATTGCTAGTATGTTGATCTCCATTCAAGAGAGAAAAGCAGACAGGAATAAGAAAGGATACGCTCGTCTAGAATATAGATACAGCTGATCATACTAGAAGGCGCGATGGGGCGATACCATTGGATCCATGCTGCGATAGACGGCACAGGGACCGAGCAATGCTTTTTTCGTCTTCAGCCCAGTGCCGACCACCATTCGTCGGCCTAGGAAGGCGGAAAGCGGGAGACCAACCTGGCTCTTCCCCTTACAGAGCGTCCAAGCGTAGCAGCACAGCCCCGGAGATTGACCACAATAGACTAGTGATTTCTAAACTCTCGTGTCTAGAGTAGCTGGGTCAGACGTGGGGGAGGCATGAGGCACCAGGACCAAACCGAGCGATGCCGGTCCATGTGTTGATTCTGTGGACCGACCCGACATTGGCCTGGCCTGACAGGCATGCGATTTTCGCCTGTGAACTTGATGCGGCGGTACCTATCTCGGTAGACCTGGCTCCTGCATATAGATCTAATGGAGGGATCCATCCATCCATTCCATAGAATGGAACTGATCCAACAAGAGTATTAATTACTAGCACACAAAGATTGAAACACTAGTTTACTCCTCAACTCTTTCTCCCCTTCCTTCCGCTAGTATAGGTTAACGCAGAAGCCAGGAGGACAGCTTAAGGGGGTAGGTAAAATCAGAGAAGGCCAGGAGACTGCCGAGGAGGGCCTTAGGAGAAGGAAAAATGACTAGCCGGACTCGAGGACTTTTCCTTTCCCCTCTTTCGCGACGCTAGCCGCAATAATCAGGGAGAGAGAGAGAGAGGAACCCAAAAAAAAAAAAATAGAACAGAATTGGACAGACATAAGCCTAGCCCTCGCCCCCAACTGGCCGCATAAAGGGGGTGATATATCAAATAGATCCGTCGAGAGAGCCTAGCCAAGTCCTTACATCCAATCCAACAAGTAGATAGATGTTCTTTTACTCGCTCAACATCAAAGTAGAAGGAAGGCATCGCAGCCATTAATATTAGTAGAAGAGGGAGAAGGGAGAACAGGGAGGAAGAAAAAATCCCTTGCCGAGGCACACTACTGCATATATCAATCAGCCTGCTTAGGTTACATTCACCAAATAGGCCAACGAGAAAAGGATTAAGATAACCAGGGTCAAATCTTTAGCTTCTCTAGGGAACGGTTCCACAACAGTTCCCTTTTTCAAAGGTTCCATTTTTAAGGGACTAGCATTATTAAGGTCGAAGCCCAGTTCCAAGACAAGGAACAGTTCCACCGAGAGAAGCTTTTAAAAAGTAACACCCAAGTAACTTTCACTCAGGTTAGAACCCTGTGCTTATTACGAAGTTCGCATATGGAGGTCATAATCACCAAAATCGCTCTCTCTGAGAACCCCTGCCGGTCCATGTCGGGGCGGTTCCTTCATTGGGTACATCCATTGGACTAGACATTGATCAGACGAAAATCCCCACATCACGCAGCCCGGGATCCACCTGATCAGATCTGGCTGGACGAGCTCCGATGTTAAGTCGTCTTCGCCAAGAGTTTCGCCCATGAGCTCGAAATCGACAGGCACAAGAGAAAACACTCTTAATCCTGCCCAGCATTAATCCATCGATACCCATATGCTTTCGGAGAGCCGTAGCCGTAGTCGTTATTTTTAGTTGCATGGTCCGAGGGATCCTAGGGAATTCCATCTGCTCTTGATCTTGTACCCCTCTTCTTCCAATCTCACCTTGGATCGCCATTTTGATGCCATCACTACAAGTATGATTCGATCCGAGGCAAGGCCCCTGTTTTGGCAATAGTTTCTGCGAGTCCTAGCTCAGCCTGATACCATGGTACGGGCTGCAGGATCTAGAAAACCCCTAGGCGACGGTCGTGCGACGGTTGCAAAAAGCAAAAGGTTTCAATACCTAAGGTCGGTCATTTGAAGGTCGCAAGACGGTTTCCAGGCCCTTCAACGGTTGCAAAGGTTGCACCCTTATATCAGGGCTATTATCTTCTTATCCAGATACTCATCCTTATATAGAGGGGTTTATCCTCGTTTTTTTTTTTTTTTTTCACGATAGAAAAATCCAGGCTTCATCTACGGTTCGAACCATGGTGCTCTCTTACAGTTACATCTACGATTTTACAAGTTACAGAGTTACAGCTACGGCATCGCGATCAAGAGAGGAAGGACCATATCTTGAAATATAAAGGGTGATCAGGAAGGAGGTTGCAGAGATATCAACGGTTGCAGAGATATGAACGGTTGCAGAGATATCAACAGTTGCAGCGATATGTGGACGGTTGCAGCGATATGAACGGTTGCAGCGATATCAGCGACCTGTGACTGTTCTTCATTTTTAGTGTGAGCTGCAACCGATGAACCTTTTTGAAACCGTTGCTTCTTTTTGCAACCGTTCCAGGCTTGCAAACCGTCCTACGACCATCTTGAGACTGTCGCCTAGGGGTTTCCTAGATCCCGCAGCCCGTACCATAGTACTTTTAGGAAAGGGAAAAGAAAAGGGGGAATGGTCCAGAAGGAAGATGAATCCAAGACGTCCGCTGGTGGCATCTGCGCCAAGATGAAGTTTGTTGCTCCTTCTCTCGGGGAAGTGGGGCTCAGCCAACCCATTCATCGCCGTTCCTCGCGTTACCTCCCGAGCCTGCTCAGGGCTCCCGTCTTGGCCATTGACAGTTTTTTTGGGTCCCATCAATTGATGGTTACCCGAACCGCCAGATTACCGTGCCGCGTATGTTGCCATCCTTCAAGTGGCCCTTGAAAGGAGTGTGATAAGATTGACCATGAGTATATTTTTACATTTATATATCGCGTCGCAAGCTTGAAGGGCCCTCGAGATACCACTAGATGCCGCGCCTTCCCTTGGGAGTGCTTGAAAAGAACGGTAGTGATCTAGTCCATTGATATTTGGGGTAGTCAGCTCCTCTATTCCCCTTCTTTAGTCCCCTTATTCCCCTTATCCTGTCCTTTTAACTCTCCTTGGGATACAATAACACCTGTCTACCGAGGTAAAGGCACCACCTATCCCTTGAAAGACCTCAGATAACCCCCGGAGACACATTGTAATCTCTAAACGGAGCGCCGACTGGTTCTCCCACTGACTTAGATACCCCCATCTACGAGATAAGCAAGATCCATAGATGGATCAATATTCGCTTCGGGTCGGGAAGTATCCCTAGGATGGGTAGAGAGGAAAAATAGGTGGGAAAACGGGCCTCTAAGAAACAGCCGGGAAGCAGCAGGGAAAAAAATATTTGAAAAGTAGAAGGAGAATGAAAGGAAACAAGAAAAATAAATAAAGACAGAACATTGCAAGTATGAGATGGACAATGGAATGGATCAATGGCTGGTCCCATTGACCATCTAATACTAAATTCTTCGGCTATCATCAATTGATGAGATATCGATATCGAACAGTTCATAGAGGAAGGATCCATCAATCCATGGATTGATTGAAAATACATTGATGTTGATCAATGAATTGTCAGCATTGTTGGCGCAGCCTCAATTGTCGCACCGTGGGTTGTGGCTGGCTAGGCAGCGACAGCTTTGAACCCCACCATGGACCCCGCCAGAAGGCACAGTCACCAGCAAACTGCACAGGCTGACGCCAATTGACCGATCCTTTCAATGGATGAATGGATCAATGGTTGGATCCCTTGATGATCCCTTGAAATGATTGCTAAGCCGCAAGCTCCATTTTGATAAAAACCCGACAGCCTAGCTGACCCTGACGTCGTGCTTGCTTTTGTTGCACAACGATGCGAAAGGCCCCTTCTGTACCCTGAGCCGAATCAACCCATCGAGCTGTGGACGCTACCAACGAGCAGGCGCCTCTCGCCTTAGACAACCTTGCGCCTTTGTGCGCGCATACCAACTATCCAAGAAAGCGGGAATGCCCAAGAAGCGACGCCACTTCCCCAATACACAAAGCCCCAGTCGACCGCGCCGGCATCCCTGGGCTCGGCCTCGGCGAATTCCCCTGGTATGATTCAACCCGCTCCCTCTCATGTGGCCTTCCCCTCTCTTCCCTTCAACAAACTTCTCTTCGCAAAACTGTCCCCCCCATCGACGTTGCTAACGCCCCAAACCCGCCAGCCCGAAACCGGTCCGAGAACCGCGGCGTCAACGAGCTCCTCGCCAACCTCCGCCGCCAGTCTTCTTCCTCCCCGCGGTCCGACCACTCTGCCATTGCCGCCCCCAGCGTGCCCCCGGTCATCCGAGAGATCCTCCAGCTTCCTGAAACGCCCGAGCCCTTGCCTCGATTTCGAGGTCGATATCGCGTAGACGCCCGGGGTCGAAGACTTCCCGCCGGTCCGCCCCCGCCACGCAGCTGGCAGCACCGCGCAAATGGGCTCCTAGGTAGCGCCGACGGCCGCGTGCGGCCACAGACCAAAGCGGCCGTTTTGGCCAGACCGCGCCGACGTTACCGGGGAGTACTCTCCGGCGGATAGGAGCATGATCGACGTGGTGCTAAAACACGTAGCCAGGGAATGGCGGACCCTGGGCCCGCTCGAGGATCTGGGGCTGTGGGCACTGCCCGACCGGTCGAGGCAGGTGCTGGTCCGGTACCTCGAGGCGTATCATGGCCCGGACGTAGGTGTCTCGGACCTCAGGGCCATTTTCGTCCCGGATGGGTCAGTGGAGAGCGGCGTCTTCTCGGAGAACGCGTACCTCACGCACCTGCATGTGCCGAGCTCAGCGTTGACAGCCTCGACATTTCCCTCCCTCATCAGCATGCTCTTCCCGAAAGCCCCGGATAGACAGGGGCTCGCGGCGCTCGAGGAGGAGCCGCAGGATTCGTGGGATTCCGCCGAGCTTGACTTTGCCATGCTGTCGCTGTCCCCGGCCGCTTGCTCCCGCGCTGACTCACCTCTCCTTGCCATTGACCCCGCCATATACCAGGGCCAGGGAGCGCCCGGTTCCTCGCTTGGTGTGCTGCCATCCTGGAGGCACCTCCTCCAGTTGGCCAAGAAGATGCCCGGCGTGACGCACCTCAGCCTCGCGTTCTGGCCGGAGCCCTCTCGCACTCCCAACGCCAAGTTTGCTTCCGTCGTGGGGCCCCAGGGGACATCAATCCAGTACGGGGGACGGGGCCCTACTCGCACTCGCTCGACCACGACTGGACCGAAGCCGTCAACATCTTGCGGGCGCTGAGCCAGAGCTGGTACCAGCTGCAGTACCTCGACCTGACAGGGTGCGCGGCCTGGTTCCAAGCGCTGTGGCGTAGCGAGCAGACGCTACTCGCAAGCGACGACTCGGGCGAGGATACGGATGGAGCGGGTCGGATTCGGGGAGGAGGGGCATTGACTGGGCGGGGAACTGGGGCAAAGTGGAGCTGATTAGAATGAGGTCCGGGATCAAGATCACGGATGACACGGGGTTACCGAGCGGACGCTGTATCGGACGGCGGCCGACGAAGCGACGCAGCTAGAGAGGCATATACGTGCCCAGAGGACCGCACGGTGGAGGATCATCACGGTGGAAAAAGACGATCTATATGATTTGAGAGAGCCATAATCGCACGATATACAGGCACATTAGCATTGATTTGGTCCGCGTGACCGGGCGGGACGACATGGTCGAGTCAGGCCTATCTTGATTGAAAGCAAGTGATGGCGGGTTATGTAACGAACAGTGCATCATGTAATAGACAAACAAACGCGTTCTACTAGAGAGGGTCAGGGAGAGGGGAGAGGAGAGTGATTATATATCAAGATAATTCCTCACCTAAGCAGAGCTCGCATACTCGCAATGGGACACATGCAATTGTTTTACATTCTATCAGATCGAAACACAAAAACAGCAAGCTTCTACAAGCTGCAGCCAGACAGCGATGCAGTGCAGTGCAGCGGGCGTGGGTAACGGTCGCTTTTATGCGACCGTGGTCGAGTATTTCAGCAATGCTTTCTTTTTATAGCCTACATGTACCTTGGTGTTCTTACGGCATACTCTCTCCTCAATCTCGAGACTAATTCGAATATCGTGTCTGTTTAATTTCAACATCGAATCCACTCTGATAGCAGGACTCCTTTACGGCCGGCGGCTATCCAAGCGGTCGCGGCAGACAACGATGAGGCGTTTGGTTTCGCGCACCTGAGATCTAGGAATAGAAAAAACATCACAATCCCTGCTTCCCACGAGGCGGGGCTCTCAAAAAGGTGGCCCGGAGGAAAGAGGCCATTCTGAAACGGCTGACCTGCAAGCGCTGAATGCTCACTTTGCAAAAACAAAGAACACTGGAAAAAGAAGGGAAAGAGACAGTGAAATCGGTTCGGGCCCTCTTTAGCTCCTCCGCTCAACGAGAGGACAGTCGAGACAATTGGAGCTGGTTGGATCTGGATTGCCGCCCCGATCCAGCGTGGGCCCCACTCCCACCTCCGCGGGACGGAAAATTTACTGGTCCAACGAGCGAGAACCAATCGACCGCCGGCCATGACCTCAACTCTGCGACGACGACAAGGGAGAGGGGATTCAGTACCCGCACGGCGGCGCTTGACCGCACTCTACCCAAAGGGACCTTGGGAGAAATATCTCCCAACAACCGATTTTACGTTTCAGGGAGATGGATGGTGGGCGACGGGATGGGCGCGCCAGAACCAGTCGTTCGCCGAGCGGCTGAGAGCCCGAGACGAGCAAAGACAAACGACGCGCTTGGCGAGGTCGAGGTTGCATACCTGATAGGGCGCAAAAAGACACACACAAACGCACAGCTTTGCCATGTGGGGTCGGGTCCTTGTTCTGCTTTCTTTGGATCTGCTTTCTTTGGACCCGGTCGGCCGTTGCAACGGCGCTATTCTAATTCGTTTTCCCCCGGCCCTTTGACAGGCCATTTTTCGGGCTGGGGAGAGAGGTGGCCCTTGGTGCCCGCCCTTTGACCAGACCAACCTGTCTCGGGGTGTCCTTTGCCATGAATAGCCCAGGAATAGAAATGGAATGTTTTCTTTTTATTTTTGAGACCCAACTAGCCGCTGGCGTCCCCGCTGGAGCAAGGCGAGCCAACCCATAGAGTCATTCGCCCATTCATTTCATGGGCCTCCCCTGTTCCTGCGACAATCGCTGCTCCGGAGGCATGAGAGCACTGGACAAGATCCATAGATGGATATAATGCGCCGCTTGCCCGCCCTGCTCAAGGGATGCTTGGATTGATCTGTTCCTCAGTCAGTCCTTTGATTAAAGCCTCCTCGGTGATATTCCCTTTTCTTTTCCTATTGTCGTTTCCTTGCATATTTGTTTGGGTTTGAAGCTGTCTGCGACAGTTGGCATTTCTTTTTCGCGAAAATCCTCTGCACCCCTCGCCGAGCTGATTCCGCTCTCTCCATACCAAATCCCGCACGACTTGCTTATAACCTGCATGACCTCCGGCATCTAAAAAAACAAGAAGACAAGAAGACAGTTGACCACCATCGAGGGGAACGGAAAACACAAAAATTCGATTTTGGGAAGAAGAAGAACGAAGAGGAAAGACAGCCAGCCTGCCGGATTCCAAGTTGGCTCGTTCACCTTCTCGCCTGTGCGGTCAACTTATATTTTCCCCTCCTTCCACGACAACGACACGAGATACATAGGTTTCAGAGAGGAGAGACCCTCAACCATCCACTCAAAATGCAATTCTTTCACATCGCGCCTCTCGTTTTCCTCGTTGCGGGCTTCGTGCTCGTTAACCTGACCTTGTTCGCAGGCGACAAGGCTGGCTTCATGGAAGAGTATGCCATCGTGAGGGTAAGTCTTACACTTCGCCAACGAAGGATGGGAAACATAATTCTATTTTCTTTCCCCCAAAAACCCCCGAAGACTGACTGATTTTGTTCTTGTTCGCTAGATCAACATGTCCGACTTCGGCAAGAATCTCTTTAGCGACGCCAACGGAAGCGAGGAAAACAAGGATGATGACGACGACAAGAGCAGCGTCGGAGACATCCTTTCGGGAATCATCGACGACGTCAAGGACAAGGCCGCCGACACGCTCAACCAAGTGGGCAACCGTATCGCAGGCCGGCTCACCGAGGAGCTCGGCATCGAGGAGTGGTATTCTATCCACATTCAGGAGTTTTGCCAGGGCAACTTTAGGAACGGGTCCGCGAGCTTCGATGTCCTCAACTGCACCATGTCTAGGCCCGGAAGTGAGTTCCAACCCTTCTAACCTCTCACCTCATTTTTATTCCTTTTGTCTCCTCTCTTTTTCCTTTTCCTTTTTTTTTTTTTCCTCTTTCATTCCGTCTTATCCTCCTTCTTCCGCCGCCCTCTCCCGATAGCAAGACCCAGAATTGAAAGGAACGATGACTAACAATAATTCCTAGGCCGCATCAACCTCACGGAAATCCTCGACGGCGAGATGGCCGTTGGCCCCATCGATCTCTCTCTAGCTGACTTCCGCTGGCCCGCGGGCATTCAACGTCAGGTCTCCAAACTCAACAGCGCCCTCCATGCCGTCTTCGTCTTCTATGTCCTCGCTGTCGCCCTCGCCGGTGCCGCCGTCATCTGCAATGCAGTCATCCTCTTCCTCCCTGCCTTTACCCCCATCCTCATCATCGCCAACGCTGTCCTTGCCGGCCTCGCCAGTGTTAACATCGGCCTCGGCTCCACCATCACCACCGTCATGGGCGGGCTCGTTGCCGAGACCATTACCGATCTCGGCGAGTTTGTCGGCGTGACCGCCGTCCAGGGAACGCAGTTTCTCGCCTTGACCTGGGTCGCCTTCGGTGTCGTCACCGTGGCCGCTGCATACTGGGCAAATGAGTTCAGGAAGGTCCGCAAGACGGCCAAGATGATGGGCAGGTGGGAGATGAAGGAGGCAACCAGGGTGTAAGTGCGTTTGATGCGCGGCGCCAAAAAACCAGTGCCTTTTTCGTTTGTTGTGTGTAATATCATGCTTCCTTTTGTCTATATTTGGAGGCTTTCTTTTGTTCTGCTTTCATATGTCGTCAGTTTAGGCCAGTCGGCGTTCTGGTTTGATAGAAGAGCTCTGCCGCCGTCGGCCGTTTTAGAGCAGGATGGGTCAAATCTTCACCAGCCGGCAAATAATTTGTCTATGCCTTAGTATGCAGAGCATAATTTCGGGAAACCGACATAATCAATTCAGGCAGACTTGCTAGTCTTGTCTTTAAACAGTCAGGTTCTTCCACGCGCTATCTCGCTATCTCTTTGTTCGGGCTTTCGTATCCTTTATAATCTATAGCTGTTGAACTGCGCTATCTCTCCTTGATTCACACCCCGTAGTCTCGAATTTTCTGACCACTGTCTCTCTTTCTGGGAAGGCGGCCGGTTATAGGGACACCCTTAAAGTATCGGCAAGTTCAAACGATCTAGTCAACGAAGAGGATTAGTCTAGGCCTAAGCCTTGTTGCTAACTCGTAGCGGAAGGAAAGGGTATCACGGTGCGCTAGATATCATACGCGTACGGGATCCTGCGTTGGACCAGAGGCATGGATGCTAAGGTCCTGTAAAGAAGTGGCCGTGATTCCGCTAAGGCGATCATCCGTGATGTCCTCCCTCGCAGTGGACTGGCGCCCCTGCTCCTGTTGTTGCTGCTGTTGTCTTCGTTGTTGTTGCTGTTGCTGATGCTCTGCTTGGGCTCGGCGCCATCGCAACTTGTGCCGAAGATTGTGAAAGAACGTTCCAACGCGGGAGAGAAAGTTGACCTTGTGGCTTCCCCATACTACTCCCACAAATGCAACAACCACAGCAAAAACTATGAACCATGGTAGAACCCATGACGGCATCTCGCCGTGATGTTCTGATTCCTCGATATGGGTGATTTGTCGAGCAGCTGGGGACATGTATGATTGAAAGATAAGTATCTCGATTCGAATTTCCGGGCGTTAAGGGGGAAGATCGAGGTTGGGGATGGGCTTGGGGATATGCGAAGAATACTTATATTGATAGCATGGAAATGTTAACGACGATGATGAAAAAAAAAAAAAAGGCAGAAAGTGGGATGAAAAAGGTATGAGTAGAGAAAAGTGGCTTGTGAACAATTTCAAATTCTTCCTCAAGAGGGAAAAGATATCTATGTAGGTGGTGCTCAATCCTAACGAGGCCAGGTCAAGCCTCTCTGAGGAAGGAAGAAACCAACCTCTATCATGAACTAGCATCTTCTATGGTGAGGAAACTCTTCCTCCACTAGTGATTCACGAGTGAGATAGGAACATAAATCTATCTAGAAATACAAAGAAACTACCAACTTGAACAGCATGATCTATTCTCTCTGCTTTTTTGCCTGTGAGCCGAACTATGCTTTGGTAAAAGGTCATCTATCATGCTTCCCAACGGCCCCCTCCTTTACCTTAGAGAGTAACTGTCTTCAAGTTGGGACAGAAAGAAAGATATTTTAAATGAGGAAGGCGCCACCGACAATGGCCGCGGCTACGGCGAGGAGTGGGCTCTGCTTCCACCGAGGAAGAGCAGCTCCTCGCTATCATCAGCGGTAGTGGTGGGCTTGGGCTCTTCTTCCTGAGACGACCCCGTGGTGTCGCTAGTTGTGGGCTTCACCCTCGTCACCGGTGGGGAAGGGTAACGTCATCGGTAGGGCTGGGGTCAGCGTCGAGCTTGCTCGCGCCCGCAGTAACCGTGACGGGACTATACTCGGAGGGGAATATCGTGACACTAGGGACATCCGTCTGTGTCGTGGTGCCACTGTAAGTCATTTCCGCCGTACAAGAGGCGGTGTTCTTCTCCAAGAAGATGCATGAACCGGTGAGGGCGCTATCTTCACGTTAGACTTCATCGGTTCCCCTCTTGTTTTGATCCTCCCGATCAATAGTGGCCCTTCGAAGGCAAAGGGGAAAGAGTAGCATGCGGGATATGGGAAATGGGGAATACCGAACTACTCACTTTACTGAGCCGGAATAGGCGAATTCAACGGTGCTAGGATGATCGATAGCCGTGTAGGTTATCTCATCATCCTCGCAGCCTTTGCACTTGATGGCGTAAGTCGTGTGGGCGTCCCTAACACTGACGACGGATGCGGAGAAGGTAGCGTCCGGTTCGCCGAGGGGGAGATAGACGGAAACAATGGAGGTCTGGGCGATGGCGGATACCGCGAAGAGGGTAGGAATGACAGCAAGTGAACGCATGTTTAGGGACTGTATGTACTTGTGTGCGTGTGTGTATATGGTAGGATATGATGCTGAGCCAGTCTAGTTTAGGGGAGATTCTAGCTTGATGAGAAGTCGGCGGAGCTGGCTACTCGTAAAGGAGGCAAACCGAGTAAGATATAAGCTTGACTTAATCGTGAATGTTAAAGATGTAGTGTCAAGATGAACGGAGGAGAAAAGGGCAAACAATCCCATATTTATATATGGATCCATTATCTATGTGTGGATTATATATGTATCCATGTCTATGGATTTGATGTTTTGAGGTCTAAAGGGTTGAGCTCGCGGCTCATCCTCCCACAATCGATATCATCCAAGGATCGGGCAACGATCCCTGATTGTAACCTCATCTGGGCCTGTCCCCCGATCTTCGATATCTGGATCTAGTTCAATGGAACGTTTTGCATCTCTACGTCCCATCGGACGACAGCAGGGCTTGGATCGATGCTTGAAATTCGATCGCCTTGAGAGGCGAACTTGGGACGCGCGCCGGGGTGTGCTCGACTCTCCGGAGCAGGTTGCCCGAAAACTAGGGTCAAGGTCTCGGCTACCCCTGTTGTGCTAGGAATAGCTTCGCAGCGTTGGAGAGAGATTCTGCGTGGGTAACAATGGATAGGATGGGCGGGCGGGGGAGGAAATGCATGCCCTTGGTATGGGGTTGAAGTGGCTCATCTCTTGCACTCCTTCACGATTCCTTTTGCTGGGGGAGGGCGGCCGACTAATCTTCCCTTGAATGCCCAGCGAAGAGGACCGACAACCCGCAAGGCTGTATGGGGTTAGAACGTCGAATTTGATAGGGCAGCAAAAAGCCCATGGAAATTGAGTTGAGCTGCTGCGCCTTCAAGCATCGTCCAAAAAGATCAATGAAACAATGGGTCCATGCATGGGCTGCGACAAGAAAATCGCTATTCCTATTATTGATACTCTTCTTTGAGGTCAGGCAAGAGCTGATGATGGCTGGCGGGCCTACAAACGCAATTGGAGTGAGCGGCTTATACCGATAGAGGAAGACTTGCTCCGGTATCTTGTTAGCATCACCTCCATCCAGACGATGGATACCGAGGTATTACACAGATGCCCGTTCTATTCCTTGACCCCGGGTGGAGGCGCTGCATTCCAGAGTGGAATGCAGTTCCCCAAACCTTCCTTCATCCGTCACGATTGACCAATAGCGAAAGTATGCGGGCCGGAGCATCGTGGGTCTGGTTTGTGTTGATTACAGTGAACGGATGCTCTTTTGCCGCGGCAGACTGCCGCGCAAGGCAAAATTAAAGTATGCCCTCAAGAGCAGCATACATGATTGGCACACACCGAGATGGCAAAAAGCACTAGAAGAAAAAAAAAAAAAAAGGTAGAAGGCACGTCAAAGCGACCTGGAGCTGCATTATGTCATGTTCCTGACTGGGCTTGGGGAGAGGACCCTTGAAATTGGGATGATCAGCACTTTCGCGGCCTAAGGTGAGAGCTCTTTTAGCTTCAGTAAACTACATCGAATATCAGTGGAAGAAGACGAGCCCTTCGTAGCTTTCAATCCAGTTTACAGATCCAGCACAGCTTTGAGCCATCATTGATGTGTACGTGCGCGCGGACCAGAAATAGTGGTCAAAGGGGAAGTGTGCGTTTGATCGATCATCGTTTCGGCCGAGTCTCGCCCACCCACCGGCTTTGTCGACAAAAAGGAGGGGAAGGCGTCCTTCTTCAAATTCTTGTACACTCCGCTCGCTGTGCTGAGGCGGCTTTGGATTGATAAGTTGGATGAGAACGACATTGATCAGTGCCTCCACCTTCATGTTCCCTCTCCTCACTCACGCTGCCAAGACAATCACGTGGAAGCAAGCCGGCAAACGGCACTGTGACGCCTTGGTATCCTCTGCAGTTATTAGGGACTTTTTTCCCTTCAACTTTCAGCGCACTGCACACCGCGAAGAGAGCATTTTGACGTAGAGTGCCGGATACTTGCCAGTACATCTTGTCGCTCTCTATCGAGTACTGCCGCAGAAGTTAGCTAGAAGTTCTCGATCCTCATTCGCTGGGTACCTTCCCCCACTGATCTGGTCAATTAAACTTCTAAGAAGGCCAAGAGCCGTTCGCCCCATTGCCCAGAGACACTAGAAGCCTTGCCCCCATCCTCGCCGCTGAACGGGCCTCGATTCGAGCCACTCACGAAGGACCGTGGCCCTGAAGGCGGATGGGCTAGCCAGCACGGCCAGCGCCGCTGACAGGTAAATCGAATGAATTCCTAGTTCTCGGTTTCGTGTCATCGAGGAACCAGCCAACTCCACACTCCACCAGATTCCCACATAACCCTTTTTTCCTTTTTGCTTTCATTCCGCTTTTCCTTTTTTATGTTTGTCTTGAACCCGAAACCCGACCGACAAAAATACCCCTAGTTGCGTCGATTGGAGGGAAGCGGAAAGGGCCAAGCAAAAGCAGTTGCTGGAATAGTATAGTCATCTCGGCCTTGTTCAATTCGCTGAGCTAGCCAAGACGCTGCCGAGCCCTTGGCATTTCCAAATTGACAGTTATTATGACCGCCAAGATCGTGACGACGCCCTTGTGCCCTTTTCTCCGTTCTCCTCTCCTGACTCTCCCCCTTTGCTTCCTGATGCATATAACCTCGTCAATTCATTCTTTCGCCCATCCTCGACTTCTCGATCCGACTATCTCCACCATCCTCGAATACCGATCCGCGTGTAATCCCCTCGTCGACCGACCAGCTCCATTCTCCCTTGTCCGCCCGCTTTATTTTTGCTAGTGCTTCAGTATGCGACGATAGCCTCGCCCGCAGCAGTGGCCGAGCCTCCTCCCTACCCACCTGAGATAGAGAGAGAGTGTGTGAGAGACAGCGAGTAGAAGCGCGGGAATTCTCCCCTCTCGCCCATCCTCGATTTTAGGATCCTTGTTGCCCGCCTTGCTTTGAAATCTCACCACTGTCAACCCCAGCTACTTTGGCTGCATATCGCTCACCGGGCCCACTGCCGAACGTCCGCCCAAGCAATCCAACTCTAGAGTCGAATTTCAAACCCTCAAACACGGCCGGCGCCGGTATTTCTCGTTTAACATGCTGTCGCGACTCCCTCGGCGGCTTTTTTGCCAATTTTCTTATGGTTGGCCAACTCACCTCCCACCGCGGCTGCGGAAGAGAGCACAATATCAGTCTTCCTCCCCAATTATAAAGCCAAATGGTGGCAGGATATGCATGCCAGCATAATAAGTAAAGTATGTTCTTGCCATTCAGAGGGAAAAAGGACAACGGAGAAACAAGCCAGCGAAAGTGGGATCTGATTCTCTATCGCGAAGAGATAGAGAGATAAAACAACAACCTGGAGACTGACCAACCCTTGCTTATAGGACGACGAGAAGACGGCATACACTGTTTTCTGCCCGACGCAGACTCCCCAAAGGTGTAACCTTGCGGGCGACCTCCCTTTACTTTCACTGAAGGCCCTAGCACCCTCATCTTCCATGGCACGGTGCCGAATACATAGTAGGTGCATGTCGGATTCAGGAGTGTCCCCGGGAATCAGAGTGGCTAACAGATTGATCAACAGCGTAATCAACCTCGAATGCGACCTGGAAGAGCAGACGGCAGCGAGGTGTTCGGGTTACTCAAGTTTCAAGTCTGGCTACACGTACGGCAAATATACTGGTCCGACTGAGGTAACCTGGACATCAACTTTCACTGGGACGCAGGTTGTTTGGGCTGTCATCACCCTGACCGATAAAATCGAGGTGCAAACCAACGGCCTGATCGACTTGACCGCGACGGCGATGGAGACCCCGACAGTTCCATAACGGTGAGCGAGATTGCGCCCCATCCGTTCCCGTCGGACGATAGCATATTCCCGCAACAGACTGGCACCCCTGGAGAGAGCGGTGCGTCAGCCTGGAGGAGAAAAGGAGAGGGCCGTTGGGCTGTGATAACTAGTCTCGCAGCGACTCTGTTCGCGGCCGGCCTCGCACTATAGCCTCTCGTCCGCCTCCTCACCTCCTCAATACCAACCAACCTCATTGCGCAACTGGCGCTACACCGACTCTTTGGGGACGCAATGCCCTTTACAATACCCACACACTCTGCACAAGCCAGGCCAGAGTACCATTTGCAAAATTAAAAACAAAAACATCCATTGCATGCAGCAAGTGGAAACCCGAATTTTCCACAGTAACGATTATGAACTCTTGGGGACGGAAAACCGTGTATCTGGCTGGGTAGGACACCGCCGCGTATATATCCATATATATGTCTTGCTTTTTCTTAGCCGTTGTACAAGCGAATAGGCGGCTTTTGGTCTTTCTCTTATCCTTCCTGCCCCTCTTCCTTCGACCTCCTTTGAACAGGACTCCTTCTTCCCCTTTTCTCTCTCGCCCATTACCCTATACCCGCAGCTTCCGACTTCCTCCTATTGTCTAGGGGATCTGCTCGGCTCTTTACGTTTTCTTGAAATCCCTTCTTTTCTTTCTTCTTTGTTACTTTTCGTTCCGTCCTTCCTATTTTGATGAGTTCCGTATTTCTACCATTTCATAGCAATGGCAGAGGAGTCGGGAAAGGCGGCCACGGAACTCTGGTTAGGGACTCGAACTTGGTTCGATTTGCGCAGCATAGTTGACCTGCGAGATGCTTGATTGTCTTTACGAATACAAGGGATGTAGATGGGATAGAACTATGATATGAATGAAAGTGTCGTGGAAACCTGCAAGTTAAGGACTGTAACAATTCTCCACGTAGACTCAAGATGCATGCGACTTCTAGCCATATTGACCTCCTGGCCCCCTGCCCCACCAGCAAAAAAAAAGAGAAGAAAAGTGCGTGTTAGAAGCTACGGTAAGAGGTACGTGGATGAAAGCGCCAATGAGATAGAGCTACCAAAAGAAAGAAGAAAAAAGGATTGAGGCGGATGACTCGATTCCGCATTAGCCTTTGTTGAATCATTGAGGAATGTCAAGGAGCTGACTTGATGTTTGCGCTACATTCGATCAATGGAGTAACGAATCCAATTCCCGCATTCGTTGCGTCTTCTGTAAATATTTAAGATAAATATAGTAGATCCATACCGAGGTAGATAGAGGTTCCTTCTCGAAAATACTAGCCTCTAGATGGACGTTAGCCCTGAACCGGGCTCTTCGAGGGACCGATACAATTTCCGTATGTCCAAAGGGATTGAGACATTGACTATTACTTGGCTTACTCCAGTGGATAGTGTGAATAGACCATCACCTACAGCTAGCGGCTGCTTTATCACTATATGTATAGATGGAGTGAAGGTGGCCAATCGAACTCGGCGGATTTGTTGCAGTACCGGATTGAGTCGTCATGCCGTCGAGTCAAGAGGGAAAGCCGGTCGGTCAAACACACGTGCAATCCCGTTGCGGAGTCCGGCGCGCAGTTGGCAGGGTCTGGAGGAGACGTGCATCATTCCGAAGTCTTGGGCGAATTAGGAGTTTTGAGGGAGTCACAAATTTGGATAGCACTTTCCATTGAACCTTCCAGCAAGGTGCGGCCGGGCCAGAGTACAATTTCGATGCAATTGCCCATGTACTCCCTCCCCACCCAGCTTCGTTCTATGTACGGCTCGATGAACTTCATGGTGGGGGCGGGGTAGTTTTTTCTGCCCTCCAAAATGACACCGACTACGGGCAGCTAAAACCAAAGGACCAATCCTCCAAGCTGGTGACTCCTTCACTTGGTCATAGGCATTCGCGGACTCTTTTTCTTTCATTTTCTTAATAGATATCGCAACATAGCTCGCGAAGAGCTGCATGACTCAAAACTTCCGCTGAGAACTGCCCTTCATTCTCATAAAAGCCTGGGCCCGCAACGCCTTGCCTTTTTCTTTTACGTTATCATCTCTTCCTTCGTACTTAATCTTCTCGCGTTCCCCGTTCTTACGCGCAGCTCTATCACTCATTGAAGCCCTCGCCTTTGTCTACCTTTTCTCGAGCCGACCATGCCTGCCTTCAAATTAGAAGAGTGCGCTCGGCCTAACATCTTAGCACTCGTCCCCTATCGGTGCGCCCGAGAGTAGGTAACCAGCCCCCATTCCATTCCGCCAAAAGGAGTGCCGCTTGAGACCCTGCTGCTCGAGCGGGTTCTCAGCTGAATACGCAATCACCTAACACCCTTCAAGCGACTACAAGGATGACGGCACCAATATTCTCCTCGACGCGAACGAGAACGCTTATGGCCCTGCGGTAGCCCCTCTCGCCTCCAAGGTCGACTCCGACCTGCTCACTGCGAGGGACTTTCTCGGCCTCCACCGGTATCCCGATCCCCACCAGGAAACCCTCAAGGAGAAGCTCTGCGCCCTCCGCAACACACACACCCATACACAGAAGACGCTCAAGCCCGAAAACCTATTCGTAGGCGTTGGCAGCGACGAAGCCATCGATGCCGTCCTGCGCGCCTTCTGCGTTCCCGGAAAGGACAGGATCCTTACATGCCCTCCCACCTACGGCATGTACTCGGTATCAGCCCAGGTGAATGACGTCTCTATAATCAAGGTGCCGCTGCTTCCGGCTCCTGAATTCGGCATCGATGTCCCAGCTGTCACTCAGGCACTCTCCAACGAACCCAATATCAAGGTCGTGTACTTTTGCTCCCCAGGCAACCCCACTGGCGGCGCCCTGGCCAAGGACGACGTCAGGCAGGTGCTTGAGCACCCCACCTGGAACGGCATCGTGGTGGTGGATGAGGCCTACATCGACTTTGCCCCCGACGGCACCTCCCTCGCCGAATGGGTTCTGGAATGGCCCAACCTACTCGTCATGCAGACCCTTTCCAAGGCTTTTGGCATGGCGGGCATCCGTCTGGGTGCCGCATTTGGCGCCCCACCCGTCATCGGCCTCCTCAACAACCTCAAAGCCCCTACAACATCTCGAGCCCGACCAGCGCCCTCGCCGGTTACGCCGTCTCCGGCGCCGGCCTCGACACTATGCACGCCAACCGCGCCAAGCTCCTCGCTCAACGCGACCGCCTTGTTCAGGAGCTCCCCAATATTCCCGGCGTAGGACGGCTCCGAGGAGGCCTCGACAGCAACTTCTTACTCTACGAAATGCTCGATGCTGCTGGAAAACCAAACAACGACGTCGCCCGTGCTGTATACGAGAAGTTGGCAGAGACTAAGGGTGTTGTCGTCAGGTTTAGGGGTACGGAACACGGATGCTTAGGGTGCCTGAGGGTAACGGTGGGTACGGAGCACGAGGTCACGAGGTTGCTGTCAGCGCTGCAGACTGCGCTCGAGGAGGTGAGGGGCGCCTAACTTCCACGGAAGAAGAAAAGAAGTTTATGGAACTAAAGGAAGACGGGTGTTATGAGAGTGAATCGGGAAGGGAGGGCTAAGGAGACAACATGTCAACCAAGATTATCCCCTCACCTCCTTGATTGCTGGGGTGTCTAAGGCGATGGCAGAATAGAAAATTCTTATTTTGGCTTCGAGGTACATGGAGCAGAGAATAGAATTAGGATTTCTTATCAAAACCTTTGACATGGGGTGCCCAATCAACACCTTGCTAACACATCCCCCAAAGCCAAGGGGGGACGAGTACCGGGCAGTACTAAGGAATGGGTAAGCAAAGGTTCAGGGCTGTTTCTTCACCTCCTTAGTCCGTTTTTACGCTCGCTAATGCTATTTAAAGGGTCTGCGCAGAACAGTTGTGAGGAAAGCACGGATGAGAAAACCAGCAATTCTCGCCAATGCCTCCAACTAGGACGTCTAGAAAACGATTAAGGATGCAAGTGCGAGGCTTCCCAAAGCGAAAGCGGTGCTCACACGCACGCCGATGGCGCCGGAATCATCATCGCTCTCAGTGTTTCCTTTATCGGACGAGCCCTGGCCACCGCTAGAGGAGTCGTCTCCCGTGTAGGGGCATCGGCACTGGACATGAGCAGGCCCTGGACAATGGCTAGAACGGAGACTTGCTGTCCGGGGCCCGTCAGGCTATTGTTGATGCCGGTGATATCGGCGTCCCAAATGATGGGGCAGTCTTCTTTGCTCCTGCCAAAGGTGCAAGAGGCAGCAGCCGCCTTGGCCGAGGCTTCGAGCAGTGGGCGCAGGAGGCCGTCGAGGAAAGGGGCCATTTGAGTGGCGCGCCAGAGGGCGGTGGCGAGGCCCCCTTTCATGGCCTGCATGTCGCTGGGGCAAGTTTGGGCGGCCTCGCACGCGATCTCGACCATAACACCGCCATTGTCGCCGCCACCGACGAAGAAGTTTTCTGCGATACGCGCGGCAAGGCCCTTGGTGCGATCGGTCCATTGCTGGTCGCCAGTGACGTTGGCGAGCGCGGCAGCACCGAGAAGGTAGAGACCGCTCGATTGGGTTAACTGAACCCTGTTGATGCTCTGACAGTTGGTAATTGCGCTGGCTCCATCAACCACTTCGAAGTCCTCAGTGATGAAGCCGACCTCGACGGTCCAATCCCACAGCTGGGAAGCGAAATTGGCGTAGGAGCCATCTTCATCGCCCGTGAGGCGGGCGAGGCGGGCCGCCAGCTGAAAGACGGCGCCAGTCCCGAGGGTGGATACGTACACGGGAGAATTACCCGAGTCGATCTGCCAGGGGATGCCGCCATCGCAAACCTTGTCATCCTGGAGGCCGGATAGGGTCTTGAAAGAGTTCTCGGCGAGGGCGAGCCACGAAGAGGCGACGTCTGAGCTTGGCGGGGAAGTTGCGTTCGGCGGCGGTCAAGGCGGCGAGGCCGAGGTTGGCAACGTCGTCGGTTGCGCGGAAGGAAACATTCCTATCGTAGAGGAAGTCGTTGTTGGCGCCGAGAAGCTCCTCATTTGTGAGAGCGGCGGTGACTTCGCCGCTGAAGGTGTCGTCGCCGGTGTAGTGCTGGTAATCGATCAGGGTGGACCAGACTAGGCCGGAAACCCAGACTCCTAGGATGGGAGGGAAGCCTTTCACGGTGGTCTAGAAGAGAGGGGAACACGAGGAGAAAGGGACTCGGGTGTTAGTTTCCATGTTTTAGGAAAGCGGAGCATCATGCCTATCAACGACTCCGCATCGGGGCCGCCAGGTGGAGGGGGTGGATGCCGGGGCATAGATCCTCCGGAGGGAGGGTCCGGCAAGCAAGCATGAACCTGGGGGAAAAAGACCCACCTCAGGTTGAGAGCGATAGTAGCCCATCAAGTTGGTAGCTAGGTTCTTGGCGACGCCTTTTACCGAGTCTATATTCACACACGAATCGCATAGTTCATCCAGTTAGCACCTTGAGTCTCTATTCCTAGCAAAGAGGGAAAAAAAAAAAAAAAGAAGAAGAAAAAGGAAAAAAGGCGACCACTGGAGGGAGGGGAGCGGCGTTGGTGGCCGGGTCGATAATAGATACTGCGAACAACCAACGCCAATATTGCCCCGCGAAGGGTCACAGCAGGACTATCGACTATGTATCCATTATCAACAAGGGAGGTGTATGCTTGCCTGCATCGTTAACGTCCAAGTCCTTGGGTGCCAAAGCGAGGACTGAATTGGCTGCCGTAGCGGCAAGGGAGAGCAACGGAAGGGACCGCATTATATCTTATTCTTGACACGAAAAAAAAAAAAAATAAAATAAAAGGAAGAATAAAAGGAGCGAGGGGAAATTTCAAACTCTTATTAGGAACGAATGACGAGGGTGGGCAATCACGTCCAAGAAAGCAGGACGCGATTGTTTGGGCTAAGCGAGTGATGAGGTTTCAATGTTGAAAGGAATGAAGAGTTGAGGTCTTTGGAAACAAGATGCAACAGCACACACCTCGAGTTAAAGGGCGGTGCGCGAAGTCATCGTGTATAATTTCCCTTGAAAGCCATATACAACGGGTTGCCGGACGAGAGCCTCCCTTCACCTTCAATGGGAAGGAATAACACGGGTGGTGAACTGAAGGATCCGAGCAAATGTTTAGCTCCGCCCCTTTCTTGGCAGCTCGTTAATATCTACTACCAATTTTCACTGCCTTGGTGCAGAGGGATCAGCCGAACCAAAAGGGTCAGGGACCTTGGAGAGCTCCGCGGACTTTCATCGCTCGTACTGGTCAATTCATGGGCAATCATTGGGGTGCTCAATCCTCTCTCAAATCCACCGAGGAGTTGAACAAAAGCAGAGGCAGAGGGGGAAGAAGGGAAGGGAGAGAAAAGAGCACCGAATCTTTGATGAGCCTGGAACTGTATTCCCAAGGTCCAGTTTGACTTCAAGCTTATTTATCTAATTGGGAATTTCTCCAAAAGTCTCCGTCTCCAACCATTGGGTCGTCATGACGAGAGTCGCCAGTCGACGCATTCAGTCGAATGGAAATTGAGGCGGCTGCAAGAGGGTGGAGAACAGGATTTATGCTTGGCAGCGTCGACTGCCCGAGGGACGGTCTCATGCGCATTTGAAATGTATAATATTCTTAGCATAAACCTAGGAAGAACCTGAGACCCAGGTAGATGTGTTGATGCGTGCGTCGTGTTTATGCACATCAATCCTAGCTTGAAGATATATATTGGTATATTCGTGGATATATCCAAGGCCACTAACAGTGCCCATCTTTTCTAGACCTGCCAGCCAGCTCCCTCCCCGGGTTTGACAACGGGTGAGCCGCCCGTCTCGGCCTTGATCTTGTCTCGCTGAAGGCGGAGATGGTATTACTACATACGAAGTAATAAGTGTAGATCATCTTAATTGCGGAGAATATTATAATTATCTTCCCTGTCCTTCCCCATTCCCGTCAACCCTCGACAGAATGGGCAGAATGGGGACGCGGGCAAGGTGAGAAGAGAAAGAAAAGGGGACGGGGGCTTTCGAAGCAACTTGAAGTGAGAGGAGAGCAGAGGATTGCACTGGGCCCGAATTACCGAAGCATTTTAATACGAGTCTGGCTGTGATCAGTCATACCATTGATCTCGCTCGCGTCTGGCGCATTTGGCCTGGATGGACCCATCCTCATGCGTTGACAAGGAGAGATGGAGACCGAGAAAAGCTCTATCCTCAACTATTGATCCCACGAGATGTCGCGATCTCGTTGCGCTCCTGTATTTTTCGCATGGTTGTGGGACGTGAAAGGCCTGGCGGGGAGGGTTCACCAATCGAGCCCACCGGTCGGGCGTTATTCTTGCATTTCCGTTTGTGACAGGCACCGGGGGTTCTGAATGCGACAATATAATTTCAAGGATGGTCGGCTTTGATCTTTCTGCATCGTTCCTTGCAGGCTTGGCAATTTTTGAGCGTTGGTGGTGGATCCCAACCTTGGCGATTGCACGCAATTCCACCGCTGCTCCCGAGTGGGCTTCGACTCTCGCACAATTGGCTGCTTTGGGGTTGGGGTTCTCCATCATTTCAAGGGCCACACAAAGAAGCCCCTTTGTCCCCCCGCGCCCGCTCCGGCGCGCCGCCGCCATCCTGAAAATTTACGTGCACGAAGTACTTGGTGCATTTACACTAGACAAGTACTTGTATTCCCAAACTAATAGCATCCTAGCTCTGATATTCAACCCCATGTCGATAGACTATCCTCCAACTCTTCCCCACACGGGGCCGTCCCCAGTGGCGCCGTCACCCGCTCAAGTCCCCTCACTTCCTGTTCGAGCTTTTGGGAGCCCACAAGTCCTTGGGCGAAAACTGGGACGCATTTTGGCGGGATACGAAGTATCATCCGACAAGTGAAAGTATACTAGACTAACCCAAAGGGAAGAGTGAGGGGGAGAAAAAGAAGAAGAAGAAGAAGAAGAAATCCCAATTGAGACTAACCAGAAAGAGGAAGAAGCGGAAAAAAACACATCCCAAGGAAAGCCAGAGAACAGGGAGCAGGTGGAGAAGGAGACAAGTGGGAGGAAAGAAAACGAATTCGAGAGGAGGATGACGGGATCCCGGATCGTGAGGAAGTAGTATCGTATTATGGGCAATTTTAATTTTTCCGCTGTTGGTTCGTCTGTGCTGCCGGGGAACCGTCCGTCCCAAGCTAGGCCGACGAGGACGTGCGGTGGACGTGGTGTGTTGCGTCGGTCGTCCCTGTAGAATTGGCCGAAACGGTGTTCTGCTGCAACTCGCCTTTCTCATCGCTCGCTCTTGCCTCGAACGGGCAAAGACCAGATTTCAGCCTGAATTGCCGATTTATTCTGGCGAACAGATGCGCCGTCAATTCTCCTTTGAGAAGTACATGGAGAAAGTCGACAAGGCACAGACAGTGTCCTCCAACCCATCTAATTCGGTCTCCCGTTCTTCACCGGCCTACAGAGAAAGCGGATATCCCTCTTCACTAGCCTGCCTTGTTTTTTTCTAATCCGGGACGCATGTTGCTTGGACATCTGGCCCGTTTCAGTGCGCGGCCTTGGGGAAACCTTTTTATTTCGTTTTCCCGGCCGGATGGACCGCCTCGCGATCCCCGTTCCGTCGATGGCTCGATTGCAATATGCATGTTTAGATAAGGCCCAATGTGTTGAGTTTCAGCCCTCGCCACTGGTTAGTTGTCGATCAATTGATGCTCTCCCGCCGCGGAACAAGTCGAAAGCCACCAGCGGTCTTTCCCACTTGTTCTAACATCCCTTCCCCCGCCGCGCCACCCGGCAGCCAACCAACTGGTGCTTTCCTGTCTTCTGCATGGGGATTATTGGGCCTTTTGTCCATTGCTCTTGGCCATCAATTGAATAGATGCCTCTTGACCCCATCCCCTGTCGAAAGTGGGTTCAAGTGTTCGATGTCCAGGCCAGCTACTTGTACTTGGGAGCCGCGACTCCATTTATGGAGTCATCTGTGGATAAGACGAAGTGGCATTTTGAGGGGTTCGAAGCCTCAAGGAGTCGACATCTTCATCTCTTGTCATTCCATCGGGCACCTGGCAGAGGCCATCTTGTCATGCCCGCAAGGATGCGAGAGCTTCTAGCAGGGGTTAGTTGGCGCCAAAGAGAACGGATAAAAGCTAGCGGCAGCCATCCACGTCAGTGGTGGAAGTCGAGCACTAAATAATGGAACATCAAGCTGCAAGTCCGTTCCAGGCCCCCTCCCTTGTTCCCCGGCCCACCGCGAGATGGTCGAGTCTGGTACGGAGGACGTGCCCCTTGGTCCGTATTATTATTACCTCGCTGCATTGTGATATTATCATGGTCGATGTTGCCCTCTGCTGCCAAACGAGGCGCTTTTTCCGGGGACGGAGAACCCGCATGCATCAAATCCGTCCATTGCTCCATCGCCTGACGCGTCCATGCATCCATACACTACATGTAGATTTGATGTTTTGGCCTGCGCTTTCTCGTCTTGTTGCAGGCATTTGGCCTCCATAGCAGTCTCAGATGGCCAGCCTGACGAGAATAATGGAGATTGATGCCTCCCCAAACCACTTACCTGTGGTGGAATGACGGGAATTAAATCCCCATTTTAATCCCTCTGGCAAAGGTGCCACTGGACCAGCCTTGTGCGGGCGCTTCTCCCTGGCGACCCATTCCCCATCTGCGCTTGTTCGCTCCTTTGTCTCCATCACCTCCAAGCAACAACCAAGTAATAATATTAATGGCCCACCTAGGGATCCGTCAGCATCCTTGAATGTTCCGCCAAGGATCTCCCACTCTCTTCGGCGTGGAAACATCGGATCCAACGCCATTTCCTCCATCCCCCAAGTGTGGAAGCGCGGGCGGCGCAACCGTTCCGCCTGAGCCAGCCCTTCCCACCACTTCCATCGACCCAGAAGAGGCCGTGCAGCGCTGTTGGTGCTGGGTCCCCGCTTCAAATCGACGTTGTACTTGTAGATTCCGGTTGAATGGGTCTAGTGACGGACAGGGGAGGAAGGGGAGGCGAGGGCAGGCGAGGGCAGCAAGTTCCCGCTGAGATTGCCTGGTATTAGTGTATTTGGGTACTATCCGTCCTGGCCCGGTGCCCTCTAAGGCTCGGCCGGCTCGAGATTAAAAAGGCCCCCACCCCTCGCGCCGCCCTTCCCGACGATCATGGGAAAAAGGGTTTAATACTCCTCAAGAGCCTCTTTTTAACTCTTGCCACTCGTTTACCCAACCCTTCCATTCCCTTGGCGTGCTTTTCTCAGCAGTAGTCGTGTTGTATCAAGATTTCACTTGCGAAGCCAAGCCCATTTTTTTCTTTTGACTCAATTTGAAGACGGTTCTTGCGCTTCCTTCCTACACAACCACTACAGCAGTACCTTGGTCGTTTATTTGCCCGGCTCCGTCGCAAATTCTTCAAGATGAAGGCCTCCCTTTCCATCGCCGCCGCCCTTGTGCCCCTGGCTGCCACCGCCGCCTGCGGCCTCAAGAAGTTTGACAACCTCGTCACCTTTGGCGACAGCTACACCGATGAGGGTCGTCTCGGCTACTTCATCAACCACGGCGGCGAGGCTCCTCCTGCCGGCGAGCTCCTCCCCGAAAGCTCCGGCGCTGCCAGCGGCGGCTTTGCCTGGCCCCGCATCATCGCCCAGAAGGCCGGCGTCAAGTCTTTCAACTACGCCGTGAGCGGCGCCACCTGCTCCAATGCCATTGTTGAGCGTGACTTCCCCTCATTGGCCAGCCTTTCCCCTCTGTCCTCGAGTACGAGGTGCCCGCCTTCAAGGCCGATACCGAGTACCCCCTCTACGACAATGTCACCGCCGACAACACTGTCTACGCTCTGTGGATCGGTACCAACGACCTCGGCGCTGACGCCTTCTTGACGGACGACAACAAGGCTGGCACCACCCTCACCACCTACACCGACTGTGTCTTCAACGTCTTCGACAACGTCTATGAGACTGGCGGACGCCACTTCGTCCTCCTCAACGTTGTGCCCCTCGAGAAGCTCCCCATGTACGAGCTCCCCGAGCTCGGTGGCACTGGCGATAACCAGTTCTGGGGAGACAAGACCTCGTACGATATCCTCGCCCTCAAGAACAAGATCCATCAGTACTCCACTAGCGTCAACTCCATCTTCAGCTACGGCGCCGCTGCCAACACCGTCCTCAACAACCGATGGCCCGGCGCCTCCCTGACCGTTTTTGACGTCCACAGCCTCTTCTCCGAGCTCATCGCCAACCCCACCGAGTACTACGAGTCCCCCGTTGACCCCATCGGCTACTTCCGCCACTGCGATCCCGCCACTGGCGCATGCGTCGACTCCCAGAACGACCCCGACAGCTTCCTCTGGTACGACGAGCTCCACCCTTCGGTCCGCTCCAGTAAGTTTCTGCGGCGCACGGTCTCTAACAGAGATCTTGTTTCCTCACCCTCCCCCAAATGCCAGAGCGTCGTCGAGAAACAGACGCTCAGTGTCCCTTTGCATATCCAATTCGGGAGACCATTTACTAACAGCTTCTACCCTTTCCTCTAGGCGAGATCCTTGCTGAGGAGTTCATCAAGGTTGTCGAGGGTACCTCCAAGTACGCCACGACTTATGTCTCTAAGAGTGCCGCTTCTAAGAGGAAGTAAATGATTGACAAGGGCAGGAGAAAAACATGGTGTTGCTAGGGGTGCTCGTGAATCGGGGGACGCGAGGGCGAGGGAAGAGCCGGTGCTTCGGTCAAGCCCTCGACAACTGTACATAAAAAACTTAATAATCAATCTTGTACTTATACTCTTCCACTTCTCGTCAATATCGCCGTCCATTGGCCCCGTCGCCGTATCCCCTGTCCCCGACTAGCATATTTATCCGCCAAGTGATTCACGACCACCGCGGAACAGGCTGTGTCAAGCCATTCTTCAACCCCGCCGACTCTGTCGGCAATATACGGTCTTCTGGGGATGGCAAAAGCAGCCGTGAGCTAACAACAACAGGTGAACGGGGTATATGGAGCAGGGAGAGCAGGGAGAGCCGATGAGCCGACGAAAGGTGGCAGGCTTCCATCGAAGGTGTTAGAATAATTTCGCAGTGTGATGAGCCTTCTCTCGAGCGCCGATTCCGTGTCGTACTCATTGTGGATTCATCTTAAGGGGTGGGGGAATGAGTGCATGCCTAACAAGGGAAATCACTCCGCCCTTGTCAGCTCTACTCATTGAATCCGTCGAATTTCCAACGGATCCATCAACGCCAAAGGTCAGGAGATGGATCCGACTTTCCGGCCCGGTCTCGCTTCCTTTGGCGGCAAATACCTCAACACCGAGGCACTCCCCTCACTACATGGTCTGCAGCCTGAGGCAGCCATATCCTCACTGAAGAAGGGAGCCGGATTAGGTAAGGCAGTGCAGATTCATCAGACCAGTTTTGGAAATTGATATACGCGAGCGAAATATGGCAGCATCATTTGATCTCACAGTTCAGTAGAATTTTTGTGACGATAGACATAGATAAAGGGGGAAGTGGAAATAACTACTTATTTATTTTATTTATAAAAAAAAAAAAAGGAACGACCCGTCAATCTCGGTCGTGAAAGAACGAGGGACGTGGTGGCATATGTGGCTAACAAGAGGAAGTGCGAGAAAAAAACAAAAAGAAGGTGTGGGAGGTGCTCGCTTCCAGTTAAAGATCAATAGGACAGACCTATTCTAGCTAGGGGCCATGTTGTAGGCCCTCGGAATGGAGAAAGGGGACATCTCCATCGATTTGATCGGTGAGTGATTGCGAGGGCAGAGCAGTAATGCCCCCCAGCCACCCGACTATTCTTGTTTCGCTGCGGGATTTCGCTCCAAGGGGAAGACGAGCCAGCAGAAATACCCGGGCAAGTCGGATCTTCCGTCTCCACCTCCTCCAAGCAGCTCATTGCATATGTATTCATCCCCAGATGATAGCTTTAAGTAGTCTAGCACTATTACTGGAAGAGATAAGAGCCAATTGAGGAGGCAGACCAAACGGATCCATTCGAACTCAAGCTTGTCCACAAGCTCCGGTGATATGCAGCAATGGGCGGCGGGATTGCCGCGCCCTCAACCCTCCCAAGACGAGAGATGCAAAGCATCGGACTCATCTTGCCAGAAACCCGGCTAAGTGGGAATCATCGTGATGGAAATTATGATTTAGATTTCTCCATTTTTCCTTCCATCTCTTCGTCCTGCTTCCTGGCGGAGTGGCGACAAATACTCTATTGTTTATGAAAGCGTAAATTCATGTAAATCTCCATCACCGCGTTCGCATCCGTGGATCCATGTTCCCGTTCTTTGTTCCTGGCTTCAAATGTTGTGTTACCGGCCACCTCACCCTGCCTCAGCTCAACAGCCGCAGCTACACTAGTCAAGTTGTCACATTGATCAATGGATTGGAGAGATGGATTCTGGTATCTTCTTTCTCTCTCTTACTTTTTTTGGGAGGGCTCAAAGATGCCCTCTTCTGGGCACCTTCCCTTGAGCGAGTGGATCAACGCAACCTCGAAAGAATAAATTCTATTTGCTCGTTGTCTTTTGCCGGACCTTAACAATTATTCCAGGGGCCGTGCAGGTAGTCCATCCTATTTGAGCATCGAGTTTTTTTCTCCCTTCTCTTTCTAGGCTCTTCCGCTTGCCGAAGGAGCTCTGTGAATTGACTGGCCAGTGCAGCGCGCCCCCAATGTTATCAGATATGATTAGCCCAGAGACCAGGTCCAACTCCTCCAGCCCCGGTCCCGCCTCGCTTTCTCCTACCTCTCTCGCCTGTCACTTTGCGCGCCAACCTCTCCCCTTCTCGACTCGCCATCCATTGACAAGCCAGATCCACCACACAATTTTTTTCTCTCCCTCCTTCCCTTCTTGCGCCGCGACCCACTCTCTCAGATAATCCCGACGTGCGCAGTTCCCCTTCCAACTTAGATTTTCGCCCGCTTTCTCCGCCCAAGTCCATTGATAATTCCGACCGACCATAATCGCACTCCTGTCCCCTCATTTCCCGTCTTGCCCGCGCTTGCTAGAGCTTGCAGCAGTACCTTTGCACTTCCAGTGTCGCGACTCCCTGCAACGAAAGGCCACACCATCCCTTTCCCCTCCTTCCTTTCGGATTTTGGACACACGGTAGACGCCTCCAACACTCCTTTGCGACCTTGCCGACCCTTTTCTCACCAGCAACGTCCCGAGCTCGGAGGACGATCACAAAAGATTGTGGGATAAAGAGATCAGCGCATGCGTGAGGGAGCGCGACGAGGCGAAAGAGGCATCCACACCCACGAAAGCGAAAGAGCAGGCAAAGAGAGAGAGCCATGTACCCTGCCGGTGGTGGTTATGGCTTTCCTAATGGGCCTGGTCCCGGAATGCCGCACTTCAACAATGCCGCCCCACCCCAGCATCAACAGCCAAACCTTCACATGCAGCAGCCTGGACAGGTCGCCCCAGGCCAGCCAGGCCAGCAGATGATGTTTAATCCTCAGCAGTTTGCTGCAATGGGTGGCCAGGCACCATTTGCTCCCGGTGGCCCCAATGCTGGCATGATGCAAGGCCCAGGACCTGGTGGCATGGTGCAGAACCCCGCGATGGCCCAGATGGGAGGCGGTGGACAGAGTGAGTCCTCCAGTAGCCCTCCCTTCCAATCTAACCGTGTCATCACGCCCGTCTTTCCTTCAACCACGCCTCTATATCTCCCTCGCTTTCCCTTCCCAGATAAATGCGCAACACGCGCTTCTACCCTCTCCCTGAGCGAGCGAAGGCCGGGCTCGACGCGACTGCTGCCGCCACAACTCTCTTTCCCCGCTCGAACGACGCGTCAAATATCGTGGATCATAATGAAGGGCTAGTGTTTTGGCCGGGACAAGTTTGATTGTGGTTGCGGAGCGATCAGGCAGAGAGCCTCGTACCCTGGCTTTGATTCACTCATCTAGTCCCTTACCGCGCCTGCCTTGCCCTCTACAGACGGACTCTTGTTGTTCTTTTGTCGGGCGTAAACCTGATGCTAACATCGTTTTTCAGTGCCAGGATTTCAGCAAGGTGCTTTTATGAACGCGCAATACCCGGCTGGGCACCAGCAATTTAACCCGAACTTCATGGCTGCTCAAGGAATGCCAGCCGGATACCAGATGACGGCTGCTGGGCTCGCGGCACAGCAACAACAGATGCTTCAGCAACGCATGGCGGCCCAGCAGCAAGCTGGTGGTGGCATGACACCAACCGGCACTCCCCAACGCCCTATGAGCGCCTCTCAGAACACCCCGAACCCGAACATGCCAACACCGCCCCAGCCTCAAACACCCCAGCAAGGTCAACAGCAGCCGAACCAACAGCAATTACAACAGGCGCAGGCGCTCGCACAGCAGCAGCATCAGAGGCAACAGCAGCAACTCAGACTACAGCAGCAGCAGCAGCAGCAACACCAGCAGCACCAATTACAGCAGCAGCAGCAGCAGCAGCAGCAACAACAACAACAACAGCAACAACCCCAGATGCAGCAAACGCCCCAACCTCAACAGTCACACCAGCACCACCCGCAACAGCAAGCACCGCAGCAACCACAGCAGCATCAACAGCAACCGGGACAAGGGCAACCTCAGCAGACGCAGAACCAGCAATATCCTACCCCCAGCCCGGATCTCAGTCCCACACGCCGACCGCCCAAGGCCCGAATGCAACCATCTCGACTCCCCAAACCCCGACCTTCCCCGGCGGACAAGGTATCGGTGCAAATGCGATGCAAGTTCCCCTCAGCCCCCAGTTTACCGCTGTTGAGCGGGAGCGGTTCTCGATCCTTCTCGATATCAATCAAGAACTTCTATACGAATCAATGCAGTTGCAGCATACCCAACTGGAACTGAAGAAGGAACTGACGGGCCCGGAGGGTTCGTCGGACGCGGAAAAGAAGAGGGTAGAGGAGGTGTCTCAGGACTTTACACAGTACGTTTATCATGCCCTTGGCCTGACAGATGGCGATGATTGATGAGATGCTAAAAATGTGATGTGTCATAAACAGATGTCTGCGACGCCTCAACGCAAACCTCCAGTATCTCGCTGCTCTGGCTGACCGCAAGAATAAGCTACCTCCATGCCCAGTCATTATCAGCGCCCCGCCTCTTAACATGAGTCTCGATATCAAGTATCTCCCGGAAGGCACCGATGGGGCCGCCAATACCCCAGCCGATCCTGTCGCGGACCGCCAAGATCGGAACAAGTATCTGCAAGAGCTTTACGCGAAGCTTCAGGCCCTTTTCCCCGGTATCGACCCGAAAAAGAACCGGCTTTCCCCATACAGAACGCGCGACCGGGCGGTCCGCAACCCGGCCAGATGCAGCAGAAGGGGTCGATGGGCAGTCAAGGTAGCCCTGGAATGGGACAGGTTCAGCGAACACCACAGATGGCGAACATGCCTGCCCCTCCCGCCGCATCCTAGTCGGATCTGGCCGAGATAGAGACTTGGTACTTGAACCGCTTCTTGGCCATGCCGTCGTTTATAGCTCTGTTCGAGCCTGGGCACGCGGCAGAAGTCATGCCCGCTCTCTCGCCATCAATGAAGGAGTAAGGGACGGAAGTCCCAGGGCTATGGATGGCCTGGCGGCCTCCTCAATTCCCTAACATCAAAACATTGCTAGGCGTTTAGAAATCTGCTTACGTTGCTTGTTTGGTTTTTTTGTTTCCCCAACATTCTTTTCTTTGTCGTCGATGCGACATCGTCGGTAACCTCGTTTCTGACGCCACGTTCCTTGCCATACTTTTCCTTGGTCCTTTAGTTTGTCTTATTTCAACCGCTCTCTTGAGGCCTCTGGTTTTTCGTCTCCTAGAATGTTTGACCGGAAGCAGCCGGTGTGAGGGCCATGCGCCCTTCCATTCACGCAGCTGCCATCTCATTTCACGTCTTATACTGCGCTCTTTTATGGTCTCATGGCATTTCCAGGGAATTGGAAAAGGAAGGGCGGGCTGGTTGTTTTGGCCCCCTTGGGGCTCTTTTTCTCCTTTGCTTCAGTTTTTAGCATCATATCGTTTGTCTACTTTTCGTCACCACCATCGGTATCACCCTAGCGCCTTTCTCCCTCTCCCTTCTCCTCTTCCTCGCTTTTCTTCCTCGCCTCTGGGGCAACTTCTTGTCCCCCAGCTATCTTTTTTCCTTTTTTTCCCCCTTTTTCCGTCACTTGGCGGGCATCAATGTTTCTTGTTATTCAGCGGCGCTGTCAAAGATGGTTTGGTGATCAGTATCGCCAGCATGATTATTCCCAAATCAACGTCTTGTTCCTTGGAGGCTTGTATGACAGGATGAATTAGAATATGATAGCCAGTCTTGTAGGCTTCGCCATACAAGATTATGTGAAATATGAGCAGACTTTTCAACAATGATGAGCACTGTGTGACGGGTCACAAATGCGAACCAGCCCATATCACCACAGGTCGGGAGCGCCTCCTTGGTAGCCATGTCCTCACATGTCCAAAGCGTGACACCAAGGCAGTTTTACAGCACTTGTTCTTCGTCTCATTTATGCCATCCTCTCGAAACGACTGCAAAACCCTCAAATCAGTAGAGCCACGATAGAAACAGGACAGAAATCCAGCGCAGGTTAGAACCAATGTTTAGTCAGCTTGATGAAAGAGAGGGAGGGAGTAGCTCCATCCCCAGTCCGGCTTCGGTATTCAGGCCTCCCCAGCTTAGCCCAGCTTAGTCCGATGTAATGATAGGTTAATGGAGGCTTGATCCATGTGCTTGATCTTTTTCCAGCCTCGTGTTCCGCCCCTTTGGTTTTTTATCGCTCATGCTAGGATGGGACCCTGCTTGAGGTTTAGTGTTGTGACCTTGGGTTGACACCTGCATCCGTCTCTTCGTTGTCCGAACCCCGCCGGCCATTTCTTCGCGCGCGCGCCCATCAAGCAAGTATTTGTAAACTGAGTTTCATGCGCAACACCTGTCTTTGAGTTGGTGAAACTGCCGCGCCACAATCAGGGTTGCCATCTGTGTTTTATATCTCATGTCGTGTGGTTAGTCTGTGGGACGTTTTCTGGGGCACTAGCTAGCTGCTCTCTGCCAGGTTGATTAATCCTTCAATTGAACCTTCTATTTCTTTATTCATCCTTTTTTCCCCCTCCGCTCCAGCCCTCTGCCCCTCCTTCGCGGCCAACCCCACCAGCACACCGTACGTCGGCCTCCGGTGATAGCATCACCAGTACATTTTTGCGATTTGTTCCTGCGACAGCACGCCGGGCTTCTCGCACACCTCCTTGAATACTGGACGTACTGAGACCCTCAATAGTTTTCAGGCCGGATTATACGAAGGTGAAGCCCTTCCGAAGAAAAATCATCGTTCCCTCAATATTCTCACCCTACTTAGAAACCCCATCTAACCAGACTGCGCATTCCAAGACCACCCCGTATTACGATCACGCCAGAAGCTTAGGGACTCAAGAAAAGCCAACGGACTTTTCGCCCTCCTTTCTTTTTTACTTGAGGAACCAAGAAGAAAAAAAAAAAGAAAAAGGCACAAAGCCTATCAAAATGGCGTCAATCAATGACCTCGCTGCGGCCGCCATCGCCACCTCCTCTGGACAGCAGAATGCGGCGGGACGTGGTGCGCTCATTGTCCTAGAAGGCCTTGACAGAAGTGGCAAGACGACCCAGGTCAAGCTATTAGAGCAGCGCTTTGTTGAAGCTGGCAAAAGGTCAAGGTGATGCGCTTCCCGGGTGAGTCGGCTTTCACTAAACAGAACCTGAGGTCCCCCCGACCGGCCACTTCCGGTTCACACTGTCAACAACACCATTTCTCGGAAATGCGAGATCAGCGCCCGCGCCGGGTTTCCAGGACCAGAGATGAGGCCGCCCAAATTCTTCCTACCAGGACTAACTGGATGACTAGATCGGACCACACCCATCGGCCAGATGATTGATGGATATTTAAAGAGCTCCATTGAGATGGATGACCATGCTATACACCTCCTTTTTAGTGCTAACCGCTGGGAAGCTGCGTATGTATCTGCCATTTTCGCGAGGCACGCGGACATGTGATGGCCAAAACCGGCGACCCCCAACTCTCAGATGAATCGTGCTAATAGATGGCAACCTTTGGCCGTGTTCCGTAGCAAGTCCATCAATTCCCTACTAGCGAGCGGCACAACCGTCCTCTGCGATCGATATTACTACAGTGGCGTGGTATATAGCGCTGCGAAGCAGAACCCTGCGCTGTCCCTCCACTGGGCGCGCGGCCCCGAGGTCGGCCTCCCCCGGCCCGACATGGTCCTCTTCTCGACTTAGACGAAAACAAGGCTCGCGAAAGAGGTGGCTGGGGCGGCGAGGTCTACGAGAAGGCGGAGATGCAGAAGCGCGTGCGCGATCTCTTCTGGGGCCTGAGCCTGGGAACGATTGGAACGCCAGACGGACCTGGGGGAACCCCGCAGGAAAGGTCCGAACCCGCCGGGGTCGCGGAAACGAGGCAGTTTAGGCAGGAAGAAGAAGACCTTGTGCTCGTTGATGCGAGCCCGTCGGTAGAAGAGGTGGCCGAGGAGATTTGGAAGAAGGTGCCCCGCGTCGACGCCGTAGATCGGGGAGAGGTCGGGAGGACCGTTCGGCTGGTTGCTTGAGGGCAGATACAGAGGAGACGAGGTTCGAATTATAGAAATAGAGGTTGCGGCGCATATAGGTTAGTTTATAGGTTAGTGAGTGAACTGGGGCAGCGTATTCCTTTGGAGGCATCCTTTTTCTTCTTGCCCTCTTCGCTTCTCCTTCGGGGCATGGGGAAATGCGAGCGTGACGTGCGTCATTCTCTCTCAGGAGATATCTCTACTGCCCAGTAAGGACTGTAGTCGACCTAATGCCCTTGACGGGGCTAATAAGCTATCCAAGGCTTCTCAGATGGCACTAGCAGGCTAGATAGAGAGCGTGAATACGCGCACCCTATCGATTCTCGGCAGATAGAGTATGACTTCAACTCTTTGCTTTTCTCTTAGAAGGCAACTGATGGAGAAGAGGCACACCCCTGTGCTTGTTCACAATTACGACCGTGACATACTCAGATGGTGAGTGCTTCTGTGTCCATGGGAATCTTGTATTCGTGACCGCCTACCCGTTGACCCTACAAATAAATGATCGGCCGCCTGATTGGTGATTGGTGCAGGATACGTCGATCAGAACGTAACGAATGAGGTGAAGGTCAGCCCCAGCCTCTATCTAGGGGTACATCAGAGATGAGGGGTCCGTTAGCTACAAGGCGACGATAGAGCCGTGGAAAGCGCCTTTGCTTTCGGACACGACCGCTGCAAAGAGGATTGCGGATGGAACAACGCGGGGCCGCGTTGTGCCATCTAAGCCTCGTCTTTCGATGCCGTCCATGGATTTCTGAGCGTGGATGCGTCACCATCGCTGCAAAGCTTTGAAAGGGGTAGGTTTAGAGGGGGCACGAGGGACGCGCTTGACTACGGCTCATAATCATCGGAAACAAGCTGGCGAATGGGGCGCTTGTGTTTGCTTACGTCTTGGGCTCTCTGTCATGATATAGGAGCACTCGCACTGGCCCACTGAGCTCCGGATCCGTAGATACAAAACGGCCCAGGCTTTATTAAACGGGAAGCGGAGGGGCCACGGCCATGGTGCAGATGGAACAAACAAGCGAGGCGGGGAAGGGAAGGTGAGCGTGCGGGGCAAGTACCAGAGTACACCGAGAGAGCCGAGCGCCCAGGGTCCCCGGTGTGAATTGGCAGTGACCATCGTCATCGAAACAAAGGGCGTGAGGCAACCCCAACCTCAGATGTTTAACTTGACTCGCGCTTCTCCAGGAATTCCCCAGGTTTCTCCAAATCCTTGAAAAGGGGTGGGGACGCCACAGCCGTTCGAGATGGTCAAAACTTTATATGGCAGGATGGCTATGTTTGGTCTCAAAGGTGGTGGCACAACACTGCGACAACTCCGCAATTGCTGTCGACAAAAGCTGTGACACCTTGGACTGACTTGCAGGGTGGTGTGGTCTGCCCACCATCTCCATGGGACAACCAATTGAGCCACCTGAAGTTGTCCCTGGCTGGTATTCTCTTTGCCCCTTTATCATTCCCCGCTCCTCACGTACCCTCCATCAGCGCTGGTGTTACTCGCCCGTTTGCCGAGGGGGCGGGGAACGTCCGTGAAGAGGATGGTGTGTAATACGCCGGCGCGGATGGAAATAGCCTTGCACGAGCCCGACTTCTCCAGATTCGCAACGTACCGTGACAAGAATGAGGGGTCGAGTCTTGGACGTTACACGACTGCCGACGGAGAAGAGGAGAAAAGGAAAAGAGAAGGAAATGCTGGAGAGTGACACTGTATGTCGATGTATCAAGATACATCGAAGATCTCGGCATCAAATCGAGCAATGGTTTATGTCGGATCACCCAGCATTCCTCAGTGGCCGAACCCTCGATTTTCGCATGACGGCCCATGAGTGCCTTCCGATTCGAGCCCGAGAGGCGTGGCCCGAGGTCTAGGCTTCGTGAAAACTGAGGAAACACGCTAGAGTCCAATGCCCTCGATTGTTCCACAGCCCAAACAATCAACAATGGATTGATCAATTGATATTAATTTGAATGGCTTTCCTGTGAAGGATCGGTCCAGGTTAGCCAACTCCCAAGCCCACATTGCTGCTGGAGGGGCATAGTAGTAGGGCTTGGGGTTGTTAGTCTAGTGGAGCGCTTGGCGCTAGTGCCTGTCGGTGCGTGAGAAGCGATGCTCAAGTCCTGCCCCTGGCCTTCAACCCTTGAAGGCTTGATGGGTGATTTGGTGAATGGATCAAATTGATTGCCTTGGAAAGGCCGCCCTCGGCACCGTCCTGATGTAGTGTACCCAACAGAAAAAGCATCGCCGCTTCGACGGGAAGGCGCCACACAATTGTCTAAGTCAAAGTAGCTGTACTTGCGCTAACACAGTGGAACATAATCCTGGTCCTTGGTCTGGGGAGCAGTTCTCTCTTCTGAACGTCTTTATTTTCTTTTCGCTTTTCTTTTTCTTCTTTTTCTTCTTCCTCCTTCAATCACTCGCAAGTGGTTCCTTCTTTCTTTCTACCCTCCGTGTCCTGTTGTCGACGAGGCTCCGAGGTCGACCGTGCTGTTCACAACAGCTAGGGTCTGCCAATCGCTAGTAGCCTAGCTGCTTCGATTGACCTGGATCTGGATTTTGATTTCTTTGGCCCTCTCCAGGCTTCGTCCCCTCCCCGGGCTTTCGCCGTCTTGCTCCAGCTGAGCTGGTGCACCTTCGCCGACTTGCAGCAGTCCATTTTTTCGTCTTTCGAACACCTTTGACCGCTCGCGAGGAAGTCAGGACCGTGCATGAGCTCAACGTCTGAGGCCCACCGAACCCACTCGTGAGTCAGACGCGCCAGGGAGACGACATTATATTCTCGATTCTGCCTTGCAAGTAGACTCCCTCCGGCGAGAAGGCTTCTCTTTACCATTCGAGCGATATCAAATGCCGTGGCCTCTTTCCCGATCGCTCCTGGCCTTGGGCCAGGGCAGCCAAGCAGGTGTAAGCTCGCCGACGGCCGCGCGGCGAATTATTTCGCAGACTCGAGGTAAGCTTTCTGCTATTTGGCGCCGAGGCAACCCGAATTCGATTGCCGGAGTGACCCACTCGACAGCAATGGAAGGATCCCACCAAGCTGCGAAAGCCCTTGAGGAGCTCCCACCAGCGTTCCCCATGAGCTGAGACAATTGTATATCCCACTACGGTTGCTTGTGCTTGCGCAATCTTGTTTTGCTCTTCATCACTCGTTGTTCCGCCTGTTTAAATGGTCAAGAGACTATGCTAACCTCTCGGTGCTCGCTCCCTGAGCTTTTGCCGAAAAAAAAAGACAGCTTCACGTGCAGATCTCCTACCCTTGTCGTTGCTGGCCGACGTCGGTCTCATTCTCACCGCCAGTGGCAGCGTTTTCCGCCTCCCTCTGTCGCGTCCACAGCTCTCGTGCCCCGTAATTCTGGACAGCTCCAGGTTGTTCGCCATGCTTCGACTACCCAGTCCGCCACTGACACAAAGCCTGATGCCGTCCTGCCCGCCACTACACCCTACACCCAACTCACAGTTGGTGTGCCCCGGGAGACCTTTCCTAACGAGCGACGAGTTGCTTTGAACCCCGCCAATGTTGCGCTTCTACGTAAAAAGGCTTCGCCAAGGTCTTAATCGAGCGGGGCGCTGGTCTCGAAGCTGATTTCCTTGATGACGCCTACATTGCTGCCGGGGCCACCCTCGTCGATGCCGCGAGTGTTTGGAAGGAATCCGATATTGTTCTCAAGGTCAGAGCGCCTAGCGCCGCTGAGACTGACCTCGTCAAGACGAACCAGACCGTGCTCTCTTTCCTCCAACCCGCCCAGAATAAAGACCTTGTCGAGAAGCTCGCCTCCCGAAATGCCACTACTTTTGCCATGGACATGGTCCCTCGTATCTCCCGTGCTCAAGTCTTTGATGCTCTTAGCTCCATGGCCAACATTGCTGGGTACAAAGCTGTCCTTGAAGCCTCTAACAACTTTGGCCGATTTCTTACGGGTCAGGTCACCGCGGCTGGAAAAATACCCCCTTGTAAGGTCTTGGTTATCGGGGCCGGCGTCGCCGGTTTAAGTGCCATTGCTACTGCGAGGAGGCTTGGGGCCATAGTCCGAGGCTTTGACACCCGCCCTGCTGCGCGGGAACAGGTCCAGTCTTTGGGTGCCGAGTTTATTGAGGTCGAAATTGAGGAAGATGGTTCCGGTGCTGGCGGTTACGCCAAAGAAATGTCCAAGGAATTTATCGAGGCGGAAATGAAGCTCTTCACCGAGCAAGCTGCCGAGGTTGATATCATTGTCACGACCGCGCTTATTCCCGGAAAGCCTGCACCTAAGCTGATTACTCGGAGCATCGTTGAGGTTATGAAGCCTGGTTCCGTAATTGTAGATCTGGCTGCTGAGGCTGGTGGCAACTGTGAGGTTACTCAACCTGGAAAGCTCATCACCCACAAGGATGTCAAGGTTATCGGTGAGTTCTTTGATCCTTCATAACGTAGAACGAACTGACTAACCCTCCTCTTCTCCCCGGCGCTAAGGATACACGGATTTTCCCTCTAGGCTGCCCACCCAGTCTTCGACGCTCTACTCTAACAACATCACTAAACTTTTGTTATCCATGGCACCTAGGGACAAAGAGTTTGGAATCGACCTTGAGGATGAGGTTGTTCGAGGCTCCATCGTCACCCTAGAGGGCAAGATACTTCCCCCAGCCCCACGCCCTGCCCCTCCACCAGCGCCTGCCGCGAAGCCTACCAAAGAGGAGCCGGAGGTTGTCGCCCTCACTCCTTTCCAAAAGAAATCGCGAGAAGTGGCCGCTGTCACGGCTGGAATGACCTCGGTACTAGCCCTTGGGAAGTTCACTAGCCCCTTACTTATGGGAAATGCCTTCACCTTCGCGTTGGCTTCGCTCATCGGCTATCGTGTGGTTTGGGAGTCCAGCCCGCTCTCCACTCTCCTCTCATGAGCGTCACGAATGCGATCTCTGGAATGGTTGGTATCGGTGGCTTCTTTATCCTTGGTGGAGGCTACCTTCCTGAGACCATTCCCCAAGCTTTTGGTGCTCTCTCCGTCCTCCTAGCTTTCGGAAACATTGGTGGCGGCTTCATGATTACCAAAAGGATGCTGGATATGTTCAAGCGTACGGAACAAAAACACCCCCTTCTTGCTATCTCTGGGATCCGTAGGACGTGACTAACGCTGCTTTAGGTGCGACTGACCCCCGAGTACCCCTGGCTATATGCCGTCCCTGCCGCTGTCTTTGGCGGTGGTTTTCTCGCTGCTGCGTCCACCGGCGCTGCCGGCCTAGTCCAAGCAGGATACCTTATCAGCTCGGTCCTCTGTATCGGTTCCCTAACTGGCCTTGCGAGCCAAGCGACTGCGCGCATGGGTAACATGCTTGGAATGCTTGGTGTTGGCACTGGTGTTCTCGCTTCCCTCCTCGCCGTCGGTTTCTCCCCGAGGTTCTCACGCAGTTTGGCGCTCTAGCCACCCTCGGCACTCTCGCAGGTGTCCTCATTGGAAAACGCATTACCCCGACCGACCTCCCACAGACAGTGGCTGCCCTTCATTCCGTGGTGGGTCTTGCAGCTGTCTTGACCAGTGTCGGTAGTGTTATGGCGGATGTGGCACACTGCTCTACTCTTCACCTAGTGTCGGCCTATCTCGGTGTCCTTATTGGTACGTGCGACTCAGAATGCCCCCTTGCACACTGAGCCTGCTACTAACGCGGATATAGGCGGTATCACCTTCACGGGCTCCTTGGTTGCCTTCTTTAAGCTTGCTGGCCGCATGTCTTCGCGCCCCCTCACGCTTCCTGGCCGCCACATCCTTAACACCGGCATGCTTACTGCCAACTTGGCGACAATGGGTGCTTTTGTTGCCATGGCCCCAGGGTCTCCGATGATTGCCGCTGGGGCTTTAGCCACCAACACGGTGCTCTCCTTCATCAAGGGATTCACCACCACCGCTGCTATCGGTGGCGCTGATATGCGTAGGTTTTCCCCTTGAAATGAGAACAACGACGGTGAATGCCGAGAATCTGTCCCTGCTAACCGATAACCTCTTCTCAGCCGTCGTTATCACTGTATTGAACGCGTACAGCGGCTTTGCTCTTGTTGCCGAGGGATTCATGTTAGATAATCCTCTCCTTACAACCGTGGGAGCATTGATAGGCGTTTCCGGTTCTATTCTATCTTATATTGTGAGTCATGTCTCCGGCCCCGAAATCCTACCCGCCTCGGTTCTTCTCCATTGGCTTTCCTTTGCTTTTTATCTCTGTTTTTGTTAGTTGTTTTCTAGTGCAGGCTAACCTAAACTCAAGATGTGTGTGGCGATGAATCGCTCTTTGACGAATGTCCTTTTCGGAGGCATATCCACGCCTACAGGACCAAGCGAATACAAGGTTGAGGGAACAGCCGTGCAGACGAATGTGGAAGAAACGGCGGAAGCATTGTTGAATGCAGAAAACGTGATTCTTGTAGTCGGATACGGCATGGCTGTTGCTAAAGCGCAGTACGCTATCAGTGACATCACCAACATGCTTCGAGCCAAGAACATCAATGTACGATTCGCCATCCACCCTGTGGCTGGTAGAATGCCCGGTCAGTGCAACGTTTTGCTGGCCGAGGCAAGCGTCCCGTACGACATCGTGCTGGAGATGGACGAGATTAACGACGACTTCAACGACACCGACGTTACCCTGGTTATTGGAGCTAACGATACTGTCAACCCGATCGCTCTGGAGGCCGGTAGCCCAATCGCTGGCATGCCAGTGCTGCATGCCTGGAAGAGTAAGCAGGTTATTGTTATGAAACGAAGCCTAGCAAGTGGATACGGTAAGAAACACCCCGCCTAGACCGAGGACTACTTTTCAGGAAAGCAAAGGATCCCCGCTAACGATTTGGTATTTTGTCTTGCTAGCCGACGTGCCAAACCCCATGTTCTACATGCCAGGCACTAGGATGCTGTTTGGTGATGCTAGGGTTACTTGTGATGGTAAGCAAGAGCACTCACAGTCATCCTGCCGTGATGGTCCACCGTATATTCAGCGCAAGTTCTAACCATATTATCCTTAGCGATCAAATCGGCACTGGAGTCCAGGCAGTAATGGCTTGGATCCCCTAACTTTGCGATGGCCAAGTGCTTGCTGTCCCCACATTTACCTCGTTCGCGTGGAAGAAGCGCATGATATAATTTCCGAATTTCTGATTGTGTATGCATCGTCCGTCGCTTATATCTCATTATCATTGTCATTGCACGATATGTCCGACGTGGGCAAGTGGTTTGCATAGTTTCTCTCTTGTCTTTCTGCCTTTTCCTTGCCCATAAGGGAATCTAGTTTCAAAATTTCCAGGCTTTCATCGTGATATGGTGCACTATTAAACTCATGTAGGATGGGGACGTGTCGTGCAAAGATAGATCATTATCCTCTGTGCTAGGCCCCGGGGCCTGGGAGCTCGATTCCCGCTCACCCCCACGGGCCAGTCCCTTTGAGTATACCGAGGTATAGTTTGTCTATCGCCGCGATTCTAGGTTTCGACAAGGGGGCAGGCGTATTGGGGGCGGTAGATGACGAGCGCATTATCTCGAGTTGGGATTGCAGCGCCCCCACCCTCAGCGGAACACCCTTTGTTAAGAGTCGTAAACGAGGTAAAGCCTGTAGGTCAACATTGCAGGTTACAATTGATCTGTATGGCCATGCAACCAATTGTCTATTATCTTGAAATCCATATTTACACACTGTACTACCCTTTCTGAGCCCTCGACATCCCCTGCCAGCTTATTGCCTCTCGGCAGTCTTTGGTACCCATGCATTTAGCTTAGGTGCCGTTCTAAAGATATTCGTCAGTGATCTCTCTTCTCCCTAAAGATCTAGCCTAGTGATGTTTCGGCTTGTTCGAGGGGGTTTAAGGACGGTGGTCTCACGTGTTATAAGTCTTGAAAGCGCTCCTCGTGCCTGTGTAGTTGGGAATGGCGGATCGGGCCTTGGTCTGGAGAAGGCCATCCTGGGTGGGAGGCTTATCTACCATATAGGCAAGCCAGGCGTGCCAGCCTGGGTCGACCTGGGCACTGTTGGCGGGAGTTAGCGTGATGGAAGTGCGGGATCCATGGGGTCCAACGGAGTCCAACTGAGTCCATATCAAGGAAGTTCGGGGACCTGAGGGAAGGCAAGGCCGTCGACTTACGCATCGTAATCGTGCTTGGCATATTCGACCCAGCGAGTTCGGACTGTATTCGAGGGGTTAGAGGGGTGAGATATCGGGAGATTTCAGAACGGGCAATTCGTACGGGGAAGTTCCTCGTTATTCTCAAAGAATTTGTTTCCAGCAAGATCGGTGCCAATTAGGGTTCCCCATTTGGTATCACCTAGGTACGGTTAGCACTAAGCTCCTCCCATTTATCCCCAAGTAGTTGCCAGGATGAGCCTGGGGTCTCTGTTTGGAATGCATCATACCGATGTACTAATCGTTTGCGAGGGGTTTGGCAGCAATCGTCAATCATTCGGTTCTCTGGTTAATATTAGATTCGGAAGGCCGACATACCAGCATTTGCTTGAAGTAGTCCTATCAAGGGCGTCAGCGAATTGAAGCGTACAGACATGTCGTCTGTTTGGCAGGGGAGGGTTCTCAAGCAGGAAGAAACCCAGTGGAGTGGAAAAAGGGAGAGATTCGCGTCACCTTACCTTGATTCCGACCTTGCGGAGGTTGCTGAGAGTTCTCGGAAGCGTAGACATGGTTGAGATACGACGGTCCCGTCGGTTTCTGCTCTACAATTCACGATCGTTTTGTTCCCTTCGAACTGAGTGATGATGCTCCGAATTGACTCTCGAGAGAATTGGCGATGTTCTGAAGAAATCATGACTAAGCAGGCGAGGCCAGCCAATGGGTGAGCTCTATATGGTAATTGCCAAAGTAGATGCTTACACAGTGTCCGGTTTGTTGGCACTGTCATGTACACGAAGAGCTTGCACCTCACGCTGCACCTTGGTTTTGTCTCGAGGTTAGAGGTCCTTGTAAGCAGCGCAAGCCCATTTTCAAAGCTTTGGGGGCGCCGTGTAATTTTTCTTTCTTTTTTGGTCTTTCCTCTTCCCATTCTTCCATTGACATCTTCTTGTTCTCCTTTGGGAGTTTGTGTTCCAGCAATAGAAGGCGATGTTCGCCCGAAATGCCCTGCGATTGACAACTCGCGCCCGTCCACCTGTTGCGCGCTCCCGCAATGCTCTCGGTCACCGGCCCTCTCAACCGCAATGCCGGCGCTTTTCGGCCAGCACCTCTTCGACAGCGCCTTCGCCCGTTGCGCAGGGCACGGGGATAGGCGCGCTCGCGCCCTTTGTTTCTGAGCTCGATAACCTAGCGCCTGCCTTCGACATCAAGGGGTCAGATGTGAGCATCCTTCGCACGCCAGCCGAGTTTTACGAAACGCTCAAGGACCGGATCCGGAAGGCTGAGAGGCGGGTGTTCTTGTCGACCTTGTACATTGGAAAGTCGGAACAGGAGCTGGTGGGTTTTACTTCTCCTCTCTTTTCCTTTTAACTTTTTCTCCATCTTATAGCGCTCCCTGGCTTCTCTCAGGGCGAAATGGTTTGAGAAAGGAGCTGACACTTTAACTTCTTTTTTGCCGCGCTCGTTTCTAGATCGATACCCTGGCCGAAGCGCTAAGGAAGAACCCAAACCTCACCGTGAGCGTCCTTACCGATGCGCTAAGAGGAACGCGCGAGGCGCCCAATCCCTCCTGTGCCTCGCTCCTCGCGCCCCTCGTGGAAGAGTTTGGCAAGGACCGCGTCGAAATCCGAATGTACCACACGCCGAACCTGACGGGGCTACGCAAGAAGTATATACCTACAAGAATCAACGAGGGATGGGGATTGCAGCACATGAAGCTCTATGGAATGGATGATGAAATCATATTATCGGGGTATGGTGCCCGTGTCTCCCAAGACGGATCTCCCGCCCGGCCTTGCTAACTCGAGATCTCAACTTACCTACCCCCTTCCAGGGCCAACCTTTCCTCCGATTATTTCACTGACCGACAGGATCGGTACCACCTACTCCGATCTAAAGACGTCACAGAGTATTTTTGGAATATCCACAAAGGTGTTTCGTCCTTTAGCTTCCTCGTCGCGCCTGCTACCCAGGATCCGGCTGGCTTCCAACTTACCTGGCCCACCTCGAACGGCGGCCCCTCCCCGCTCGAGGCCCCCTCCGCCTTCGTACGGCACGCATCGGCGGTCCTGAAGCCGCTCATCACGCCCAGCTCCGCTCCCGCCGCCGTCCCCGCCGAGAAGACGTCCAGCCGGGAGGTGCTGGATACGAGGATATACGTGCTCGCACAAATGTCTCAGCTCCTCCGGCCTGACATCTCGACGGAGCTGCCTGCTATAACCCACATCCTTCGGACCCTGGCGCGTCCCGAGTTCGCGGCCTCCTCCTGGACCTTTACAGCGGGCTACTTCAACCCCGCCCCCTCCCTCACGAAGCTCCTCCTCTCCACTAGCCCAGGGGGCCAAAATACCATCATTACCGCCTCCCCTACGCCAATGGCTTCTACAAGAGCCCTGGCGTCTCGGGTCTCCTTCCGGGGGCGTACACCGTCCTCCTCCGTCGCTTCCTTGATGCCGTGCACATCTCGCGTCGCACGGATATACAGGCGATGGAGTGGCGCCGCGGTACTGTCGGCGAGCCCGGAGCGTGGACATACCACGCTAAAGGTCTCTGGATCTCCCTACCGCGCGAGGCCAGACCATCTATGACGCTTGTCGGCAGCTCAAACTACACCAAGCGCAGCTACTCGCTGGATCTCGAAGTCGGCGGTCTCCTCGTCACGCGGGACGAAGACCTGAAGAGAAGGCTGGCCGAGGAAAAGGAGTGGCTTACGGAGCACGCCGCAGTCACAACAAGGGATGACCTCTGCAAGTCGGAGAGGAGAGTCGGCATCAAGGTGAGGATTGCAATGCTGCTTGTCAAGCTTGCTGGGGAGCCCTGTAAAAGGTTTGCCACCCGCCGAGCGCCGTTTGTTTCTTAGTAGGCATGGGCGATAGCTGTATTTTTATTGCTTGATCGGTGTGTATCCTGTAGTATCAACCCTTCCTCTTCTTTTTCCTCTTTTAGAGATACGGGCGTGTAAGGCTGCCGAGTTAGTAGGTATACGTCGGCACGGTTCGGAACCCATGGATGGGTAGATCATTTCATCAGATCTAATATGGGTAAACCAATGACTTATAGAATAGATCTCTCAATGTACAATTACACAGTGACATAATGACCATGGGCTTCTACATCGACCTTGGCTTGACTAGACCACAGAGCAAGAGAGATTGGCAGATGAGGCATATGTATAAGGAAAAAAAGTTAGATATCAAGAGTATTTCTATATGCGTACACATACACAACTAGCTGTCCAACATCAAAACAGCATAATACACATAATGTTACAGCCGAATTCTCTACCATCGCCTTGCCACCGGGTCTACTAATAACCCCCTGCTCTCCTAGGTTGTCCCTCGCCCCTCTCTACGCTTTAGTTGCCCCTCTTTGTCCACTTCTTACCGCTGGACAATCCCCTGATCCTCTTGGTGTACTTCCAAAGATGCTTGTACTTGGGGCCCTGCCTCTTAGCCTCCCAGCCCTTAGCCTTCCTCTCGGGCTTCATCGAGTGCACCCTCACGCGCCTAAACTCGAGATCGGCGCCCTCGATGCCGGCGCGCTCCATGACGGCGGTAGTGTTCTCGTCGTAAACGGTACGGAACATATTGAAACCAACGGGCTTGAGGCCAAATTTATCACGGAAGCTCTTGAGGCTGAATCCGCCCTCGACGCCCTTGTTATAGAGGCCCTTGAGCTTCTCCACGTCGATAGTCTCGCCCGGCCGCTGCTCGAGGACGAAGACGGCGAGGCGGTGGTAAGGGGAGCCCTTGTGGGCGAACGCGGGGAGCCAAGGCACGGCAAGCTGGTCGGGCGAGGTGATGCGACTAAAGGGGATGGAGCCTGTGGAGGGGAGAGGGGCACGTTGGCAGCCATGTAGTGGCACCTCTTGGTGAAGCTGTCGGCGTCGAGGTCGGGGACGTCGGCGTCCAGGACAACTACGGAGACGAGGCGCTCACCCTTGTCAAAGACCTGCACTCGCAGGCGGGGAGGGAGCTCGCTGACCAGGCTGTTAACCATGGCGCCGGGGGACCTTGACGCGACGGAAGAAGAGCTGGACGTCGGCGATGGGGTCGAACTTGGGGAGGAGATCGGGAACGATGTGGAATTGCTCGATGCGCTGGAGTACAACCTTTTGGTCGTAAGAGCGCCACTTCTGGTTCGCAAGATAGCGATAGATGGGCTTGTCCATATCACCTAAGACAGAGGAGAGTCAGCTTCAAACTAGAGATGGCCTGGCACGCGGCAGTCACAGGAAGCAAAAAAGTGAGAAAACTCACCAACACCATCTTCAAACTTTCGTTTGACGACCGGGTCGTTGATATCGGCCAGGATCTTGAGCTGTTCAACGTGTTCCCTCAAGCTGGTGAGCCGCAGCTCTTTCTTGCGCTCGCCGCCCTTGAGGGTGCTCGGATCCGCGGCTTCGAGCCTCGCAATCTTGGCAAGCTCAGCGCGTATGGCCTCAACCTTCTCCTCCCTGTCGGCGCGTATAATTGCTCTCGCCTCCTGGAAGCACTGGTAGGGCAGCTGCTCAAACGGGACGTTGGGCCCAGAGCGGAGCGCGGCGCGGCGACGGCGGGAGCCAACAGGGGGTACCCGCTTTGGCGAGAGCACGCTCTGCGCGCCTGCCGAGCACGGTGTTGGGGTCTGAGTTGAAATGGTCGGCGGGTTTCTGGGACTGCTGTGTCGTCGTCGCGGCGGCGTCGAGACGGCCAGCAGAGAGGGAGAGGGATCGGATGGTCGTCGGCTGGGCGAGCACGGTTTGGCGCAGGCCGCGGACCAGGGGCCGCGCGACCTGAGAGGCCGACATTGCGAGGCGTTGGGGTCTTGAGAAGTCTTTGATGCGGGAGACTAGTTTCCCAAATGGAGGGAAAAGGTTCGAGATCAAAGGATGGGGTGGGGGCAGAACCGTCTCGAGACAAGAAACTCCTTTTTCTCGACTCACGTTCGATTTTGTTGCAGGATTAAAAGTTCGAGGTCGAAAATTCAGAAGGTTCCTGAGTAGCTCCACAAAAAGCTCTACTAGCGCCCTCCCATTGGCTAATTCCGCACCAGCTGCCAGAGGAGAGAGTCGAACCGTGATAATCCGCACGGACCATGTCTAGACTTTCTCGTGTGCTCTCAATTTTCTTTCTCGCGACGACGAACGAGCAAAAAAGGAAACGACACGAGTGCCGCCATCGGAAGCGAGATACGCCAACGACGAACCCTTCAGGAACACGACTATCTCCACCCCAACTCGCCCTCTCGGCAGCTTTCATATTGACGTTTTTCCTTTTCCTCGCCCCTCTGTTGAGATGGCGTCCAAGGGTGTTCGAGGCCTCAATGAGGCGCTCAGGGCCATGAGTCTCTCCTCGGGTTGCTCTGTGGCCGCCAGGCAAACCTTGCTCCGGTCGACGACGGTAGCCATCAACCAAGTATGGCCTTTTCTAACCCCCAGATATCAGCATTAGAACAATTTCATATATAGCGCCCCTATCGTGCGCCTCTAGACTTCGTATACTAACGAAATGCGCCCCCACAGAGCCGGCCCTTGGCCCCCGTTTCCTTCACCCGATCCCTAGCCACAGAAGCCCCTGCTCCCACGGAAGCCTCTCCCCAGTCCAGACTCACAACCTCCACAACGTGGAATCCCCGTATGGCTTCCCTTTTACCTTCTCCCCGTAGTTGCTACGCCAATTCTCCTCCCAGTGTCATGCTAACGTCAAGGGTCCCCGTCCCGCGCCCCTTCCAGTATCAACCGTTCCCGTCACCATCCACAGCTTTCCCGACCTCGAGCCCGTCTCCCTCGAAGACTGGTCCGTGAAGCACCTCTACCTCCCCTCCGCCGCGATCTCCTCCACCTGGCCGTCGTCTACGAAGGCGACAGCAGCCGCCAAGGCTCCGCCTCGTCCAAGACTCGCTGGGAAGTGCACGGCTCGCACCGCAAGATCCGCCCCCAAAGGGTACCGGTCGCGCCCGCCAGGGCTCCAAACAGAGCCCCCTCATCCGCGGAGGCGGCAAGTCACACGGACCCCATCCCCGCGACTTCTCCACGAAGCTCACCCGCAAAGTTTATGACAAGGCGTGGCGCACCGCCCTCTCCTATCGCTACCGGCGTGGCGACCTCGTCGTGTGCGAGGACGGCATGGACATGCTCCTCTCCGAGGATTACCATGCCCTCGTCCAAGCCGACTACATCAAAGGCGAGCTTAAAGATAGCTACCTTCGCAAGCAGGCGAAGCAGCTCATGGCTGCCCACGGCTGGGGTCGTGAGTTTGGCCGTACCCTCTTCGTCACTGAGGCTCCTCGTACCACCCTCTTCGATGCTGTCAGCCTTGCAGGCGAGGATGGCCGTGCCCTTGATGTCGAGGACGTTGACGTCAAGGACCTCCTAACCGAGGGCGCGTCGTGATTGAGCGCTCAGCCTTGCGCCGCATGATCGAGGAGCACCAGAGCGATCTCGTTACCCAGGTCTCGTTTAGCTCTCCCTCCGCTTTTCTAGGAGCCGCTTCCACTCAATAGAAAAACCAAAAACTCGGAGGGGATTTGGAGTTTGGGGAACATGTGATGGAAGATAACTTCACCTTACAAGATCCCCCGACTCGGCACAGACGGAATGCAATCAAGCAAGGAGCAGCTGTACGTTTTTCTAGCCATCGTGGCCGTGTACTCTTGTAGAATATAGTCCCAACATCATAAAACAATACAATTGATGATAGACCTCGTTGAACGTACCCAGTCCAGGCTTACTAACCAGGGCCCAAGCATGGCAAGCCTTCTAACTAATAAGCCATCCCCTGGGTACTACCCTCTTGATTAGGAGAGTCACTCAACTCGTCCGCGAAATGTGTACCAGGTCATAGACACTTGAGATTCGAGCAGGAGAGAACATGTATTCTGAAATAAAGGAGCAAGGATATGTAATTTGATAGGCACAGTAGATACACCATTCTAACTAGATAGAGAGATACAGAAAGAACCGTAGAACGCAGGAAAAGGAAAAGGAAAAGAAAGAAAACGAGGAAGAAGACGGGAATGACGAAGCAAACGAATTCATTACTCATAAACAAAAAAAAAAGTAAACAAGAACTCTGTATGCTTGCTGCCCCTTTCCCTAAACTCCCTCTTTCCAGCCCTCTTGACCAGCGTGCAGTCCTTTTCGGATCCGTTCTTCCCTGGATGGCCGGCGAGAAGCTCGCGGGCTGGGATAGTACCCCGTTCCTCCTCGGTCCTGGGCCGTGTTTTCCTTGACTCTGTTTTGTAACCCAACTTGATCCAACCCACCAGTTGCGCTCGCGAAGGCGCCGTATATATAAAGAATCCTTACTCCAAAAAAGTCTTTAACCAAGAGCTCCGAAATCGTTATAAAAAGCGGGGAAGAGAAGGAAAAAAAAAAAAAAGAGAAAACCCCCGACTCGCTCAAAACAAGATTCAATTACACAAGAAGATGTAGAAAAAAAAGGCGTTAATATGGGGGAAAAGAAAAACGAAACTCAGAAGGATTGTGCTGCCAAGGACCCTCGTGGGCTAAGATTCTTTGTCGACGTTGGCCTCAGATCATCAGCCTCTTTCTCACTTCTCTTCTGGTTTTGCTTCGCCCCGTAGCGCCTGATATCCGATGCTGTGTCGCATAGAGAGGCAGCAGCCACGAGCCCCTTCATGATCCGATAATGTCTGTTCTTACATGTCGAGTCTGCCTCCGTTCACCATGGCAAGGACTCGAACTGGTGATTTTCGTTCGTGTGTATATAATAGAGGCTTCCAGAGATTGCATAGGGATTTTCCGTTCTTTTCTAAAAGTCTTCGCATGGAAGAGTTCCTGTTTGGCCGGTAGTTGACAATGCACTCTAGACGCACACGAAGCTTCGGCGATCCCTCTCTTCGTGCCGATGCGGCTTAGAGATGTCGTTCGACATGACTGTCTGGGTCGGCGATAGCTTCGAATCTACGTGACAGGCGTGTAAGTTTTTTATGGTCGTTCACTTCAAGTCATTCCGGGGCGCAGAGACGGCACGGACGGAGAGAGAAGGTCGCCTCAGAGTTTCCCTAGCCATGGACCCTCCGATATGATGCGTGCCATGTAGAGTGCTAATGGTGGCCCGACCGATTCTCTGCTATCCAGATTGGTCGAGGAAGTTTCACTCACCCTCGTCAGCGTAGCCTTCATAGCTCATGGCGAACGATGGGCCGCTGGGATTAGGATAGGAAGGGGCGGGAAAGGGAACAGGTGGTTGGTACTCGGTGGCCGTCGGGCCTTGCACGAACCGCCTAGCCTCGTTCTCGATCCATTTGTCGATATTCGGGTCATGGCAGTTGGCATGGGCCATAATTTGGTTCTTCATCCGACTAACCTCACTCAGGAGACCATTATACTCCATTTGGAGGTGGGAGTTTTGGGTTTCGAGGCCGTTCTTAGCTTCTTCCAAGCCGTTGATCCATTCCTTCTTTCTCTGCCTGCATTTACTTGCCGCGATTCGATTTCTTTCGAGGAACTTGTCGCGTTTAGTGTGGTCGCCGCCCATGGGAATGACCACGTCTTGCTCTTGCTGTAGGTGCACGCTCGATCGCGATTTGCGTTTCGAAGAGGACGAAGAGGAGACGGACCCAACAGAAGGGGCCGAGGATTTGCTTGATACGCTGTCTCGGCTCGACATTTTAGTCGACGCACTGCTAGTCGATGATGTTCGAGAGGATGATAACCTGTCCGGGGAGGGGATTTGGTCTTGGAGCTCCGAGTCTCGTCGAAGGGGCCCGACTTGCGACGGCCAAAGGGGTCGGCAGAAGTAGGGGCAGTGCAGGCACTAGTGGGCATGGTGATGGGGGCCGGCTCCATGCGGTAGTTGGTGGGATAAAGGAACTGTTCGTCGTAGCAACGGTCGAAACAGGGGCGTTGCTGCTTGATACTGGTGGGTAGAACTGGTTGTATGTTGTGCTTTGTGTGTTGGGAACACCGCTGAGAGGAACGTAGTCGTCAAAATAGGGTGGAGGCATGGCCATCGTTTTGTGCTTCTATACCTGTTCTCGACGGAGGCTGGACAGGGGTCGAAGTGGACGGATAAAGAGACCTTCCCCTCTCTTTACTAAGTAATAGCGAGGGCGCGATGCTGTTTTGGGGCTGCTGGTATCTATCCTCTTGTTTTCTTTGGGATTACGTCGTTTATGTTGAACGAATTAAAGTGGCAGTGAACCTCAGGGTGGAAGTCGTTCTGTAGTCGGTTCGAGACCAACCGGGCAGCTCGATGGCGAAATGATCGGCACGTGGAGTTCGAAATTGACGGGAGGGTAGAGGCGGAGGATGTGCGGTACGTCACAACAGGAAGCTGAAGAGGTGTGAGGTGCGGCCGGGGTGAGAGAAGTGACACTAGACGGTACAGATATAGGTGGTAGGGATGTCCAGGTGGAGGCACGTATCCCAAATGTATGATGGGAGAGTCGGACTTGATGTGGGATTCGGTAGCCAGGTTATATGCGTAACCCAGGAGAGGGCCACACCGTGTATAGTAGGAACTTGCAAAGGTAAAGTTGGCCGGAGTGGGAAGAGGAGGATGTTAGTCAGGTGATGGTACAGGAGCTTTTTCAAGGTTGCCCTTTGTCTCTTTTCTGCCCGCCTCTGTATCCTTTTTTGGTTTTACTGTAGGGTCTCCGCGTGTCCCACAGCCACCTTTGTTCTTCAAGGTTCCTATCAACTTGTTCTTTCTTTGGTTGGTGGAGTCGACCTGCGGTGTTGGAAGGCAGCTGTCCAAGTTATCAAACTGGGGTTGGGCGGGCTATCTCCCTCTCGAGACGCGCCGTCTGTGGAGAGGGGGTTTTGTGGTTCGGATTGTGCAAAGAAGGGGCCTGAAAGGTTTCGACTGAGGTGTGTGCGACGTGGTGAGAAGCTGGCGGACGGCTTCAAATAAAAAAACAAAATCGACACGGGCTGCTGCGGTGACTCAATTGATGGCGTATTACCAGGGGTGGGCTCTCTGCTCGGAGGGTTTGATGCGATTCAGATTGACACAATTTGGTGGCAGGAGAGGGGGTGGAGAGATCCTTGATGAACCTAGAATCTAGGTTGGGGGTGAGGGAGCGATGATGGGAAGATGTTGTAAGAGCCCGCGGCTGGGAAAGAAGGCGAGGAGTGAGAGGGCGGAAACGGAAAGGGTAGGAAAGGTAAGAGAGCTAGCCACGGCCGGTGGGAAAGGAGAAACTTTTTTCGAGGAGGGGGACAGGCCGGGCGGAGGGTGACGGAAGGGTGTAAGTTCCCGCTGCTCTCACCGGCGTACCTTTAGGCTACAAGTGGTGTTGCAGAGGTCCCCAGTCTTGCTCGGTGCGACCGAGTCGGAAATGCAGTGCTCGAACCCGCCTGTTGATTTGATCCGTACCGACTGACGACACCACACAGTGACAAGTACCAGAGAGCAGAAAGGAGGGGGACCACGGAGGGGCGCAAGGTGGGAGGGAGGTGTGGGAGTGATTGGATCGATTCATCGATATCAAATGTATGCAGTAAGTCTTGGAGCAGGGGATTGCCCGTTTGGTAGATTGTGTGGAGCTTGGTGGACGCTGCTGCAGGAGCACCCGGATCAAAGATGACGGTGTGGATCTGAGCATTCAATAAGGCGAAAAGAACATCCAAGGGTTTCTAGTGTTGCGACCAAGGGCAAGGGTGGCGTGGCTGGACGACGAGGCAAAAAGCATCGATCCTGGAAACAATCGAAGGAAAAGGCTTCAGCCAAAACACTGCCTGTACCCCAAAGCTCAAGTTTCTTTCCCGTCCATCGCCCCCTTCGTGATCTTAGGTATATATGTATCTTTTGTTCGTCCTCGGCGGCGTACAGGTATAGTATGCAATAGGAGTTGGCAGAGAACAAAGTGATTCTAACGATATTGAACTCCTGTAGTTGGCCCTGATCATTTCCTTGAAGCATCAGCTTCTTCTATTCCTCTTCTTAGGCAAGCGCCTGACAAGTACCGACCAGTTCCAGCACCGCGCCCGGTGCAAATGCTCCGGAGCCCCTCCCCAGCGCAATGGAAGGAGTGGGTACAAAATAGGAAGATCAATGGGAAAGTTGGGTGGGAGAGGGAAGGAGGGAAGGGGAGGACGGAATAGCTACGCTGCATGGGCTGGGTTGAACGATCAGGAATTCAAGGGAAACGGGGGCCGGTTGGAGAGAAGCGAAGCTGGGGGTTGATGGGAGGTGTGAGGTGGGTGGGGTGGGGTGGGAAGCGAAGGAGGGTACATGTCCACAAAGCCTTGGCTTGGCGGTGGGGAGGGGGTGGGGATTGAAACAAAGATCAAGAAGCGATTGACTGGAGTCAATTGAATTCACTGATGCACGAGGTTTGGTTGCTGTCAAGTAACCTTTTAGCTTTTTGTTTTTGACTCGAGGTGCATCATCGCAACGCTAAGGAAACAAGGTGGGCGGAACCCAAACCCAATGACGATGCTTCCAACTCGTTTGGCAGAACCGTACTCTGCAAGGTGTAATGGAGATTTTACTGAGCCCGCAGTTGTGCCCTATCCATTTTCTTTTTCTTCTTCTTTCCTCTTTAATGCTCTCTTTTTCTTTCCTCTCCCGCATATATCAAAAGGGCGTCTCATGGGTACAAGTAGTGGGGTGATGTACTTGAGCAGGTATCATCCAATGGGCTATTCCCTATACCCAGCAAAGAACCCCGGGATTGACTGATAGGACGAGTATCATTCCTGACTGGGCCTGTTCAGACAAGTGAAAGATGAGATGGGGATGGTAATCCCTCAACCTCGGTGGAGTTGGCTTAGGTGTTGAGAAGGGGACAGTGAACAAATCAATCAATGAAGGGTTCATCCCGTGCAGGATGTGGTCTTGGTGTTCAGGAAGTCTCTAGAGGGTGATAATTATACCGGGGTTGAAACCTACGTGCAGAGAATTATGGAGGCTTTAGCTTTCTACCCTACCATGGAGCCGCCCAAACTTGACAGTTCGCGACTGTGGCACACCTCAACAACAAGAACATTGAAGAGTATGATCAATTTGTGCAGCAATGCGCGAGAACCCCTGCCATACAAGATACCGCCCCATCCACCCACCCCCACCCCCGATGGCGGTTTATCAGAGGCGGCCTCAAGCTGAAGCCGCGATAGCAAAGATGCACAGAGGCTTCGGCGGGAAGGGCCAACGGTCCCTGTAGCACGCCAGGGGAAAGACCACACTATCATCCTTGGTCTCTCTGCGTCCCGCCGCCATGATGGAGATGGGAAACAGGGACCATAATGAGACAGTCGACGCTGCCCTAGCTTGAATGCGGGAATTGGGCCGGTTGGGTTCGCCAACGGCCAACGACGAAACGGCGAGTCAGGCTGGCTATGACAGACTAAGCCCGTAAAGCGGCCGCCGTGAACGGACTGAATGATTGTGAAAATTGATCATGATCAAGATGCCGTTGCAGCTCCCTGGGATGGCTACATGCAAGAATCCGGATGGGCTGCATTGTTTTTTCATCAACGAATTAATTCAGGGCTACTGTGCCCCGCTTCGTCAAGAGCTTGCAGGTCTTCCGCCCTGGAATAGAAGCCGCTCCCAGCACACCACAGGAATCAAGCTCCCGGCCTGCCAAGATGGCCCCCGAGGCCTGATGGAGTGGAGACATCTAGTCAACCGATTTGCGGCCTTCCCCGCGCTTTACATCATTGTCGAGAGATTTAGAGGACCCGGCAAGCCCACATCGTGCATGGTTTGTCGCCGATAATCGTAGATCCGTCCTCTTTCGGATCTTCAAGCGCCCCGTCGTTCCATGGATACTCTAATTTCAGGACGAGATGCTCCGGCTTCAGCGTCGTCTTCTCCCCTCCAACTCTCCCTGTCTCCCACCACCAGGGTTCCCGGGAAGGATATCCCTCTTACGCACGAGAGCAGAGAGAGATCTAGTATCTTCTGGATGGCAACGGGGCTGGCAACGGGGCCCAGCCGCCACTTTCTTTCCGTTTCGCTGCGATACCGGGAGAAATTGCTCCGCGGTCATCACCTACCGGCAGGAACACGCAATATCGCAACGGTCGAACTAGTTACGAGGGAACGGCCCTGCACCCTCTCTAGTAGAGCTGACGCAGGATGAGTGATGCGAGCTTCCCAGGCCGGATAGGAGGGGGCAGAGCTCGAGGGGTTTGCCTTGATCTCTCTCACCTGCGTTTCCCGTTCCCCCTCTTTGTTCCCTCTTTTTCCTTTTTCTCGTTCTGTGACCTCAATTTCTGGACCCTAGACGGCCTCCCGCCCAACTTTTGTTTCGTTGGCATGTCCTGTCCCTGCATGAGTAGGTTTGCGGAGAAATTCTGCTTCGTGCTTCGGCTACTTGGACCGTGCCTGATTAATGGCTGAGCTGGGCTTTAGGGCCACCACAACGCCTCATCCTTGAGGCTGTTTCTACCCCGGTGACGTGGGTGGACACAAGCTAGCTGCAGATCGCGGGACAATCTTCTTTGCTGAGGTCCGGTAGTGATATAATGTAGCTGTAGCGGATTCGTCAAGGTGTCGGGGACGAAAACAAGTGAGGTGGTGTTACCTGCCATCTAGAGTTTTCAACCGTGCCGAGCGGAGGAGACACGAGACACACGACACATTCAAGGCAACTTCTCCCTTGTAGCCGTTGATAGGCTGGTTAGGCAAGCCACAATCAGCGATAACATAGCTGGAGTGTAAGACAGGCTGGAGACCTCATAATAAGCGGTTATGCTCAGTGATGAAGCAGCCAGCATTGAAGTGAAAGGAGGACTCTTCTCTACTTTGCACATGCAAGGTTTCGCATCAAGGGGAGCTTCAGCGTATATACCCGCACACACACAGACATGCGCAACATGAAATCCATTTGTACCTCCATTAGGCGTTCGACCCCGACCCCCGGACTTTTGAGCGTTCAGGTTAATCATCGAGATTTCGGTGCCTCAAGAAATGAAGGCACGTCTCTTCAAACACCAGATTGAATAACTTCTTTGGAAGGAAAAAAATAAAGAAAATAAAAAGAAAAGAAAAGAAAAGAAAAGAAAACCTCATGACCTCAGAAGGTGAGGATCTCACCGATGCACAGACAAAGAGGGGAGGAGGGGAGCAGCTTGTCTTGCTTGTCAGTCAAGCTGAGAATCAAACTGATCTCGATAAGTACCAGTTTTGGGCAAGTATTGAAATTAGGTGTGGGTTTAGCGAAAGTACAAACCGTTCTGTGAGCGGAGAGAGATACTTCGCACGGTTCCTGAGCTTGAGCCCACTCTGGCCCACTCGACACTCGGACCCGGCAGTGCCATACGACTATGACGTAGGCTGATCGAGTCTGCCCAGTCACCAAGTTGTAATGACGTCATACAGCAGCACTGGCTTGATTGCATCACGGCTGCTTTTGCTCTTTCCTTGGTCGGGGTGAAAATCGCCATGACAAGTGCCCCCACCCCCGGCCTGGTAAGGCACCCCATTCGTTCCCCTTCTCTCCCATGTTCGGACTTGTTCGAAAGACCTGTTGATAATATTACCAGCTCGCCATTTCCGGAAAAGCCCTATTACCTCAGTAGCCTCAATGATGGACCCTGCACCAGCAGTTGGACACCATTACAAGTACTGACGGGCGGGTTGATTGTGCGCCAATAGCCGTCGGGGCATCTTCGTTGGGGAAAACGCAGAAGCGGGAGCAAATGATATTAGGGTATGGGGGCCGGGCAGTAGGGCTGTAGGTGCCGCATCTGGCTGGAAGAACTCATGGGGCAGGCAGCGGCCACGTTCAGAGACTCAGGGCCAGACATAACCTACTCATGGTTACCAAGAATCCTCTGAATCCGCAGCGCATCGGAGCACGAGGCAATGTACCTCTTCAGGCAAGAAGGAGAGGCCACGGCAGGGGTTTCGTCCGCAGCGTTGGTCGTGCCAAGAAACCCGCGTGCAATGTGCTCCAATTCGCCTGAACGCACAGTGGATTCCAATGGCCTTCGAATTCCTTATTGGATGTTTTGCTGGGCGGGGCAATATTGGTCTGCTCTTGGGTTGTGTGATCAATCGTTCAAGTAATAATAGCTAACCAGTGCGGAGTCGTGGGTCGTTTCAATAGTTCAAATTCGAATCTGAGGCTTACACACACGCAGACCACACATCCACACAGAGACATAGTGACGCACACATACCTCGGAACACACAATGCAGCAACTTATTTTTTCCCGGAACTGCCAAGTCTTGATCCACCCCTGCCCCTGCCTCGTGTGGGAGTTAAAAGGAAGCAGGTATATATATATATATATTATTATTATAGAAAACAAGAAAAAAGAAGAAGAAAAAAGAAAACCCCACAAGAAAGGAGAATGCAATTGATGCCATGTATACCGAGGAAGGGGACAGGACCCTTTATTCAGTTTACCGATTATCCAGAGCAAACGTGAGGTGAGCTGACCCTTTTAATCGCCTTGCCATTGGTCCTGTCGGCTGTCAGTGTGGGACGGCGGGTGTTGAAAATTTCGAGGGTTCTCAGTCCATCAGCTGGTGCCGTTGACCAAATTATGTCAGCTGGCACTCGTTTTTGGTGCCCCTTGTGCGATAGGCTTATCGATAAGATAGTTAGCCGCAAAAAAAAAAAAAATGTAGCAAGAACCCCACTAAGAGGACCAGAGAGGCGACCTCACATCTTATCAAATTCCTGCCCAAGCGCAGTAGATGTTTGCTATGATATAGCTGTCAGATCGCGCAGCAACAGATACATTCCCCATTACAAAATCTCGTATAAAAATATAATCTGCAATGGGGAAACCAAGCGTTGCCAAGAAGAGGAAAGGTAGGCTTTTCCCACCACCGAGGAAACAAGAACTCTCCATACCGTATCCCTTCAACACGCTCGGGCTAGCCCCGCCGTGTCACATTCAAATCATATTTTGTTTTTCTTATTTATAGGCTGGTATTAACATTTTGCCCGTTGTGCATAGGTCCTTCGATCCATTCGAGGGCTGCCAGACGAGAAACATCCCCTAGCATCGACACGGACAAGTCGCTGAAGGCGCTGCAGCCTCCCACGGGCGAGCGAGCCGAGACACGCCCTCCGTGCTCGCGGCCCGCCAAGGAGCCGGCGTCACGAAAAAGGCGAGCAAGCGCAAATCGATTCTAAGTTCCAAGGCGAAGAGGCGGAACGAGAAGGGCTTCGACAAGGCCGAGGCCATCTCAGAGCGCATCGCGGCGAGGATCGAAAAGAGCGTGAAGCAGGGCAAGACAATCCGCACCAGGGGAAAGACATGGGACGAGGTCAACGAAACGCCGGGTGCTACGAAATCCAAAAGTAAGAAGAAGAAGGGCAGCCAGGCGGGCCACGCCGATGAGGGCTGGGAGACGGACGAGGACATGGAGACGGAGGAGCCACCTGTTCGGTCCGCTGGCGCATTCCAGGTTTTGGGCACTGAGGGTGAGGACGAGGACGGTGATGAAGAAATTCTTTGAGTTCACATGTCCCGCTTGATTTCATTGCTATGGTTGGTCTTGACACCTTGGCTGCGATGGCTTGGTTATTCTCTTCTTTTCTCTTGTTTTCGTTTCTACAACCATGGGATGGCGTTTTCGAAAAGTAGCAAAAGTCAAACATATATTCATTAGGAATGACTGTTACGGGGTTGATAGTCAAAAACTATCACTCACATGGAGGAGTGAATATACACACCTACGACCCAATCATGATACTTGATGCAAACTTGGGAGTTGTCGGATGAGACAAAAAAGCGCCAGCCTTTGGGCATCCTGCTCATCAGGAGGTTTTTCTTTTCTTTTCTTTTCATCTTTTGAGTGGGGGAGGAGAGCGAGGCCTACCGCTTGGGCATCTACTTTACTTTTCCGTAACTTGCTTGATGGCGTCCAAAATCTTATCCGCACCCTTCTCTGTCAATTTCCTTGCCACCTCACGGCCAAATATATCCGCTTCTTCTTGCGTTTCAATGGCAGCTTCCTCCTCCACATCGGCAAACTGGTTGCCCTCAAAATTCACCACCGTAGCGGAAAGTCTCAGCCTTCCATTGACCCACCGGGTCTCAACGCCGATAGGGACGCTGCAACCGCCTTCTAGCGTTCGCATGACGCTCCGCTCCGCCCAACACGCGAGCATCGTTTGATTATCTTCAAACTCCTTGAGGAGGTTTAGGACAAACTTGTCGCTCTTGCGGGCCTCCACGCCTAGGGCACCTTGACCGACGGCGTGCAGGATACCAGCCGATGCGGAATCGAGATATTGCGCGATACGGTCTCCAAAATCGAGACGTAGGAGCCCCGCGGCGGCAAGAATGATGGCCGAAAAAGGACCCTCTTCGTCGTCACCCTTTCGCAGCCTAGTTTGGATGTTGCCGCGAACGTCGGCGAACTCGAGGTGTGGATATCTCCTCTTGAGCTGGGCTATCCTCCGGATACTGCTTGTCCCGATCACGCTGCCCTTTGGGAGCTCACCAATCGTTTTGTATTTGCCCTCCAGGCTCTTTTTGAACACGACGACGTCGCGCGGGTCTTTCTCGTCGTCACGCAGCCAAGAATGAAGCCCTCGGGAAGCGTAGTTGGCATGTCTTTGAGCGAGTGGACGATGATGTCGACCGCGCCAACTTCGAGCTTTGCCTCGAGCTCGTTCGTCCAGAGGCCCTTCCCTCCAAATTTGTACAGCGCCGTAAGCTGATCCTTGTCGCCAATTGTCTTCATGGCATTCACTTCGAACTTGATGTCGGGGCGCAGCTTCTGCAATCCCTCGATAACAAGATGTGTTTGCTTGAGTGCGAGAGCAGACTCGCGCGTGCCCACCACAATCTTGGCGGGGGCGGGGTCGTTCCTTGTTGCTTCCGAGGCCGACATTCTAGGTGGAAGCGGGCGCCTGGATGTTATTAAAAAAGAAAGAAAGGAGATGAAGTATGGCAAAAGCGACTGTTAGCGCGACCCTTGTGATAATCCTTAACCAGGATGGGCTCTATGGTACTCCCGGAGCTAAAGATTTTCGTCCTTTGGAGTTGGAGAGGGAAAAAAATAAGTTTATGCTGACAAGCTAAGCAACTCCCACATGGTTCGACACCACAGAGTTTCAGCCATATGGCGTGTCGCGGGGTCGTCAAATGACCACACGCAAAGAGAAGAGCGGGTCTCCACTTCGGCCTCCGCTTCGGAGCTGCCAGGCCGATGCGAGAGCTGAAGAGTGTGTGAAAGACATGGCAAGGATATGCCATGGTCCCTGATCATTCAAGCATGCGCCTCTCGCTTCACGTGACCCTGGCTCTCCGGCACAAGCACACTGGCGATCGATACAGCCCCCAAGCCCTCGAAGGGTAAGGTACAACATAGGTCCCGCTCCCCTCATTAGCACGCGTCGACGCCCTGATTTAACGCGCTGGTTCCAGACACTTTACACTATTTTCACGGGCTCTTGATTCCCAATATCCTAATACTGGATCCATTGATCAACTCCCCACCATCTCCTTCCGCTCTCTAGACGCATTTTGGGTCTCGACTCATCACAAGCATCCCACATTTCCCTCCCTTATTTCCTAATCTTGCGGCTTCCCATTCAAGACCCATCACAATGAGCGAGCGAAATTCCACCCTCGCGTCACGGCCCAATATCTCAGCGCCTACACAGGCCAGAATGTCATGGTCGTCGGCCGGGTCTTGCAGCTTCGCGGCGACTCCGCCCTGCTTGATTCCCAAGGAAATGTCAATCTCACGTTAAATAGGGTTAGTATCTTCTCTCCCCGTTCCTTCACTTTGGTGTCTATCACCTGAGGTTAACTCGCGGCTGACTGAGTCTCACACCCTCGCTTTAGGACTCTCAGCTCGTCAACGGCAACGCTGCCCAAATCATCGGCAAGGTCAATCCTGATCTTTCCGTCAAAGTGTCGGTTGCTAAGGATCTCGGCAACAATCTTGGTGAGATCGATTTTTCAACCCCCTGTTTCCCCTTCCAGCACAGTGACACACAACTAACTCCAACGACGCGTTGTCTGGCCTAGACTTTGACCTCTACCAGTCCGTGGTGGAAGCAACCCAACAGATCAAGCCCATTTTCCAGTACGAATGACGGCCCAGGCCCGGCAACCAAGACTCGTCTCAACCAGGACGGTCTGTGGAACAGCTCAACCGTCACCCGCCACCAAGCCGCGTGGCCTTGGTATGGCCGGCCCCGGACCGCGAAACTAGGGAGGATGAGGAGGGAATTGACCGTGATGGTGAAGGAGCAGGTAGCGCACGCCGTTGCAGGGTCCCACGTCGCCCATCACGGTTTCTTCGTGGGGCCGGAGGAGTCCAAGCATCGGAAGTTCAGAGTTCGGCTCAGATAATTATTACGACCAAGATGAAGATGACAAAGTCTGCAATTCTAGCAAGAGTGGGGGACGTATACACAGTGTCTCAGCAATAGAGAAGGACACGGAATGGTTGGCGCAACCTGAAGCGCGCAGATATGGCACCGGAGCGCCCCGTTGGCGCTCAGACACACCAAGAGAGGGTATGGAGCATACTTGGCTACAGGCAGTCGGCCAGCTGCCTTCGCCACCATTATCGCCACCAACACAGCTACAAGGCCAATCAACTTGTTTTTCCGCCAACTCGAGTATTCTCCGAGGTGGTAGTCCGGATATCACCCTCCCGCGACTGGGCAGCCCCCACATTGCAACCTCAAGCGGTAGCCGCACTCCTAGAGCTACCCAGTCCCCATCACCGCGATCCTCTTATTTTTAAGAGTGCGGTGCTGCACCCTATGAGGAACCATTCTCTAACAGATGACTCTGAGATTGATGAACATCTCGCGGACGGTATCGCTGCCCTAACCGTTGCCATGTCGATGGATCAAGCGGGAGGTGGCGTATCAAGAGGAGAGATGACGAAAGGAACGACGTCGTAGATAAGGACCTATAAATAGATCGTTGGTTGTAATCAATGGCCGGAATTTGTAGGCCCTTGCTTAACGTACTGTTTCCCCTTCTTTCTACCAGCCGACATATAGAAGGTTCAATTCTTCACTTGATTGTTCAGTGCCGTTTTGAGCTAACACTATATAATCCTCATTCCTCATTCCGCTACAGGTCCTCCTCACTAATAGGGGCTGCCACTGATCGAGACTGCCACCGATGCCTTGTGCCTTCCGTTCTTGCTGGCAACTTCACCCATCCAGCATCCCTACTCCTAGCAGTCGACTCATAACCAGCTATCATTTACACTAACTGCGTTTCGTATCAGTATCTCCCGGTCCAATCTCGCTTTGGCCATTGTGGTCTTCCTCCTTCTCAAGAAGCTGCTGAGCAGCTATCCAGATATCCATAGTCCCTATAGATGTGTCTCTCATACAAGGGCCCCTATCAAAGGGCGTAGAAACTACGCCTTCAGCGACAGATGCACTGCTTTTCCGACTTCCACTCAAAGATCGCGAGGTTAGTCTCGATCGAGGACATGTGAGCGGCCCTTCTGTTCCAGGGACGCACACTGAGTACAGGTTACGTTGAGGAATTTCACCCAAATTGTTCGTTCGCTTCCATCCTCTTCTTTCCATAGTAGGAGTCTCCGGCAATATGCGTTGACTTTCCGACTGCAATCGCATATGTCCTTGGCTAAAATTAGAGGACGAATTGTGTAAAGTCAGCTTACTCTCAGCTTGCCGGGCCCGGTCTTTCTAGGAATCGCGCTCGACCCTCATTGCTTCGATTTTTCTCTGCAGATACAGCACTCGATCTTCGCCCGCTTTTTGGAGACAGACGCCTTCGGTGATTCCAGTGGCACTTTTTCCGGCGCCCAAAGAGGAAAGCCGAGAAAACTCGAGCCCGCTCTTGATGTTTCTTCGCTGTCCTCTGGAGAGGGGCGTGTAAAGCCGCCATTGAAGCCTAGGTTATGCCTACCTTGAGACGAAGTTGTGAGCGGCCCACGCGGCTGGGCATTAGGACTAGATACTAGCACATCCTATGGGTGGTGATCATAGACTTGCTCGCCCTCTCCCTGTTCGCTGCGCATGGTTCCTGAATCATGAGGATCTTCTAGCCCCTTCTCAAGGTGCCGGGTATTGTTATCTAGCCCGTTCGAAGTAGCCGGCTCAATGCTCTCTTCGCTGGTTGACTTTCGGCCCTTTTGTGCTCGCTTTCGTAAAAGTCTTGATTTCGGGGCTTTTGCGCCAGGCCTGTCGCGATGGTTCCCGGGCTCGTTTTATTAGCAAGGTCTTCCCCGTTCCACGGAGGGACCCTGAACCGGCGGGATCCTGGTAACTGCCCTTTCCCTAACGGTGGTGGGCGGCGATCGAGCGGCATTTTCAAACATTTGGGCCATGGTCCTCACCATGCTTCTTGTCTTTGCGTAGCTATCCTGGGGGCTACTCTCCAAAGGGCAATCAGGAGTTCCTGTTTGTTCAGGTGAATCGTAGCTCAAACTCTCTACGAGTCCATCGCCTTTTCTCTTAGATTCAATGAAGTCAATCTCCTGTGGTACTTCTCCATCGCAAGCTCTATCTTCGTAGCATGCCATTCGAAGTATAGGGGTTTGGGAGCTTATGCGCATGGCGTCAGGTGACACGCGTAATTTTGAGTTTTCGAGGACTTCCGGAGGGGTGTTTCCCTAGATCACCTCCATTGACCGGGGGCTCCGATTTTATAAGGTGTTGTAGGCTTGTGGCCTGGGCATGGGCGGAATTTTGTTGAGTCTGGACAGGATCCCCCAGGTACATCTTCCGGAACGTAGACTCTTTCATCCGTCTCGTACACCGGCCGGCGAAGCTCGGTTCCATTTCTATGTACCTCAACGGGATCCAAAGAATGCTGGACAAGCCCATTTCCTCCAAGACCTGGAAAGCTATGAAGCGCAAAGGCCCCAGAATTCGGCTGGCAAGCCACTTGGTGAGGGGTTCTCTCTGCAGCTAAGGACTGGCAGCCCATCAAATTATCAACGCCAAATATCTTGCACTCGACGGATTCTGAGGCGCCATCCGTCATCCTATTCTTATCACTTGGCACTTGAGAAACCCGATCTTGAAGGATCGAGCCAACGTCATCTTTGTCACTGCCCCCGTGGAGAAGCCCGAGCGAGCTCGGGTGGACATCTGCGACGGGTCGGATACCTAGTTGGGTCTGATTCCTCCTACTACCAGGCTCGTGAGGATCTCCGTTCTCTTTATCGCAGACGAACGGAATTGGAACACGAGAGTCCTTCTCTAGCAGATCGACACCTTGGGTTTCCACGGATGTGGACCGGGTGTTGCCCAACGTTGAAAATTCCGTTGGTGTTGGCGGCCTAGAGCGTAGTCTTCTAACCCTTAATAATCGGGGTCGTCCATTCGAGGGTGAGTCTGGGAGTTGTCGAAGTTGGAGGCCTGACAAATGCTGTTAGCGTGCGTATTCACATGGGCTGAACTATTGAGAGGGGCAGCTTACAAGGTTCAGGTGAACCGCGGCCAACATATGTGACGGGCTCACTATCTGGTAAGCCTCTCGTACTCATAACCTCTGGCGATTTTACGAGCATGGGTTCCGATACAGATGGAAGGAGGTGAAAGGGCTGGTTCTGGTGGGCCTGTATTGGTCGAAAGGGTTTGAGATTGGGGCGAAGAGCCTCCAATAGGGAGATATGCTCAACCGTCTCCTTCCAATTAGAGATCATCATTGTTGCAACTTCATTCGCCACCCAGATCTTGTCCACAGTTAGAGGCTGCGCGTGGTTTTGCATCTTAGCACTTTTGCGCAGCTTCTCTCTACGTGACATCGGCGGTGTGGCAGGGGCAAGTACTAGCCCACATGAAGGGTCGGTCATCTTGGTAGAATAAGAGGAGAGGAGATCTCCCACCAGAAGGGGACCGATCACGATACCCAGGGCGGAGTAGCCCATCAAGCCAGGCCCTGACGGTAAACCACCATTTTTTCTCTTTTCATCGCTATTTCGGCATTTCGTCCGAGATATGAGAGCAGCCCGAAGACCGCACAAATCAACTCTCGCCGAAGATGAGACTGTACTGTTCCAAGAGCAAGGGCAATCATCCTTGCTCGAATGGTGCGCCGTTTCATGCTGTTATTGTCATTGGGAATCTGCCGAAGCTGGCTATGAATCGCAACAAACGCATCGAAAACAGCCAAAGAGCCTAGAATACCTCCTGGCAGAACGGAGAGAAATCGCTTGAAGGTTGAAGCAACATCATGAACGGTTAGGCGAAGATGGGTTGGCAGCTTTGCGCTTCGGATTGTTCCTGAAATGCGATCCCTATCTTTATCAGCGTAGCAATAATAGGTGTATAAGGCATCCACAACGCGAACCGAGCCTGGGATGCGAAATACACCCTTGGCATTCACACCTGGCGGCGGCGGCAGGCGTTAGTAAGAAGGGACATGTATAAACTTCGTGCCGTAGCCTTCGAGACCACCTACCATTTTGTATAAGATAATGCGCTGTTGCTCGTATACAAGTAGGTACAACTAGCTCTGCTGGCGCATGGCCATCTGGAATGGCCAACAGGCTCTTTCCAGTGAGTCGAATAAGGTCGTGTAGCTCTACATTCTTTTGCCTCTCCTTGCGCGACTGTACGAGAGTCAGGGCCACATCGCTGACACTCCTCTTATGTTTAATTTTCTCGCTGCGACCTTCCGAGCGGGAGGAGCTTGATACGTTCCGGAAAATCCTTGATAGCCAACCATAGCTCTGAGATGTGTGCCCGATCTCCGGCGCCTAGAAATCGTGAGCGGGTTCACACTTCTGAATGCGATTGATGATGACCTACAGATGAGGAGAATTCGGTATCAGGCAACGTTCGTACACCATGCTATCATCGAGTTACCAAATGCTTGAAATAAACAGCCCGCCGACGGTGGGGATGATGCCAAACCTTTCCAGCGAGCCTATTGTATGCCTGAACGAACCCCGCTCGTCCACCAACTTCATCTTCGTCGAGGGATGATCTCAGGTCGACATCCGAGGTGGCCCAAGTAGCACTGAGCTTCAGAGCATTTCCAGTCTCAGAGCTCCTGATCGGGATCTGATTTCTTTTGTTTTCTAGGGACGTTTTGTGATCCGGGCGAAACTGGCTCTTAGTGGACATGAAGGAAAAGTCTCTGTGTACTGGAGGGTTAGGGGAGCATCGCTGCCCTGCCCTTTTCCCGTCATTGGCGCAATAGAGCCAAGACCAGAAGAGGAACCGGTTGGGCTACTTCCAGGAGATTTAGGTGAATTCTTTGTTCCTGTGCAGGCCAAGAAAGAAAGGGGCCGATCTCGATAAGATTAGTATTTCTTTTGCCCTTTCAGAAAGCTAAAGCTATGTAGCTCTCAATTTGGTAGAGATGGAGACAAACCAAGAAGACCTAGCGGGATAGTAGTATTCCTTCTGTTAATATTATCAGTTGCTAAGATTTGCTCAGCTTTATAGGTAGGGGAACCTCAAGTTATAAGTTGTTAGTGTGGCTCTGGAGTTGAACAAAGGTAATGTGGGTTAAGTTTGATGAAGGGAAGTTAAGACGCGATAGAATAAATCAAACAACTCTGATTACCTACACATTCCATGTTGACATGAAGAATAGTAGGGGATAAACAGTCCTTTCTGACTGTAGCTTCCCAATCAGAAACCATGGTAGCGGGCATACTGGAAGGAGCAACTCGACTCGAGGCAATCGGCTTTGGGCTGGAAGGCTCCTGACCGAATGACCACCAGTGGCTACCCAGTCTTACCGTTTTCTTGTTTCTAGCCGTCAACTCGCCATCTCAGGCTGCGCAAGTCAGGCACACATTGCAAATGTGGTTGAGTCGATATATTTCATTTCCTACCATTAAAGTCTATGGACGTAAGCGATCCGGCGGAAACACCTCCTTAACCTCCACCTGGTATTCCCCATACGTTGTAAAGTAAAGCAAAGCCCCTATTTGCGCCATATTGAGTGGGTAAAACAATGCAGCATCATCCGAACCGACTCATCCGTTGGCCTCTAAGCCGCCGCAGAAACGTCTATAAGCACGAGGACCTTTTCTTTTCCTCCGGTGTCCCTGGATTGTTCAACTCTTGTCCGTCCCCGAGGCTATCAGCCCAAACCATGGGTTTACCGAGATCTTCACGATGTCGCATCTCCCTCTTCTCCATGGAGCAGCACGTATTTCAGCACATCTGATAGTGAAATAACACCAACAAGGCGGTTATCATCGTTGACCACGACGATTCTGTGTACGCGAGACTTGCGGATAGTGTCAAATATGGCGTCTAACCTATCGTCTTCGGTGCAAATGTAGATGCCAGGAGAGTCGTCAGAGCGCTTGCACAAGGCCTCACCTAGGGTTGATGACAGGTCTTCGTAGACGCTGCCTCTAATGCAGGGTATTATATCCACAGCTTCGAACGCGTTGAGTAGTCGGTTTTCCTCGTCAACGATTGGTATGCAAGAGATGTTGTTCGCGACCATCATATGGACCGCTTCGAGGACGGTGCTATTCATGCGTGCCGTCGCAAGATTCTTATAGGTCCCAAGGCCTATATCTTTCACAGGCTTCTTTAAAAGGACAGTGTTATGCTCGTTGTTGACAGCGATGAACTTGAGAATTCTGTATTGGGTGATAACACTGACGACCGTTTCCCGACCGGTTTCGTCATCTCGATCAACGAGTGGGATCCTCCGTGCTCTGGTCTTGAGCATTTTCCGGCATGCTTCGTATAGTGGCCGCATCGGGTGACATGATACTGTCTCGAGGGGGTGACGTTTATAGCTTTTCGATTGCTGTAGAAAAAAGGTCAGCCCTTCCTCCACTACCGTAGAAAAACTCCACGCTCAAGCCCGTGTGTGACACAAACCTCTCAAATTGCTTAACCTGAACTGATCGAGCTGAGCAATCTCGTCGGGGAATTGACAGTAATACTGAATAACATTGATATAATCAGTGCTGGTAAGGAGGCCGGCGAACGTGGATGTTTTGGAGTCCCACAACGGCGCGGAGACGATATCTGCGTCGGACCGAGGTCAGCTAAACAAACTAGCACAAGGGGCGGAGGGACTGTAACAGTGTCTCGGCTGCTTAGTGAACGTACTGTTCTGGGTCAGGATGTTCAAGCTCTTCTTGATTAGAAGAGACGTGTCGAGGACGATCAACCGAAACGATAGGGGAAGAACGTCGTAGCTCGTGCGAACCTTCAGGAATTCGCGGATGGACCTCTGCATGTAGGAGGTCAGTTTCTTCCGGTAGGATATCTCTGCGCAAGAAAATCAAATGAACAAATTGTAGAGCCCCTGCCGCAGGCACCTATGGGCAACTCTGGCATAGCATCATCCAACGCCGGCCGATTTCGGCTTAGCCCACGAAGATAATCAGGTCGCAATGAATTCACAGGGGAATGAACACTACGCATTCTACTCGACGGCACGTGTGATCTTGGCTTGAGTTCGAGCTCAAAATCAGAGTATTGGCGAGATAGGGGAGGGGTTCGAAGCGGGGGTGGGGAAGAAGGCGACAGGCGGCTAGAAACGAATGCGCGCAAGAAGGAATCGTGAACCTACCAAACCTTGCATTTGCTCCTTATCGAGCGGACTCATGGGCGGCGGTTTTTCGGCCATTGTGCGACGGGTAGAAGTCGTGGGTTTCCGGCGTAGATAAGACGAAGGTTTTACAAAGGGAAGGCTGTGTCCAGGACCAGGAAGATTCAGCGCCGGAGTTGGGAGTTGCCTCGCACCACTACTATCCAATGCTGATGGGGCTAGAGGCGGCGGTTGTGTAGTGGGGCTAGGATCGGGCTCATCATGTGCGCCTAAGCTTGGTGCTTGGCGGCTGGAAGATTTATCGCGGCTGTTCCGTTCGTGACTCAGAGGCAGATGCGATCGTTGCTGGGGTTGCTTAAGGCTAGTTAGTACCGACGAAACGAAGGTCAGGTGTTTTGTGCGTGGGCTCTCTGGCTCTGGTGGTTGTGACCCAGCAAAGAAGAGAAGCGGGGTGATCAATTTGGTTGTGTCGTTGGCCGCCCACTACAGAAAGAATCGAAGTCCTTCCGCCTTTGATAGTACGGTAGTACACAACAAAGAAGTAGGCACGAGAAAAATAAAATGAATGAAAATAGATATAAAAAAAAAGAGAGAGAGACAGGGATAGACATCAAAAGGCTGAATGGGTTAAAACGAACCGTTATGGGATGAAAGCGACCGTTATCATCTAGGATACAAGGATCAGAATTAGAGGCACCGGTTCTGCTGGTACTAGACATCAGGCCTGTGCTTCCGCCCACAGCCCCTGAGACTGACGGCGCATAGTCGTCGGGGCTGGTATTCGTGCCCATACTGTTCTAATGGCTGTCTCTGTGCCCGTTTGGTGGTGGTATCGTCAGATTGACCCGTTCGAATTTAATGGTGAGGGGTTGTCCTCGGGCTCACTCAATAATACCTGGCGTGACCGTTTGGAGCAACGGTGGGGTTCTAGATTTGGAGGTGGCTCCCCTTCAATCAATCAAATGGATCCGTGTTTGTTCACCCTGGAAGGCCTGAAGAGCCCTGTTGTCTGGCGCGCGGTGCAACTTGAACTGAACGAGAAGCGAAAAAGAAAAGAAGAGCCGCGTATGGGCAAGCTACCAAGTCGATCTATGTCGTCACAACTCGCACGCCTACTCCATCCCCGTAGAAGCCAGGTTACAGAGTAAACTTTTGAAGGAAGACGTGGAAAATCGGATGTTGATTGAAGTGGAAATCCCGAGAAGGGTGAAGAGTATTTGAAAACAGATCGGCACATGCGTCACTTGGGACGAAGAGGGGAAACGTTATATGTAAAAGGGCAGATTGGGGAATCTGGCCAGTCTTCTAATATCCCCGGTCTCCTTGGAATATTTGATCAATGGCTGGGATGGGAATGGATCCCAGTGATCCCAGATACTGCGCAGTATCCTCTTCCCCACCGGACTGGCCTTGGTTATCCTCTTGATCTGCATCAAATGGGGCATTTTTGGAGGGCCTGGCCGTGCTCGCCTGTCCCCCTCTTGGCACCTTCAAGACTTCCGAGGAGCCAGTGGAAAATGATGCATCCACCCTACGCTAGCCGGTCCATGGTTGTAATAACGGAGCGCCGTGTCTAAAAACGGTGCAGATCAGCGGCGCTTCTCTGGCTGAGGCCGGTGGGTTCGAAAGGGCCTCGCTTGACAACGACCACAATGGGGTGACTAGCCTCCCCAGACATATCAATTGATGCTACCCGCGTCTTCACACCACCACACATCCAAGACCGGGTGGGGTGGGTAGTCAATGTATTCAGGGTTCGACTAGTAATATTGGGCGGACTGGGTTGGTCTACCCATCAGGGTCTGGGTAATACTCTTTCAAGGAGAGCGGACAAGGCAGTGCAAGAAGAAACCCAGACAACAGGTTTGACAAGCCTCGTTTACACCTATCATTGATGGAATGGATGCCCCAGGTACAACCAAAGTTGCGCCAAGCTTACTCTATAGAACACATGTAAAACGTCTGGACCCATGCACCATGCTGTGTTGAGTCGGGCGATTTGCTTGTCCACTCCCTACATGCTGGCTTCAAAAGGGTTGTCGAACCTACTGGATGTTCCGTGGGCAAACTATTGCTTCGATGCCCCAAAAGGAGCCCTGTAAGGTGGCAGCCCATGATTTTGGGCGCCTTCGTAGGTTGTAGGAAGTGAATCTGATGATCCACGACAAGAGTCGAGCCTCTTGACGGCCGGCAGAGCAGATGCTAAGCGCTGGAAATAACCAGGCCAGTTATTTATTTACATACATGTACAGTATATGATGCGGAAGACTCAAATGAGGGAACACAGAGCTTCGAGAAGTTCGGTATCGCCATCCAACGCCATGTCTGCGCTTCACTATTCCTTCCCCCAAGGTTCGGTCTCCCTTTCACTGAATAAATGTCGAGATAACGGGAACGACGCGTTCGACCTCGCGCTTAGAACTGAGCTTCCTCCACTGATGGCTGAAGAGAGGTGCAACAGGTCGAGGAAGACGCAACTACACACTTTTATATGCCCGGCCCCGCTTGGTGCTTGACGGTAAAAGGAGGGCCCAATATGGGTCTAGAACTCGATGGATAGTGCCAGAAAGAATCTACGGACGAGGGATGTTGGTTCAGAGTCAAGATGAAGTAGTGCTCTGTGCGATGGCTTGCATCCTGCACCTTGAAGCTTGACACGAACAAGCTCCGGAAACTTGTCCCAAGCACCACTCACCTTTTCTGTGACTTGAGTCCGCTTCATCCAAGAGTGCAAACACTCGTTCTCGAACATCTCTCCTTGTAGAGAAAAAGTGGCTAGAGTACCGGGCACCTCCACAGGCAGGCGCCTTTTTGCTATTACTGATAAGAGACATATCGCAAGCTCGGGGACGAAGAGAGAATATATGCATGCCCCCTGGTTTTTTCTTTCTTATTAAGATAAATAGCAGCTGTAACCAAATCGGTCCATCAATAGAATCGGCGTCTTACGCTTTTTACAGCACGTACTAGACAAGGCCTATGTTTATAATGGATGGGTAGGGCCACGCCTAGCGATCGCCCACAAAAGAGCTCGGCGAGAGCGAGGTGCGTTAAAAAGCCCTCAGCGGGATATTTCTCCTAGGAACCCTTTGCCTTTTAAAGGGCCAACAACATTAATTAATCCTGATAGTTTAAACTTACAGTACATATTTACACATAGAGACGAATATTTATTGAGATAGTTGAAGATATCCATTATATATATATATATCCATTGGATATATCGAAAGATGTATAGACTACCTGAGGGCCACTTGGAGGAGAAGAAGACGCTGGTATCTGACAAGGAAGGTTGAGAGCCTAGGCGCCTGGATGTCAGGTGTGCCTGCATTGAACGATCTCACACCCACACTAAATGTCTTAGGTGCCGGCCGGCTAGACATTGAGGAAAGCTTGATCAAGTAAAATCCGCAACATATGTAGCGATTAATAAGATTGCTGATGAGTGCTGCACTGTCGCATAACCATTGATCCATGGATGGAGCCATAGATCCATTTTCTCGGCTTCTAAGCAGATGACCTGAACGTTGAGAAAATAGGTGGGCTAGCACTAACGGAACTTGGAACTTACCTTACAGCATAGGTTTTGGTGATTGAGCCCACTGGAACACAAGGATGACTACCTCGGTATTAAAAGGGTCAATGTAAAATAGGTAGTGAGTGGAGGGTTCCTCAAACTGGCCAAGGCTGGCGGCGACATTTCGATGATTGCCTGGCTTGCCTGGTCATCAACAAAGCCGCAGGTACCGCCGCACTGTTCTCGGTACCTACATGAAATGGGTGGGATGGCGTACGGCAAAATGAGAGCCCTTTAGCTCGCAGGTTATTCTTGAGAGATGAGAGTCCAGACCGTGCGTTCATGTTGTCACCTGGTCAGCGACGCTTGGGTGGTCTTCAGAATGTGCATGGCCTGGAACAGAGGAGAATCACAGTTCGCACAGCTGGGAGCATCTGCACCCAAGCTGCACCCCCTTGCACTATCTGCCAGGGGACCCCAGTTCTCCTCTGCTGGATCACACATTGACGCCCTCGTGCATGCTCCACACATTCATCTCTGTGCGGCCTTGTGATTGCACACCTGCTCCGGTTGCTATTTTGCCAGGCTCAAGCCACCCCTTCCCAATCCCCCATTTTTCTAAGCTGTGGCTCTGGTTGACATCAGCTTTCCTCACCTCGCCTACCTGCCGCTAATTAAGGCGGCTGATATTCTCCTCACCATCATTCAAACTCCTCCGCAAACATTGTCGAGTATCGAGAGCGAATCTCTTCGTCATCGGCTTCGCTGGGGTCTCTCAACCCAACCCTTGAGCCGACTAAGTAAGGGGTCATCATCGATCAGCTCTAGCAACCCATCGAAGCCTCTGCGTAGCTCTCTCCGTTGGCTCCTTACGGGCGCCTACGGCTATTGTCCACATCGAAGCTCCCACAGCACCGAATTCCCGGCGCCTCTCTCGCTTTTGCTCAATACGAACATTGTCCGGCCCGTCGATGGTTGCCGTCCCTTTGAACCTGGCTTCGAACCACCCCATCCAACTGCCCTAGTCCGCACAGCGATCGGTTGTCGATTCTTGACCTTTTCAACTCTCCGAAGTTTTCGTCGCTGTCTCCATATAATTTTTTTCTTTCGCTTCATCCTTCTCCCCCTTTTTTTCTATCGAAAAACCGTATTTGCGATGGGTGTCTGTAGCTCTACCTGTTGCGGAGGTACGGTTGATTGCTGTCGTAGTCCCTTTTGGGCCGTTCTGGAGCTAATGCCATGAACCATAGACCGGTCTCGCGATGGGCTTTACGAGCCCGTTCTTGCTGAGGTGGAGCAGGAGGCGGTCGCCGACCTCCTTCAGTATCTTGAAAACGTATTCTTTCTCCACCCTTCCTTTTCATTTTGATACCAATTGCGATCTTACTCGAATTTGCGAGACTAATTTGTGGTGTAGCGGGATGAGACCGATTTCTTTTCTGGGGAGCCTCTTCGAGCTTTGAGCACCCTTGTCTACTCCGACAACATCGACCTTCAGCGAAGCGCGAGTCTTACCTTTGCCGAGATCACCGAGCGAGGTAAGCGGGCATCTAGATATATCTAAACTCGTGGTGTTCAAGCTAATCAGCTCCCTTTTAGACGTCCTGGAAGTCGACCGAGATACCCTAGCCCCCATCCTCTTCCTTCTCGATAGCCCCGATATCGAAGTCCAGCGCGCGGCTAGCGCGGCTCTCGGAAACCTTGCCGTCAATCGTACGTGTTTCTTTGTTCGCTACACAACAGGCCCTTGCCACCATTTGCGGTCAATAGAAGCACTAACATATTGTCCGCAGCGGAGAATAAGGTTTTGATCGTTCAGCTTGGTGGCTTAACTCCCCTTATCCGGCAGATGCTATCCCCGAATGTTGAAGTCCAGTGCAATGCTGTAGGGTGCATCACGAATTTAGCTACCCACGAAGCGAACAAGGCGAAGATTGCTCGTTCTGGTGCTCTTGGTCCTCTTACGCGGCTTGCAAAGTCGCGGGACATGAGGGTTCAAAGGAATGCCACGGGAGCCTTGCTGAATATGACCCACTCTGGTAAGAACCTTTGTTCAGGACGGAATTTTGTTCCGTCCCTCCGGGACAAACATCCTAACTTTGTAATTCTGTAGGTGAGAACCGGCAGCAGCTCGTGAGCGCTGGAGCGATTCCTGTCCTCGTCCATCTTTTGACATCATCGGACGTTGACGTGCAATATTATTGCACGACGGCATTGAGCAACATTGCGGTCGACGCGAGCAATCGACAGAAGCTGGCTGCGAGCGAACCGAAACTGGTACAATCTCTCGTCAATCTGATGGATTCGAACTCTCCGAAAGTCCAGTGCCAGGCGGCACTGGCCCTTAGGAACCTTGCGTCAGACGAGAAGTACCAGCTAGATATCGTTCGGTCAAACGGCCTGTTCCCACTTCTAAGACTTCTTCAGTCTTCCTACTTGCCACTTATCCTCTCTGCTGTTGCCTGCATCCGGAATATCTCAATCCACCCCCTGAATGAGTCGCCGATAATCGAGGCCGGATTCCTGAGACCTTTAGTGGATCTTCTTGGATCTACAGACAACGAGGAAATACAGTGCCATGCGATATCAACTTTGAGAAACCTCGCCGCCAGCTCAGACCGCAACAAACGACTTGTGCTCGAAGCTGGCGCGGTGCAAAAGTGCAAACAGCTTGTCCTGGAAGTCCCCTTGAGTGTCCAGTCCGAGATGACGGCAGCGATTGCGGTCCTTGCTCTGAGCGACGAGCTTAAGGTTCATCTTCTCAACCTCGGCGTCTTTGACGTCCTTATCCCGCTTACGCATTCCCCGAGCATTGAAGTCCAAGGTAACAGTGCGGCTGCTCTTGGGAACTTGTCTTCTAAAGGTAGGCCACAGGTGAAAAGATTCATCTCAGCATTCCCCAAGCGTCTTGAGGGTTTCTCCACTTACTAACGTCGGGGGTGTTCTCTGCTAGTGGGTGATTATTCCATATTTATTCGTCATTGGCCAGAGCCAAAGGGTGGAATACACGGCTATCTTAGCCGATTCCTCCAAAGTGGCGACGCAACATTCCAGCATATCGCAATTTGGACGCTACTGCAACTTCTTGAGTCTGAAGATAAGAGCCTCATTGGCCTTGTCGGGAGGTCTGGGGATGTCGTGGATCTCATCATGGCAATCGCCGAACGCACGCCAGAGGGTGACGCCGACTTTGACGAGGACCAGGGCGAAGTGGTGACACTTGCTCAGAGGTGCCTAGAACTTCTCGGTCAGGGGATGCCCAAAGCGCATATTGAGGGTTAGCTGGAGTTTCAGCTAGCTTAACCATATGGCCGTGTGAGACTAATCTGGAAGCATCATCCCCATCCTTTATACCTTCTTAGTTTTCTTTGTTATCTCCGTTTCATTACACCATGGGCTGGGTGTGTGGCCCCAGGCCTTGCCAAGGACAGCCGTCTACCGCGTTTGAGCTTGGAATTCAGGAAGGCCGGCATTTTTGCGAGGTGTTTGTGGCGTTTTCTTTTATTTTCCTTCCTTCTTTCTACCTGTCCGACCCTCTCTATTTCTCTTTCTTTTCTTTTCTTCTTCTACTCTTCTAGTTTTTACTATTTCTACCTCTCCGTCTTTGTCTTTTGTCATACCAATCCAGTTCGGTCTGATAGCAGCTAATCGTGGGCCATCCAGTGGAACAAACGCCCGACCAACAAGGGTTCCGCTGCCCCACTTTGGTGAGTTTCCCTCGTTTACGGGGATATTGAAAGGAGTGGGTGAAATAACGGTGCTACGTAAGTGACGGGAATTGGGCTAGGCGGATGCGGGTGGCGGGGACGAAGTTGAGGAGACAATGAGTTCTACGTCTAGGAGGTTAGTTGTGAGTTGGTCCTATATTTACTGGATGTATCGCCAGAGTATCAAGCGCCTGCCAACCAAGGCTATTTTACCCTTAAATTCTCGGCGGTGCAACGAGGGTATGTTGATACCGGAGTGGGGGATTGAAGTTCAATAGCAGAAGTACGCGGACAGCTGCCCCCTCGCAGCGTTATCCTTAGAACCTCTATAAGTATCCTTGTAATTAGATTCAACCTTCTATCCCATCGGAAATGGTGGCTTCAATCATTGATGTCCTATGCCGTTACGCCAATGATAATACAAGGCTAAGCTGAAATTGTTAGAGTACATAACGTTGGTTTGCCCCGAGTCACCCATTCCTCGGCCGCAAGAGTCTTCCTTAATTCCGGTTCAAGCCAATGGCCCTCTCGCATCCATCTTATAGGCGAGAAAACTAGGTGAGCTTCCGAACGACCACCTGTGTCGCCCCTGCATGAACCTTCTTACTCGACCTTCTTCAAACCGCTTTGGATCCACTTGAAGGGGAACAGCGTAGCGAGGACCTTGCCCTTAACGAGGGCGAGGGGGACTGGCCCAAAATCTCGACTGTCTCTCGACACGGTGAGATTATCACCCACTAGCCAGCAGTGACCCGCGGGGACCTAAGAAGGGGTCAGCTATCCAGCAACGGTGCAGCGACTGTGACGATCCCCCTTGCGCCGACAGGCGGACAAGAATGGTAGAGTGGGTGAGGATAGGAAGCGTTAGCATCTGACCTGAATCATGTCGTCCTTGGGACCAGGAGCGGTGCCGGGAGGGTGAAGAGCGACGTAGTCACCTGGCATGCCTACAACACGCTTGAGGCCACACCAATCGCGCGAAATAGGGATATCATACGTGACGAGGTCTCCGACGCGAACGTCCCGTCCATGGCGGTATCTCATGGACACCAGAACCCATTGTCCCATTACGTCTAAGGTGGGGAGCATGGAGGCACCCTCGGCCGGGGTGAGGGAGAACCCATAGTGAGAAATAACGTGGTAAAGGGCCGTGGCCTTCAGCACGGTGAGTGATAGGCGCGCAGCGCGAATAGGATCGAGGATGGGTCCGGCACGGGCGGCATGATGATTTTCTTCTTCTTAAGGCGGAGGGAGGTGTACGGAAAATGGGTGTTTGAAGGCTACATTGGTAAAGATGCTCTTTTGAGAATCGCCTACGCTGGGTAAGCTGGTGTATTGCGGATTGACAAAAAGGGGAATAGGTTCGTGGGTGGGATCCTAAAATAGGCTATCGCTATCAGGTGAGTGGACCGATCGAGGCCGTCACCAAGGTAAGAAATTCGAGGCACGAATACTTGTGTGGTCCAGATTTTGAGGCTCGTCGTTGTGAGTACGCCGCGAACAACGCTCTCTATTGGCTGGAGCTCAACGTAAGCTCGTTCCCAGGTCCGATCCAGCACCGAAATAATTTCTCCAACTTTGAATTGAGGCGACAGACAACTTTGGCAGGTCATTTCTGGACCCTTCTAGACGTAAAGCATACGATTTTCGCAACCTTCGACGCCCATTCCGTCCTCCATAATTTTCCTTTTGCACTCCACGCGACGGCTCTTTTCCGAAAGACGGCGGCAAGCCATGAAACCGACAGCAAATTGCCATCTGAAAACATGAGTTCCGCACGATGCCTCACGAACCTCAGGTGCACCCTGCCGGGGACCTCCCTAGTGACCCTTCAAAGGCTGGCGCCCACTCCGCCTTCGACATGCTGCCTTACCCCTCAAAAGTACCAACACCTCCCAAAGCATACGCTCCCCACACGATCATCTCAGCAAATCCGGTACCTGGCGTGCACCGCGCCGCAGTCAAGGCAGAGGCTTCGAGCACAAAGAGCCTCCGCGAACCAGCCAAAGCATAGCTCAGGCAAAGACCTGCCCTCGGACCGGTCAATTCCGTACACGTCCATCATGATTGTTGTGGAGGGACAGGGCATCACTGGTCCTCACCGGACGGAGGATGTCCTCAATGGGCTCAATCTCGCGACGCATACACTCCGCCTCGTCTCGGCTAAGCCGCAAGGTCCTCGCGATCAGGTACTGGCCGTGTGCAAGGTCTTCAACCGTGCCGAGGAGGCGGAGAGGAAGGCCAATGAGGAGGCGGTGCGTCTGGAGAAGGAGAAGCTGAACGCGAAGCAAAAATACAAGATTGTGGAGATTGGCTGGGCCATCGCTGACAATGACCTCGCTCTCAAGGCCAAGCGTTTAAAAGAGTTCCTAGAAAGTGGGTACAAGGTCGAGGTCGTGCTCAAGGGCAAGAGGCATGGCAGGAAAGCCACCTCAGAAGAGGCGGAGGACGTCTTAAGGAGGGTGAGAGAGGCATGGGCCGAGGTGCCGGGCGCTAGGGAAGCCAGGACCCCCGACGGCGAAGTTGGGAAGATGATGCGTATGTTTGTCGAGAAGCAAGGGTAGCAACACGAGCTGTTATGCTTTTTGCTCACAGAGGATTAGAGTGCCGCCTCTAGACCCTATATCCTATGTAAAACTTCTCCCACGAGCTACGCTTGGGCTGTATAATAGTAAAACGTGTATGTATACCGACGACTTAGGATCGAATCATGTTGCAACAGCATATAGAACTGAGATCAAATTATCTTTGAACCTTGGGAGGCATTCAAATACCCTACAGACTCTCCCTAGGGTTCCGAGCTTACCCAATACGACACGCTTTGCACATCCTAAAGAGGGCGACCAGCCCTTGATCAGAAAGAGAAGCTAGAGTGGTAGGAGGCATGTGCAGTTGAAGATCACCAAGGCCCTAGAACTCTAAGGGAAGTGTTTGATCATATGCACTGACTGGTCGCTATCTTTATCCAATATATACGTCAGCAATAGAAGAAGACCTTCATCAGTAAGCCTCCAGGCATGACACGCCGCATAATTGCGCAGGGGATTCGGAGATCTTGGGCCTTTGAGACACACTGGATTTGTTGCCTTGAAAGCCAGGCTCCAATAACAGACAACTTGTTAGTCTCCCAGTTCAAGTGGCTGACCCCACGGAGCTAAAAATTGATGTACCCCAATCATTGATCAGGTCTGCCCATATGCACTGATGACTCTTACAAAACGGACTGCGCCCATCAATTTCTCGTCCGTGAGGCGCGAATAACCACATCCCAGTGACAAAGGTAAAAATAAAAACAGAGAAGAGGGAACTGCTCCAAAAGGAAAAGAAAAAGCGAAAACCAAGGAAATTTCGAATAATCCTGTGATCAGTACAACGTCCTGCCAGCTGCTGCAGTAAGCGAATAGATATTTTACCCCACTACCAAACTTCGCTCGCACCACTTCGATAATTGCCCCGCCATCGCATCGATAGGTTATAGAATCTCGAGCCCGCCCGCGTAACAATGGCAACTGAAGGCGGCGACCGCGGGTCCAATGTCGAGGCACCCGCCCCGCAATCTGCCACGAATGCGATCCCAAGCGGCAACCCGCAAACCGCGAAAAACCTGCGGCAGCCAGCCAGCCCGCCAGCGCCACTGCGGCAGGAGAGAAGAAGCTCAGTGGCGCCGAGCTAAAAGCGAAGGCCAAAGCTGAGAAGGCGGCAAGAAGGGCGGCGTCTAAGGTTGTTGCGCCGCCTACCCCGGCGGCCGGCACTGGCGGCGACGCCAAGGGGGCAAGGGCAAGGGAAAGCAGCAGGATGCGCCTCAAGCCCTCGTGGGAAAGGCACAGCGCCAGTCCACTCTCCCCAGGCCCCAAAAGAGAACAAACCCTCTGTTCCGGAATGCTTCAGCCACTTGTCTATGGCGAAGAGGATACCCATGACACAGGCGGATAAGGATGTACACCCCGCTGTCCTTCTTCTCGGTCAGCAAATGAGCTCATTTGTTCTCCGCGATAGCACCAAGAGGCTCGAGGCCACACTATTGGCATTGAAAAGGTATGCCTTGGTGCTTCCAAGTGGCTAAACCTAGCTTTCGTAAGGTGGGGAGGGGTGGGCGAGCCTGCAAGCTAACCATCCTCACTAGGTCATCGACTCGTATACCACACCCGCTGGCAACACTCTCTCCCGCCACTTCACCTCCCACGTCCTTAACCCTCAAATCGAATATCTCACCGAGTGTAGGCCCATGTGCTTCTCAATGGGCAACGCCATACGGTGGCTCAAGCTTCAGATTAGTAAGATCGACGTCGACTCCTCGGATGACGAGGCGAAAAAGCATCTCTGTGAAGATATCGACTGCTTTATCCGCGAAAAGGTCATAATCGCCGCAGGGGTCATCGTGGAAAATGCTGCCGAGGAGATCGAAGACCAAGATGTCATCGTCACCTATGCCAATCACCATCTCATCAGGAAAGCACTGCTCAAGGCTCATAAGTATGGCAAGAATTTCCGTGTTGTCGTAATCAATGACCCCCATGACGGATCAGGCGCCGAAATGGCCAAGGCGCTCCAGGAGGGAGGATTAAACGTGACCTATTGCCCCGATCTTTCCGGGTCCCTGTCAGTAGTTCGGCACTCCACAAAGACCTTGGTCGCTGCTGAAGCCGTATTCAGCAACGGCTCCATCTACGCGAGGGCTGGTACTTGTGATGTCGCGCTCGCAGCTGCTGACTCAGACAGTGAAATGATCGTGCTCTGCGAGTCTATCAACTTCACTGAAAGAATGGCCACGGATTCATTGACGTACAATGAGATCGACCCCGAGTTTGGCGTCGAGACCGGATTTAGGCTTTTGTATGATACCACTACCCCCGTATGTTTCCACCATCCTATCCGAACACGGCGGTATTCGCCCCCATATGGTACCTGGTATCCTAAAGAGGATGGAGTTTTTGTAAGGGGGCTGTTAGCTCTGGGCATGTTACAAGCAAAGATAAATGAAAGAGAAGAAGGAAAATAAAATTCACAAATCGTTCTAGACAATGCAAGGATAGCAAACTAAGACTGTTACTTTTATGCAACTTGCCATCTGCTTCCTCCAAAATCGATCGGGAATGACATGTATGGAATACATCCATGAGGATTGATAGTTCGAGGGATGATGCCAGTAAATGGAAGAACAAAAAGAATTCATTGGTCTGAAAGAGAACTCCAGTCAAATCCGTCGTAGTATTCACAGGTATTGTTTGCATGGCCGTGGCCGACCCAGTCGTCGTGCCTCTATCTGGCCCTTTGCTCAAGCCTCACAAATCCGCTTCCTGCTGGCCTGATTTACGCCTCGGCCTCAGTCTTGTTTGCTTCCGCATCCCTGAGCGCCTTCCTCGCCCTCTTCTCTAGCAGGCTCTGTTTCCTCTCGGCGATCTGGTCGTTCTGTCGGTCCTCCACGCCCTGTAGCCAATAACCGAAACCAGCTCCGCCGGCCATATAGATAGGATAAACCCAAAGGGACTCTTTGTTGAAGAATGGGCGCATTTCGATGCCCATCTGCCACCAGCGGGCGGCGAAGCCTATAGTATGACGTCCCAGGTGTTAGAATTAAATCACTAGTGGCGTGGAGTGAGGGAGAAGCACGGGAGCAGAAGAAACCATACCGAAGCCGCTCCAGAAGAGAACCTTGGCAACCATTTTGTATGCAATTGGATCCGATGCGTGGGTCAGGTTCGAGCGGAATCAATCCTTCGATCAGTAACAGGTCGGATTGGTGGTTCTTCGTCGCAAGCCTAAGGAAGGTGAGGTCTGGTGAGGTTCTGAATCTTGCTCAGACGAGGTTTCTCCAGATTCGGGGGATAATCGGGTGAAATGTGATAGGTCAGGGATCTACCGAATAATTTCCGGCGCGTTCAACGAAATTCCCAGGACGCGATTTCTCTGGAAGAGCCACATGCTTGGCCCCTTGCAGCGAGGTTGAATTCTTTCTGAATTCTTGAAAAGCAGCGTTGAAGGTTCTATAATTGACAAAGTATTCAACCCCAGCTTTCGTTCTGGCCTGAACCGCTGAAAATGGGATACACCTGAATCGTCGTCTCGGTACCACTTTTCAAGAGGCACGATACGCCTTCTCCTCTGGGCTTTTGTCCCCCAAACCGATTCCTAGTCCGGCTGCCTTGAGTCAGTTTTAGGCTCGCGTTGAGTATCTTGAATCGATGGCGGCCACCATGGCGGAGCTTGAACAGACTCCTCGAAGCCCGCCGTCCCTCCTCGAAAATATAAGGCGTCCGAACTTCCTCTCCCTCAGCAACTCGAGCAGCCATCGAATCCCTTGCGAACGGCTTCAAGAAAAAGGGTGACTACGATGCTATACGAAAACAAGTCTGGGATAGCTTTGAAACGAGCGTATGTATATTGATTCCTCCCCTTTTCCCTTTGCCTTGCCCCGGATTTGACTGCGACTCTCCCAAGGCAGCCGTCGTCAATGAATGGCCGATTAATGGTTTTTTCCTTCCCTCAGGGCTACGAAACCCAGGTTACACAGTCTATCTTGGAGGTTGCCGAGCAAGAAATTGAGCGTAACCCGAACCAACTCCTAACTCTCGATCGGGGAAAGGCCGCGGCCTTGATTGATGGCGCGCTTGAGCGGTCAGGCATCTATCAGAAGGCTCAGCAGATGATCGAAAAACTTATAGATACAGGCGCAATCGAGCAGCGCATTCGCGAAATCAGACGAACCGAAATTGGCCACGAAGAAGCCGTGGCCGAGCAACTCCGAGGGTCAAAAACTGATGAAGAATATGTTGCCGAGACGACCGAGAAGCAGCTGGAACGCCAACGGGTGCGAGAAGAACTAAGGGCAAAGGAACTCGCGATCCAGGAAGAGAAGCGCAAAATTGCAAGAGAAGAGCGCAAACAAGCTGAGCGAGAGCGAGAAAAGGAAGAAGTGAAGCGCCGCGAAGAGCGTGACGCCCGTCGACGAGAACGCGAAGAGCGGGAACGGGAAAGGGAACGGGAGCGAGACAGAGAACGAGAACGACGTAGGGAGCGCAGTCGTGATCGGAGCCGCGATCGGAGCCGCGATCGAGATCGGGAGAGGGATAGAGATCGAACCCGAGTGCATGATCGTGCGAAAGATCGAGACTTTCGCGACCGTAGCCGTGATCGAGACCGAGATCGAGACCGAAGTAGAGACCGCTCTCACCGACGCGATAGGGACCGGGACAGAAGTCGTGACCGGAGCCACGATCCAAGTCGCTACCGAGATAAAGATCGCCGGGATCGTGATCGTGATCGTGACCGCAACCGGGATCGTGACCGAGACCGAGGCCGCGATCACGACCGCAACCGTGACGGAGAGCGGGATCGCGACCGGGACAAGGAGAGGCGAAAGAATAAGGAATCCGAGTCAGGCCCGCCGAAGGAGCTCTCCAAAGAGGACCACGAGCGACTGGAACAAGAAGCTCTTGCAGATCTTCTTCGGGAGTCAAAGCATGTGGAACAAAAACAACCTGAGATCGAGATTGACGAAGCTCTCGCGCCACCGCCTCGGAAAGCTAAACCTGCGTCAGCCATTATGCCGATCAAGAGAGACTCTTCAAGGCCGTCAGAGACCAAGAAGAAGCTCGGAGATAGAGCTTCTAGCTCAAATCAAGCAAATGATCGTCGAAGCACTAAGAACGGCGAGCCAGCAGCTTCCTCCCATTGTTGCATCTGCTCACCGTAACGAGGCAACCATGGAGAATGCCTCACCAGCTCCCGTCACAAGAGATCTCGAGAAACCCCGTGATAGCTCACGCGCCCCTGGCCAGGCTCAAGATCGCGAGGCTAAGGACGCCAGCGATGTTAGCTCCCCAATCATCAAGCGAGCAGGAGATAAGGACTGGCGCGACAGGAGCGTTGATCGACCCCAACGGCGTGAACGCAGTCGTTCCAAGGCAAGGCGGAATCGAGAAAGCTCCCGCTCCCGTACGCGCACGGACGATAGACGGGCACGAGAGAGGTCGGTCGCGCGCTCAAACGTGGTAGGCAGGGCTAACTCATTAGCCCGGCGTGAGAGAGGAGACCGCAGCCCCTCACGCGCGAAAGCCGACAAGAGGGAAGGTTCGAGATCCGCGTCAAAGAATAGAGTTCGAAAGCGGGAGAGGACACGCTCTCGATCACGCGTTCATACACGAGATCGTGACAGGAGCCGCACGCCACGGCGACGGGACCGACGCGACAGCGGCCGGTCCAAAGATCGCGACCGCGATCACTACCGTGATCGTTCACGACGCCGAGATCGTACTCGGTCCCGTACACGAGCTTTACGGCACGAATCAAACCGCCGCCGCTCTAGGAGCCGGTCTACTAGGAGAGGTAGCTCCCGCAATCGAGACCGAGACCGCGACCGAGATCAGCATCGGGATCCGGCCTCCCGGGCCAAATCCCCATCGATCAGCACTGCTGTAGCCCCACCTCCCGGGTTGGATAAGGAAGCAAGGGAGGCGTGGAAACAGGAGGAGGTCAAGAAGAGGGAGCGAGAAGCTAAGGCCTATCTTGCAGCCCAACGCGAAGCCAGGGAGAAGGGGCAACCAATTCCCGGGATTAGCGACAAGAAAGCCGGGGCGGAGAGCTCCCCGAGGCGAAGAGACGAATCGCGGGCGAGGAGATCGATCGGTATATGCCGGGTAGTACGCGCGAGCAGCGCAAAGAGCGGGACGAACGGCCAGCGAGGCGACGCAGCCCATCACCAAGTCGTAGCACTAGCCCTCCGCGTGACAAGGGAAGGGATGGAGATAAGTCCAGCCGGTATCGGGATCGATCCCGGAATAGGGATAGGACGAACGACTACCGGACGCGTGAGCGGGATCGAGATCGGGATCGGTCAAGAGACCGGGATAGGTCAAGGTCACGCCTCCGAGATAGGTCGAGGTCCCGCGTCCGAGACAGGAGAGATCGTGATAGAGATCGGGACCGCCGTGACCGTGACCGTGATCGTGACAGGGACCGAAATCGGGATAGGGAGAGAAGTCATGATAGGGATTACCGAAGGAGTCGCAGAGAAAGATCGAGGAGCCGGAGCCGGAGTCGGAGCCGTCGTTGAGGTCACTGCATTTCCACCCACCACCGCTATCTCCGTCGCCCTTGGCAAAGACCAGGCTGTATCATTTTTTGTGTGCCCTAAGATTCCCCTCGGAGTTTTTATGTCTATATTGCCTTCCCAAATAACCATTTCGCCTTTTGTCCCCTGAACCAACAGGTTACAAGGGAGCTACCAACGCGCCTGTTTGATGATACTTTTTGATATTCGTCCGTGGATGTATCAATATCTTCTAAATACATATGTGCCGATTACGCGCCTGCTGGCTCGTAAGGTTGCTACACCCCGATGTCATCTAACCTTCATCGTAGATGTCCGTCCTATCAGTAACGGACCCGCATAATATGCAGAGAGAAAAAGATTGCGTGACAGTCCGGCTTCAGAGTGTGAGCTTGCAGAGAGGCAGGGGAGAAAAGGGTACGATCTGGCCAGGCCATGAAGCTGCCATAATATACACAAGGGCGGAAATAGTCGGCAGTCTTAGTCTTCAGGATGTGTGGGCTTCACTGAAAACGGGAAGGAGGCATTACGCACCCCGATTACATCAATTGATGTAAAACACGTAGCTGCGATGTATCTATTAGGTAGGGTGTGTATTATAGCTATAGAAACTCACGATATTAAGATTATCGGGTCCAAAGCCAAACAAAAGGAAAAAATCAAGTGCACTATCCCGGAATCGAACCGGGGGCTGGTCGAATCTATCGGAGGATGGCAACGACCAAGTTTACCACTAACCCAATAGTGCTTCTTGTTGTAAGACCGAGTTCATATTAGTGTATAAGCATGGCATATCCTTCAAGTCACCTCAATCACACCTAACAATGAGGAGGGTCTGGAAGAAGAGAGAGGAATTCCATTGTTTGCACTGAGCAAAGAAAAAGGGTCAGGTCTGGTCCAAGACTAGATACTTATCCTTAAAGTAGCTTCCTTCCGCCTACATCAGTACTCATACCACTAAGAGGGAAGGGTATTGCCTATGAGTCTTGCTCGACCTGATACCGCCCGCTCATTGTAGCCGCCCGTGAGAGCGCCCCAATTACTAAACATACATAGCTACAACACTCGCTACTAAAGATCCATTGGAGATCGGGACAAGAAATCTATTATGAGTTCGAGATAATATCTTGGAAAGTGCATCAATCAACCGAAAATGAGCCGCCTGCTCTCCGATCTGAGCCCCATGGCCTACCAAGTCCTCGATGTACCCAGGTACCCCGCCGTAACCCCTCCAACACGCGCAAGAACGACCCCGCCAATACGCCCAAGAAGGCCACCTGCCCAGAGCACCTTGACACCACTCCCTCAAGGTTCAAGGTGTGAAGAGCACATCAACCATCCACCCTGGTCCTCCCATTGCTCACTCATTATTTTCACTTCACACCACTCACAGCATATCGAGGGACCCCATCATAGCATCGCGGTCTGACTTTTCAGTTCAGCCTTCAGAGCATTCTTGGAGAGTGGTCGTCATTGATCAACAAGGAAGCTTTGGGTGGAGTCGTAGATCACGCTTTGGAGGCAGACTCTCGTGTTTGTTCCCCACCTGAGCTCAGAGGCGCTGGCACCCTCGCAACCTAGCTCTGCCTGATCACCACCACCGGTTTTTGTCGACCTTTCCCCTCTATTGCACTTTTTGTTATCATCACAGAGATTGGAAGGCCCCCTATACTCACACTCCAGTTGCCCACCATGTCGAGTACAGGCATTCCCCCAAACCCGTCACCTAATATGGTGCTGCAGCTCCTGCAACGGATGACAGACGCTGACCCCGATTTCCGTTTCATGTCCCTAAATGACTTGCTCCAGGTCCTCACCATTGCAAAGCCCGATCTCCTTCATCATGAATACAACATTGGAGCTCGAACAGTTGATGCTCTGACGAAGGCATTGGACGACCAGAACGGTGAAGTCCAGAACCTCGCCGTGAAATGGTACTTATAACGAGATGGCTCAGCCTAATGAGGATCTGTTCGCTAACCTCTTTTATCTTTCACGCACGGTCAGCCTTGGGCCTCTCGTAGGCAAAGTCCATCCCTCCATTGTTGCACCCATGCTCGACAAGTTAGCTTCCTAAAGCTCAAGAATTCGGTCGACAACTCCCTTCCAAGCATGGCTTTGCGTGCTGTCATCATTGCACTGCCACGCCCGACCCCTGGATTGCCCCCTTCGGCCGATGTCGCGAACGCATATAGCGCTGTAAGCCGGGTTGTCATTCCCCGTCTCATGGTCCCCGCCCAACATCAAAAGCTGCAGGCTGAGCAAGCAAAGCACAAACTACCAGCGCCTCCGCCTTGTATGTTTGAGAGCGCTGGCGATGTGACACCCGAGGCTGTTGACGTTTTGATTGAAGTCGCCAGATGCTTCGGTCCCCTGTTGCAGACGTACGAGGCAGAATCCATGGTCGAGTCTCTCCTAGGTTTGCTTGAGACCGAAAAAGGATCATCCGTCACGAGAAAACGGGCCGTGGCCGCAATATCAATTATGGCCCTGTACATCTCCGATGCCGCTCTGCAGGCCCTAATTAACCACATGTCGAACGCCCTTCAAACCCCAAAGGCCTCATCCCTCACGAGGCGCCTATACATTGCCGTCATGGGGGCCATGGCTAGGTGCGTGCCGCGAAGGTTTGGCGAGAACCTCCCGCAACTCGTTCCGTTCATCCTTGGTACCCTAAGCGAGGAAGAGCTAGGTTCTCATATGAGCAAGATCAACGAGGGGAGGACACTGCACCTGATTTCAATGAAGTTCATGAGGCTGCGTTGGTCACACTTGAGTCCTTCCTGTCTGCCTGCCCTCAGGAGATGCGGCCCTACACCGATGACACAATAGATGCATGTCTTCGATTCCTCAAGTATGACCCTAATTACGCCTTCGGGGATGCGGAGGATGACGAAGATATGGAGAGCGACGATGAAAGTGACGATGAGGATGAGGACGACGATCTCGATGACGGCTTTGACGATGATGATGACGATTCCAGCTGGAAGGTGCGTCGTTGCGCGGCGAAAGCGCTATATACGCTCATCTCTACGCGCGCGAGCGGCGATCTCTTGGAGAGTGGGGTGCTATATCAACGGACTGGGCCCACCCTTATCAAGAGGTTTGAAGAGAGAGAAGAGAACGTACGCCTCGAGGTGATTTCCGTCCTCTCGCTCCTCATTCGCAAGACCGGGGAAGGTGTTGTCCCCGTAGATTCTATTGACGACCACGAACACGACCTCCATGGAGCACTCCCAATAAATCGTAAGCGGCGCCGCCAGAGCAGCGTTGGGGGTGGTGCCGTCGCACCGCAGATCGCGATGGCGGGCCTCGGATCACCTATCCAAGAGAAGGCACCAGCAGTCGGGCCGCACGCTGACCTAGCAAAGCTTTCACCATCCATCATCAAGGCCTCCATCAAGCAGCTCAAGGGCAAGGTCATCCCCACGAAACAGGCCATTGTTAGCCTGTTGGACGATATAGTCAACACTCAGCGTGGCGGGCTTGGTGAATTCTTTGCTGGCATCTGGGGTCCTATCATGGACTGTCTCCTTGTCTCAGGAGCTGGAGGCTCTTCATCTCTGGCGCTCTCTGGTGGGAATGCTTCTGCAACCCCCACCACCCTGCGCATTACCACCCTGCGACTCATCAGCGACATTTCCAAGACCCATCCTTCGACCACTCTTCACCCCTACCTTGCTAAGATTGTGACGGGCGTGATCAAGGCTGTCAACGACAAATTTTACAAGATCTCTAGTGAGGCCATTCGGGCGGCGGAGGAACTTGTTAAGACCATCACTCCACCTAGATCCCGCCATACTGCTCAGAAGTTCAAACCTGAGCTTCGGAAACTATTCGACATAATCATGGACCGTGCGAACTCCACAAGCTCAGATGCTGAGGTCCGCCAAAGGGCCCTCCATGCCCTAGGTACCTTGCTCTCCAGAACCTCAAGCGCGGATGGTGCCGCGCTGCTGTCGCTAGATCTACGACAGGCCGCGTTGGGCGTGCTACTGGCCCGCCTGAAGAATGAGACGACGAGATTGGCGTCTGCCAAGGCCATTGAAACAGTTGCGGCGTTCAACACTAGCAGTGCGCCTTTCGAGAAGCAATGGATTCAGGATGTGGCCCTCGAGCTCTCATCGCTCCTGCGCAAGTCCAACCGTGGCCTCCGCGGAGCTAGCACGCAAGCCTTGAAGCACCTAGTCATGTCTCCAGCATGTAAGGGGCAGCTAGAAGCAGACACCGTGAGCAGCCTAGTATCCAGCTTGTTGCCGGTAATTGCTGATAATGATGCGTATCTCATGGGACACGCGCTCATGATACTTGGTGTCCTTGTCACGGAACGCGCTGATCTTGTCCTGTCTCCAGAGCTTACCAAAGTTCTCTGTAGCTTCTTGAAGGATGGGACCCCGAGTGTGGTACTCGACCCTCTCCTATATTTTGTCACGAACGTGGGAGAGAGCCAAAACGGGAAAGACCTTATGCGCGGCCTTTTACAGATCGTGGGTGTCCAAGGCGATGCGACGGTGCTCGGTCAACTTATTGGCACCCTGTTAGTCTCGGGCGGCGATTCGACGGGCGTCTCTATTGAAGCATTTACTAAAGAACTCGAGAACGGCGCAAACGATGATACGAGGGTTAGCCTTGCATTAGCGGTGCTCGGCGAGGCGGGCATGAGGCTTGCATCCCAATCAACCCTTCCGCCAGAGCTTTTCCTCAACCAGTTCCGCACTGAACCTGACCGGGTTTCCCGCGCAGCCGCGGTGGCTCTTGGCCGAGCTGGATCGACTAACATTGGCAAATACCTGCCCGTCATCCTTCCTCTAATGAGTCGAACTGGTAATATGCAGTACCTACTGGTGCAGTCGATCAAGGAGGTGTTGCAGCAACTCCCGTCCCTCACGCCGGACATTGAGGCCTACATAGACACGATCTGGAATAGGCTTTTGGAAGCGTCCCAGCATGCTGATAACAGGATCGCATGTGCTGAGTGCATCGGCAGGCTTGTCATCCTCGACGGTGACAGGTTTATGCCGAGATTACAGGTAAGGCTCTCCTCTGTGGGGTGATCTCTTTGCCCCCCGGGGGTCCTTCACCCTCCGTTATCATTAGCACATCCGGACCACATAGCTAACTCGTCTTTTCCAAACCGCAAGGGCCTTCTCAAGGATCAGTCCTCGGCACTTAGAGGCATGGCCGTACAAGCTGTACGGTACACTCTACCGGAGAGCGGCGAGGATCTCGACAGCATACTCAAGAACGTGCTTGTGGATATGCTATACACCATGTTCCAAGACTCGGACATGGAAATTCGCCGGCTGGCCATGACCACTCTTAATTCTGCCGCCCATAACAAGCCTGATCTCATCCTTCCGCATATTGGTAATCTGATGCCATTTGTCCTCCATGAGTCGGTCATCAAGCCCGAATTAATTCGTGAAGTGATGATGGGGCCATTTAAGCACAAGGTAGATGACGGTTTAGAAGTTCGAAAGGTGAGATTAGCAATCAACCCTCCCAGCCCCCAAAGTTTGGATCCGCCCGCCCGTATCGCACCGCATATTGTTCTTTATCACTGGGAAATGCTAATGTGTCTTTCTTGAAACAGAGTGCGTACGAGACGCTATACGCTCTTATGGAGACGGTATTCTCGCGAATCAACAACATTGACTTCTATGACCGTGTTGTATCTGGACTTCGAGATGAGAATGATATCCGGGCTCTTTGCAATCTCATGGTGGCTAAACTTGCGGTTATGGACCCCGACGAGACGGTGCGAAGGTTGGACTCCATTGCCGAAGCATACCGCGCTATTCTATCGACGAAGCTCAAAGAGGGTGCTGTGAAGCAGGATGTGGAGAAGCATACAGAATCCAACAAGAGTATACTCCGAGTCACACTCTTGCTGCAAGCTAAGCTCAAGGGTACAGGTACAGGTACAGGTGCAGGCGCAAGCCGTGGAGATAACAAGTCTGCACCAGGCCCAACAGCAGCATCAGGAGTCGGGGTAGGCGGGAGTCAGGTTTGGAACGGATACTGGGATTGGGTTGTGAAGGACTTTGCTACTCAATTGAAGGTCCTGCGGGAGGAGAACAGAGAACTCAACCGAGTTTGACATGTACATGGGATCAACCCAGGAAGGAGGGTGTGACCACGAGGGCAAAAGACAAAAAGGAAAGTAAGTGGATATGGGAAGGGAAAGATGGAGACAATTTTCAAGACATTTTGAGTAATATTATCGTTATCGTCGAGTTGGCCACGTGCCCTCGCGGGAAAAGAAGAAGAGAAAAAAGATGAAGAGTGCTATGGTTCCATAAGTTGGCTTGTTCTCTGCCGGCCTCGGCCTCCTCGCCAATGGATCATCACGTATTAGAAGCTCAAATGCTCTTCAAAGCCATCAACTGATGTTCCGAGGAGTTACATGCTCAATAAACGGGGTTAACGCCACATATTTTCATGTCCGGGGCAAGGGGTTCCAGCCACTTCTCTCTCTCTTTGTAGATTATATCAGTTCGTGATTTTGTGTTGGTACTGGCTGGCTCAAAAGACTAATTTTAGAACAGCAGAGTGAATACCTCTGTCCACCATGCCGCCGGCTTTTTGTATGGGTCCTCGGAATGGCCACGAGTGCGGTACTTGGGTACCTTCTCGTTGGTGTTCGGAGGTGCGGCTTCTTAATGTTGCTGGCTGACGAATGTTGGGTTTCTCAGGGGTCAGTCAGTCTTGCTGCCTTCAATCTTTTGGGTAACAACATATTGCCAGCCAGCCGTGCTGGAACCGTAATAGTGCCGGCAGTGGGCTGTTTATGGTTACGGTCTTGAGAAGGGCGCCGGGACGCCACAGCCCCAATGGTATGTACCGAGGTACCTTAGGCTCTTCTATGGAGGCAGGGGTACATTGATCATTGGGATCCACAGAAGCACATGCCTCAAACGCGTAAGCCCTGCGGGGCTGAGCTGGCGTCTCCAAGTCTCCTGCGCTGATCGGAGATATTTAGTTGACTGGCTGTTTTTCAGTCCGAGAAAAGATGTAATACGTGCTGGCTATTTGAGGACAAACAGATTTGAGGGATTCAATGGGATAACCTAGTCTTGGTCCTGGAGGCCATTATCGATCGATTTCCTCCCCTCTTCTTCCCTTCCCCTCCTCATACCATAATCCCCTCTTCATATCCGTCTTGTTGGAAGTGAAGACTTTCCCTGACACAAAAGCGTAACTGGTGGCACTTTCCTTGCGACGCTTAATTCGTTCGTTCCTGCCGATCCTTTTTTGCCCTCGGGACCCTGGAATTTGGCCAAACCAACCACCTCCAACGCCGCCCTCCCGCTGCCCGACTCTCTTCCGTTACTTCTTATTTCTTTTTCAATCGAGTTTGGGCGTCTTCTTTCGAAAAGAGTCTCTTTTTACTTCTTCTTTCCGCCCCGCCTCAGCACGCCGACCTATTATCGCATTAGACAGAGCAGGACAGGAAAGTATAGGGAGGGGAGCATACGCCGTCAATTGCTCCTGCCCCTCTGCCGTTCCACCATCCCGCCCACCACTCCTCCGTTCACGGAGAAGATTGCGCCGCCCAGATAGCTGAACCGATCCCGCGCGCTCTTTTCGAACTGCAAGCATGGCGCCGACAGTCATCCCCGACCTCTCCTCTGCTCTCCACCTCACACGCCGCGCCGCCATCACGGCTGCTCCCCATGTCGCCCGCGCTGTCCTCCTCCGCCGCGGTCTCACCGTCAACGACACGCAAAAGGTGACGCTGGGTGTGATTGGCGCGTATGTGGTTGTGATCGCCCTCCTCTGGAACATCCCCTACATCAAATGGATCCTCTGGCCCTTCAAGATGCTCGTCATCGCGTTCCACGAGTTCGGCCACGCTATTACTGCTTGCTGCACCGGCGGCCGCGTCAAGTCCATTTCCCTCGACCCAAACGAGGGCGGCGTCACCCATATGCTCGGCGGGAAGCAGGCCATCACCTTGCCTGCAGGCTACCTCGGTTCCTCCCTCATAGGCGCCTTGCTCATCTTTTGCGGCTTCAACGTCGTCGCGAGCAAAGTTGCCAGCTTCGTTCTCGGCGCTTGCTTCCTTTTGACCTTGTGGTGGGCAAGGAAGGATTGGCTGACATACTTGACCATTGGCCTCGCTGTCGGACTGTTAGTTGCTTGTTGGTTCATCGCACACGCCCAGGCCTTGAGATTTGTCGTGGTAAGTGCTTTGGTTTGCCAGACCAACCCCAGTACGTATTGACAACTCCGAGGTTGCTGACTCTATATGGTGTATGTATAGCTCTTTATCGGTGTCATGTCTTCGCTATATAGCGTCTGGGACATATGTGACGACCTCATCCTTCGAAAGGTCAACTCCTCCGACGCCAGCCAGTTCGCCAAGCGCTATGGCGGTTCTTCTCAGTGCTGGGGCGTCATTTGGTCCATCATCTCCATCCTTTTATGATTGCCGGTATCATTGCTGGCATCGCCGCCTTTCCTCAGACCTTTGAGGAGCAGGATGAGGCATCCAAGAAATTCATACCCACAATCTAAATGAGTTGGTTGGTGCTGTAGGGTCCTTATGGTAACGAAAACAAAGATTTTCACTGTGAGTGGGATGGATCAGGGACCAGGTTCTGGACAGGACCTTGTTCATGACTGTTATGAGTGCGGTTTTGTTGCTTCCATGTTTTGCTCTCCTTTTTCCCTGCATCTTGTAAAGCCGTTATACCCAGCGTCTTGCCAGAACCGATCAACGATCCGCTGCCTGCGCACAAATATTAATGTATCTCTCTCTGTTCTACTAAATTTATGATTTCACGCTCTATTCTTTCTGTTTGATCCGCCCACTAATATGCTAAGTTCTCCACTTGACATCCTTATCTATTTCTTAGCTGAAAGATGGGCACCTCCCATCTCCATGTCTAAAATCAAACATTTTGAATACCGCAATAGAGTACGAAAACGCTGCGATGAGTACCTACATGTCACATGGCGGTTAATCTCAGAAGCGTCGGACTAGGCATGAATAGGGGAGACGTGGAGTTTAACCTACACAAACGTGCATAATCTGATGGCTCGCCCCAAAGATATCAAAGGTTCCAGGCCACCACTTTTCTGGAAACTAGAAAGTTCATCGTTAGTTTCGAGCAATGTAAATGGAAGAAAAGACCTTTAGAACCCCATTGGTGAGAGAATTAGGGGCTTCCAAAAGTTTTCTCACTGACCCGAACCATGTAGGCGCCCATCCCCAGGGCGTTGAAAAAGGCAGTACCAAAGGTGTACCGCACGCCGAGGCCGGTGGCATCCTCGTGCCAGGCCCGCCAGACAGGGAGGAGAAAGACACCGCCGCCGAAGAGGGCAAAAGGGCGGCGCGGTATCGGCCGAGGTGGGCCTCTCCAAGAGCTGGACTGGCTGTGGCGAATGCGGCCGAGAGGCCGAGGGCGAGGTTCACGGCGTGGTGGGCCGCGCGGTGGGAAGGGGGCTGGCAGGTGGTGTAAGTTGTTAGGGAGAGCGTGGAGCCGATCATGAGGACGAGGACGCCCTGGAAGTCGAGATGGAGCGTGGTCTCGTACAAGGATTCACTGTGGGCCATGAGGGTGTGGAAGCTAGCAAGTGGGAGGGAGGCATGGCAACCGTCAGCTTATCCTGGGGTAGGGTAGCCGCAGGCAGGAGACGACGCACCAAACAGAGAGGACGAAGCAAATGGCCACGCCAATGAACCAGGCAGAGCAAACGACGACGTCCTCCGTGGTCGCGATGGCGTAGCGCGGAGGGATTGCCACCGCGAACATGTAGTAAGGGAGATAGAAGAATATGACGGCACCGATGAGGTGGGACCATATGTTCACTAGAGATGACCGCCATCAGACACAGTGATGGCGCAGAGGGGGCAGCCGTACGAGAAGAAAGATGGAAGAGAGACAGCAGCACGACGGGCAGAAGAGGCATGACACACCGGATTCATTATGGAGATATATCCAGCTCCTCAAGCACTCTCTCATAGATCCGCTAGCCCGTCTAGGGAAAAGTCTCTACACGTTAGCGACCAAGGGTTTGTGTTGTCTGTCTTCAGGCTCCTTGGGGCTAAGAGAGGAGAGGGGAGCCCGCGATCGGGGAAACGAACCGGTATCCGCCTAGGATGTGCTCGCTCCCTCGTCTTGGAACGACAACAAAGGTTAGTCGTGTGTTCCTCTCAATCCCATCTCTCTACTCCTTATGACTTACTGCTGCCACTCCGCTGTCAAATCCAGCACCAGGCCCGGTTAGCTACGTCGCGCTCACATACTTTTTTCCCTTTTTATACCCAGTATCTCCTTCGTTGCTTCTCTGCCTCGGCCACTACCCTTCTCTTCGTCTCCTTCTTCGCACACACCTTGTTCTCCCTCGCTAGCTGAGAAAACCTTAAAGGGGTCTACAAAACGACAGATAGAGTGCCAAGCCGACAGCTGGGGAAGGGAAAGGGGGATTTTAACGTACGCAACTCTTTCCATAGCAGAAGCTTCACGATCCTCATCCCCTCTGCTCCATCGCCTGCCTGGGCCGCCAATGCCTCGGGGCCCTGCATGCGCAGCGTCAAATCGAGCTCGCAAACCTCGGGGCCCGCCTTAGCCGCTGTGCGCCTCGCCCGTAGCTCCAGCGTGTTCTCGCATATCACAACCGTAGGCTCTCGGACTGAACCCATCGTTCTTCCCCTCCCCCATTTTCTCCGGTTGCCCTTCTCCTGCTAGGTCCAACTCTTTTCTCTCTCCGTGGCGGCGCAGCATCCATAAAGGCAGGTAGGCAAGGCACGCGTCAACCCCGCAATTACCTTTGAGTGCCACTTGAAAAAGAAATAGACAAGATCTCTTGCAGTCCTTACATAAAAAACTCAAGCTAGACGCGTGGCGAAGGAAGGGGTTTGGGGTGGCTTGCGGGAGTGAAAGGAACAGAGATCAAGCAGAAGGAAAGAAACTTCTGTAATCGATAGGCTTGAAACACCACCTCCGCGCTCGGATATCCTCTCCTACCGCCAGGACAGAAATAACCCGCGACATATATGCGGGCATACTATATATCCATATGGATGTATAATATATATATAATTGATATGCTGAATCTTGTCAAAAAAATGAATCAAATGTAGAAAGAAAAATGGAGCACAAGATAGATGCGATGGGCCCAGCCTCTCCTATCTAGCCCTCGTACCGCCGCTCCCACGTCTCTACCCGTCAAGCTGGTTGCTGTTACTACAAATTTCCCAAGCCTCGGGCTTACATCGTTGAATGGTGGCAACCAAAGACATGTCAGGGGAGGTCACAAAAGATCGCAAGGGGGAGAATCAAGAAGCGAACATGCGTTATGTGCAGATTCGGCATTGTACAATGATATACTCTCTAAAAAGGCCAAATTCCGAACCACCAAAACCAAACTGAACAGCTTTCCTCCCCTTGCTCCACCTCCCGGCGCAAATGAAACATGGTATCATGGAGAAGGAAAATGCCAGAAGTCAGTAGCAGCAATGAAAGGAGGGTGGGAATCAAAAGATCCGATAACGAACAGATGAAACGGCAAAAGGTATGACGGAAGGAGAGGAAATAAGAGTAAGAAAGAACAAAAGAAAACAAAAACAAGAAGAAGCCCAATTGAAACTCCATAAGGGTGGCCAGGCCCCCTTAGTATATACTGTAGAAAAGTCGGCCGTCAAAGAGAAAGGAAACAACGAGGCTCGGAAAGACCAAAGACGCTATATACAAGATGTGGTTCTTCCCGGTCTCGTTTGTCTCATGCACCAAAAATGGGGGAAAAAGGGGGAGGGGAAACTGTCAATCGCCGGTCTTAGCTCTCCCTTCCATCCTCAGGTAAGCTACCCTGCCTGCTCAAGGGCATAAACGACGTGGGCCTCGCGTACTCGTCGTGAGATCGCCGGGGCCACCTCTGCGCCGATGTGTCAGCCCTACGCTCCTGGAAACTGTGTCTCTTGTCCTGGAAGCTGGGCCGTCTGTCTTGGAAGCTCGAGCGCATTTCCTGGAAGCTTGACCGCTGTTCGCTGCCTCCGGCGTTGGGAACCGCGAGGTTGTCAGCCGTGTTCCGCACTTCTTGCATCTCTAAACCGCCATCTACCGGGCTACCACCATCGGCCGCCTCGGTTGCGTCCAGGTCTCCCCTCTCGGCGTCAACCCTCCGACGCATCTCTTCAATCTTGCCCTCCTTCTCAACGCGTTGCATAATGTCCCAGTCGCCGGGCCAGTACACCCTGCGGACAGCAGAAACGACCAGCTCAATGACGATGAGGGTGAGCAGCACGAGCAACACGATGGCCCACCAGCTTAAGGTGCGGCCAAAGTTGTGCATAAACGCCCCGGGCACCTGATAGATGTTAAGACCGTCGGGATAGATGGCACCGAGGAGCAAATTCCACATGAACCAGCCAGTCACCGAGAGGAAGAGTCCTGCAAATGTGACAATATTCTTGGTGTGCATCTCGAGAACCCTGCGAAAAGGAAGTTAGCAAAATGGTGGCTAGAGTAGAGGTACTGAAATAGGAAAGGGCCTCAAACAAAAGGAAAGAGAGGGAAGGGAGATGGGGAAAAAATGCCCAAAGTATAAACGTACAGGAGCTTGACATTGATAAAGACGACCCCAACTGTGAAACTAGCATGGCCCATGGCGAACAGAGAAGTGTCCGAGGTGAAGAGCATATACCTGTATGCGGCCCACACCATGTAGAACAGCACACAGGATTCGACGGCGCCGAGGACGGCCCAAATGATAAAATTCGTATAGTTGAACCCTTTGCACCGCTGCCCAAAATTGTAGAGTTCGGGGAAGGCCAGCAGCGTCTTGGCGCTAAGGTCTTGGTCGAGGATACCGAGAATGATGACGGGGATTGAGGTGAACACGCCGTTGAAGACAGTCAAACTCCAATTTTCATAGAGCGATGTGCCGGTGTAGCCCGTGAAAAGCTGATAGTGGGCCTGGGCCATGAAGAAGAAGATCTCCTTCCAAAACGTGGCGAGGACGTACTTGCTAGTCCGGATATAGTTCCAGCGGCCGTGAACGAAAAGGAGACGCTGAAGGAATCGGAATTGGGCAATCGAATAGTCGGCGATACGGGCGGCCTGAAGACCTTCTCGGCCCGAGATGCCGATACCGACGTGCGAGGCAAGGATCATGCCAATATCGTTAGCGCCATCACCGATGGCAAGCGTCATCGTCTTGGGCATCCGGTGGCGAATCTTTTTGACGAGCTGCGCCTTTTGCGAAGGCGAGGCTCGGCAGCAGATGACGGAATCAACGCGAACGACGAGATCATAGAAGAGGGCGCTCAAAGTCTTATCGTCATCTATATCCGAGAGGGTCTGACCATCCACGACAACGACCGAATGAGGGACCATGCCGCGGCCGACTTCGGTGAGTGTTGATGTGAGCGTGTCAAAGAGGTTGGACAGGTTGGCGTCGAGAATGTAGATCTCGGAGAAGGGCTTGCACACTCTGGCCGAATGTCCGATGTTGATGGCTGTTTCCCTCTTATCCCCTGTAAGCATCCATACCTTGATGTTGGCCCGCCTGAGTTTGTCAATCGTCTCAGGCACTCCCTCTTGTAGCTTGTCTTCAATAGCCGTCGCCCCTGCGAGATCAAACTTTTGTTCAATCACTTCGCCAGCCGCTTCGATCCTCTGCTGTCTGTCCACCAGACTCGTCGTCGCTTCGTGGTACATCTTCTTCCACGTGCGGTAGTCATCTTCTTCTACGTACCGGTAGGCGAAGAGCAGGGTTCGAAGTCCCTCTGTGGCAAAATCATCCGTATGTTGGAAGCAACGCTCAAAGATGGTTCCCTCGTTAACGGCCACGGACTCGTCTACTAGGTTCTCCATCGCCTCGTAGGTCGAGAGTGTCAGGCTAGGTCGGGGGTAAAATACCCTTCCGCCTTGGACGTTGCGGTGGGGCTCGCCACCAGCTCGCCCATGGACTTGCGCGGAGCGCGGATATCGTGGCTCTCACGGCCGACGTCCGTCGACTTACGCCTAAAATCGAGTGAAGCGCGAGCAGCCGAACCGAGTCTAGCAAGGGCCGGGCGGGCACCCGACATCGAGGAGCGACTGAGGGCCATGCTGTTGCGTGGGGTCCCGTGCAAGCTGCGCCGGCGGATGATGCTCTCCTGCTCTTCGCTGCGCCGCCTGTTAGCCTGAATCTCGACCTCACGTGCCTTTTGAATGGCAAGGCCACTGAGCTTCAAGCGTGGGAGCAGGGCACTGTCGGCGCCCTTACAAAGCACGCAGATGCGACCATCGGGCATCCGAATAATGATGGACATGCGTTTCCTCTTGCTGGTGAACTCGATGACATCGAGCACCTCAAATTGTTCCACCGTGATATGACCGGTAGTGGGGTCGGTGTACCTGAGCTTGATGCTGTTGGCTGGTCGGTCGATCATCTCGTATCCCAAGTCACGAGCCGCCTCAACGAGGGCAAGCTCATCGGGCGACGCGGCCTGGTAAGAAATCTCACCGCTTTCCGTAAGCTCGGGCAGGCAAGTGTTGCAGAGAGCGATGCAGATGATGAAGTGCCTTGCCTTTCTCGAGAATGACGTATTGGGCCGTTCACGGAGGTAGCGCAGTAGATCCTCCGTCTTCCCTTCCGCCCCGGGGCGGCCGCTCGTGCCGTCGTACTAGAAAAAGGCATACCGCCTATTCCGGAAGGTGCAAACCTACCAGCAACGGGCGATATAGGCGAGCCAAAATCGGAAAGGGCCATGCTTTCACGCGGGCCGGCGGGGCCGGCGACATCGGTCGTGCCATCATCTTCGTCCTCATCATCAACGGCCTTTCCAGCCGAGGCTCCGGACGTGCCCGACTGCTTCAACTCCTTCTTCTTGTGCTTCTTCCTCTTTTTGCGCAGTCGCTCTGATTCCTCGATCTTGCGTTGTTTTTCGGCCTCGTCGCGCATGACATCCATATCGTGGAGCCAAGCGGTACCAGCGACGGACAATTTGCGGAACCGCATCACATTTTCCGTAAGTGTACCAGTTTTATCGGAGAAGACGTAGTTGACCTGGCCAAGGTTCTCGAGGATGGTCATAGTGTTGGCCACCATTGGAGTGTTGGTGACAGGGTCGTACATCTCAATGTCGCCGAGAAAGTAGAGCTGACCGAGCTTGATGATCTCAAGACTAATATATAGGGAGAGGGGGATAAGGGTGTTGAACATGAGGAGGAAGGCGATAAAAATGTTCTTGAAGGACAAACTCGCTTCCATAAGGTACCAAAGCTGTTTCTCGAAACCGCCGGACCTCCAGCGGTAGTAACCAATAGTCAAACCGATGCTGATCATGACGACAAAGAAGACAAGGAAGAGGACAATCTTGTTGATAATGCTCTGGATGGCAGGGGCCTTGGCCCGGACATTTTTGTGAGCGTTCATGCGGATTTTGCACTCTTCACCAGAGTTGACGACGAGGCCAATCATTTCGGTCGTGTTTCGCACGGTCGATCCTCGGTACAAGATGTTGTTCGACGTTAAAGGAAGGGTCTCGCCATTGACGGTAATTCGGCCGTCGTAGTTGTAGAGGTCGAGGTTTGGATCTTCTGACACAACCTGCGCTCGGCACTGTCGTAAGGCATCGACCGTAGAACAAAGGCCTGCCACGAGGGGGCAACTTTGCTTGCTCTTGAGGTTTGTTTCACCATCCAAGGCCATGGTCTCGATATAGGCAATGCAATTAGGACCAGAGGCGTGGAGCAGCACTAAGTCCGCAGGCACATTGTCGTCACGGTTGAGGCGCACAATGTCGCCAACAACGATATCTTGCCACTCGACGCGCATCCAACTGCCATCCGCATCCTCCCGATGAGCGGAATCGTCGACGTCTGTGCTTACTTTGCCATTGTTCTTTCGGTCCCTGAGACGGTCTATGAGGGTCTGCGATCGCCTAGACCCGGATGCGTCTTTAGCGCCACGCAGCACCCATGCGGTGCTGCAATTCTCGGCTTTGTCGAGGGCATACCGCCGATAGTCATCCCAACCTTCCTTTGCCATACTGAAGGACACAAAGATGGCGAGAGGCACAATAGTGGTGTATTTTCCAGTTGTGCTCAGGCCGGGTATCATCTGCATGATACCCATAACCAGGAAGTAAAAGTTGGCTAGTCTGCTAAACTGGAAGATGAGCTGTTTCGGCAAAAGTCCCACACAGTATATCGGCTCGACCTTATAAAGTTGCTGACGTGGGGCTTCGCAGATCTCTCATCAATTATGTCCTGAGGGCAATGGTTCGCGGCATCAAGCCGAATGTGCCGGCCGTCGGGGCTGGCTGGTAAAGGCTTTTGGCGAAGTAGACCCTCTATTATATACCTGCGATACATCACAGCTGTGCGGTGTTTCACGGTGTAGCACGTTTCGTGTATCCGCGAGGGGCGCAAGACGCCCAGTTTAGTGGTAAAGGTGTAGTCGGACATGGTAGCGGCGCTCGGGGTGGGTGCGACGGGGAAGGCGGGAGCGTCGTCGTTCAAGGAGAGCTTTTCAGGGCTTTTGACGGGAGTGGAAGGTTCTTGTCGGACCCGTGAGGGGGACCTCGAGGTCGGCTGGTGATGGGAGAAACGCACATGTTGGCGTTCGTTGTCGCCACGCAGGTTATTCGCAGATGTAGAACGGTTTAAAGGCACGCTGCTGGAGCCTGAGGTGGATGAGGAAGGGTCGAACTGGTATCGAGGCGCTGGGCCAGGGCTGGCGGTGGGAGCATAGTATGAGCCGGCTGGGTGATCGAGGGAGCGAGTCGATCGCGATTGAGCGGGATCATTATTCGGGACTCGTAGCTGTGAGGAGTCGCGAGGCGGATCCCCGCTCCGGCGTGAGGCCATGAGGCTAAGAGATATGCACCATTCACGCCGTCAAAGATTGAGGAACTGCTTCAGAAAGGATAGGCTAGGTTGTGTAGGTGTTTCGCGGATCCCGTTTCGTTTCAACTGGTAAGGGGCGGCCGGGAGGGAAAAAAAGAAAGAAAGCGAAGAGGTGTGACGTGCACCCGTCTTCGGAGACTTCGGGACTCGAAAATGGGGTGCACAAGAAAGATGAGAGAAATATAACTCAAGACCAAAAAAGGAAAAATAAAAGAGAGAGGGGCACAACGAGTGAACCGTTCAGCTGGGCAGGAATTCACAGCAAATTGAATGTTTTCTCCCACTTAGAGAATGGAGGTCGAAGAAAAATGAAAGCAAAGTCCAAGATTGTTGATTTGACGACAGAGGGGAGAAGTCTCGTGTAGCATGAGCGGAAGGTGATTGGCGAATACCACGCTGGATATTCTCTTGGAACAAGTAATCAATGTCTGTGATCAATGTAAGGCACTTGGCGGGAACGTGTTTGGACACCACAGTGAAGACACAACAAATTGGGGGAAGGGAATTGATTGATCAATGTGCTTGGGGAGAGGAGCGGCGCGGACTCGGGAGAGGCCCACCAATTATTGGGACTAAATTGCATGGGCCAAGGTTGAGTTACGACTTTGTGAGCCAGGGTGTGGGTAATAGCGCTGCAGGTTGTTCGTACTTGTCGATCAAGCACGACTATACGTACATGGATGTATTATGCGTATGCGTCAACGTGTGCATGTGCGTGTACGAGTGTGCGAGTGGTGTGGATTTTTAAGTGCAAGTGTGAAACAACGGTGGTGGCGAGGAAGGTCCGATGAACAAGAATGCCGGCCGGTGCTATCCACTATAAACTGTTAATTCTACAGAGTCATCGTTTAATACATCTGGGCCCGAAAGCACCCCAAAGCCGAAGGGTCTCATCAATTGATCAAGCCCAATACGAGTCTCGACTGCGTATCTCCTCGAACCTAGGCCTCACCGAAGCTACAAGACGCCTCTCCCTCTCTCTAACGCCTCAAAGCACTAGAGGAGTACCAGCCATAGACTTATATTTTGATGGGGGCCATACTTAGACCTGCTAAAGGAGGCCTGTTCAGTCTCGGAAACACTGAAGTCTCTGGTAGACGATCTCTGTGAAATATCATGCGGGCCACGAGAACAGATCTATTGCGCTCTTTTTCCCGGTCTGACTTCCGAGTAATACACCTTGGGGCCAAAGCTCGAGCACCAGTGTAGAAACGCTGGTTGAGTTCAAGTACTTGCAGCGACAAGAGAGGCTCCACTCCAGTCTGGTGTTTTCTTCGGAGTACCGAGGTACCGGTTCGTGCGCGAATGCTTGGCTGGGCGCCGGATGAGAATCACCAAGGCCTTCACTGCCGCATCCATCTCAAATCAACCTTCAATCGAGTTGAACGTTGAGGAAGTGGCCGAGTTCACACTCCCCTTTTACGAGAAGGGATCGATCCGAGGATAGTGCAAAATTAGGTCGTGGCATAGAAGGGTCTACTGACCAGACTGTACCTCTTCTCCTCATCATATAGCGATCCATCCATCTTAGATTACAAGGCCAAACACCTCCATACAGTGCAATTTCCATACTGCGCCAGCGCTACAAACCCAAGCCAAGACTAAGTGGATAATGGAGGGCAGAACTTCCGAATCAACTGTTAGAGCGATGGATAGACGAAAAATGCTCGATCCCGCTATCGTCTACCAATTGAGAATGATAATAATAATAATAGATTGGACCCCTTTTGGAATGGCACGTGGAACAGCTTCATTTTGGAGTGGGTTATTAACCCAACTTCAAGTTCGCCGAACGAAGAGATCCTCCCTTCCGTCAAGGCTTGTGCTAACAATGTGGAGGGCCTTCTTGCCACATCTTGTCCCCATTCTTCTCCCACTACCCCTTGCTTTGAACTTCTTCCAATCGCGCGCGGCTTGGCAGAATCGACGTGGGGGAGCCACGCCAGCCAGGATGGGGTACACCATACTGAGAGGAGAATAGGCCTTGATTTCGGCGGCTTCGAGGGTACAATAGATGTAAAATTCTCGGATCTCCAAGCAATATGGTTCTACCACAGTTGTCACAGAGCCAAGTTGCACCAGAGACGACAGTCGTTGCTCCGGGGTTCAGTCTCGTCGCCTAGCGGTCTGGTCCGCATTGTCTCTCGGAGCTTCAGAGCACCATCAATGGGTCGGCCAATTGGTGCGTCAACTTTGCGCAGTGTCGCATCAAAAAGCCTGACAAAGTTTCCGGCTCCTCCGCACCTAGGAAACTGCGCCGCGAATGGCCTGACAGGCACTCCCGCTCGCAGCAGGGTACTTGGACAAGGACTCCGCCCAAGAGGATCTCTGCAGGAATCCTTAAGGCCCGGGCCATGCAACCGTTTTTCCTGCATCGATCGATGCTCTCGATGGATAGAATATTAGTATTAGATACACCCCAAAAGGGCCGAGTCCCCTCGCTCAATAGGCCCATGTGATCGAAATCCCCTAACCAACAGCGAAATGACTGAGCTGCGTGGGCTTGTCTATCAAGTCTATCAACCTCAAAGAGAAGGAGGGGGAAAAAGGGAAGAAGATAGAAACCTCAAAAATATCTTCCATGGAATGGATCAATGGACCCATCTACCGAGGGAGCGAGTGACTAAACTCATTGTGCCTTGTTAAACGTTCAAAGTGGGTGACAAGAAAAGGGACCGCAAGACTCTTCGTCCACTCGTAGAACAGGCTTCTCGCCACCTTATCCTCTCTATCCATTAATATCACTTACTCCAGTTCCAAGGAACCCCCTCCCACCCCGATTATAGCGGGCATCGCTTGCTTTGCAGTTCCTTCCATTTTTCAACCACTTTCGACGTTCAAGTCGCCATAGGATGTGCCGGATCAAGAACGGCAATGGCAAGATTCCGCCGTCTTTATTCATTCTACCTCGGTAGCGAGCGGCACTTTGCTTCCAGCTGGAGTGCGGATGGTCTAAGCTTGCGCAACACATCCATTGGCAAGCCTTAAGTGCTAGGAATTCGTTTCTCATCACTGACGGATGCAATACAGGCATACAGGCGGTACTGCCATCTCGGGGACGGCCCAAGCTCCCAGTCTCGGACTCCGGATTTTCCAACCCGGTGAGCATCGTGGACTTGACGCAGAAGAGTCATTCCAGTTGATACAGAGTACTAGATACACATTCAAGTACCCTAATCAACCAATGTCGAGATGAATCTTTCTTGTAGTATCGCAGGTCGCACCCAGCATATGACATAGAAAGCTCCATATTACCAACAAATGGATCCAGTGATAGATGCCTTTCAAACAATGGCGATAAATCTCAACCGCTTCATATAAGTAGTAGTTCAATATTTTTCTCCCGCAAGGGACGCCCTCCTACCTTCAAACCAAGGGAAATAGGGGAGCAGTAACTAGCTGGCTCCAATAGGCCCAATTTCATTGCGAGTAGTCTCCATCCCCAGCTCTTTATCCCGCACGCTAATCCCCAACAAGTTGAATCACATCCACGGTGGCTGGAATCAGTTCGATATGGTCTAGTTGCTGGCGCCATTTCCCTTTGAAAGTTCATCAACGACAGCCAGCCCGCAAGTTTAGCTCATTCATGTGCAAAATTGATCTATGGACGCATGCTCAAATAATGCTGAACTCAAATCGCCCCCTTCCCTAGTTGACGTTTTTGACGCCCGTCCAATGGATCAGCGAGAATGAGCCCAAAAAGATACTTAGAAAGAAGAAAAAGGAAGAATAAAGGTATTGAGGCAAAGAAAGAAACCCCTCCCCCGCTCTCTTCCCCCAACCTGCCAACCACCATTTCTGATTCTCCACGCACTGCATGCGCCGCCACCTTTCTCTCTTGCCTGCCCAAGCCTCCCCTCCATGCTTCTTATTCCGGATGCATCCACCATTCAGCGCCGCTCCGGCCCAGCCCATCCAGCGGTGCGACGTACTCTGCAGTCAGTGCGATGAGGGGCAGAACACATCCATAGATCCAGTGTCCTTGGCCCGATCCCGGGCTTTGGAGGCGCGGGCGCCTGCCCGTATATCCATGCCATGTCTCCTCATGTTAGGGTGCATGTTCCGACCGCCGTAAGGCCGAGTGATGTGTCCAGGCTAGGAAGGGGCTTGGCTATCTCCACAAGCCTCAAAGGCATCACGACTAGGCGACTCTTATCACACTTGAACGGATTATTGCAGAGACTTCAAGGGAACCAATATAGATATATATATATTCAATGAGAAGAAATAGTGCACTGCCATGTAGAGGAAGTTATCGCGGCAAATCACATGACTCTGGCTGCTGTTTGAAGAATGAGGGGGCAAGACGGGGATTTCATGATCCTACCAGTTGACAATCCAGGTAATATCATACATCACAATTACGTCGTCTTCTCTCCGCCACTTACTTCGAGCCACTTACTTTGAAAACCGGATTTCCCCTCCTTCAAGCGCACATCCCTGCCCGCCGTGGACCTGGCTTGGCTTGGCTTGGTATAAATAATATTCTCGACCCAACTCCTCAAGGCTCGAGGCCTCTTCAGGAGAGAGGGTGAGGAAAAGAAAAACGCCCAGTTCACACAAGACAGCCGAAGGAAATAGTGTTTGTCGCACGCGCCCTTCGTGAATAACTGCGAAGGGAGGAAAGCATGCTTAGACTTGTCAGTCTACCCAGCGCTATAGATGTGAATTGAGGGACATACCCAGCCCTACATGTAATATCCAAGGCAGAAGAGATCAAGGGACACAAGAGATGTACGATGTTAATATTAGGTTGGGAACCCTGCATCACTCGGTACGAGTATCGAGAGAAGTAGTTCCCGTTATTCTGATAATACTGAAAATGCGCGCTAGGCAGGTGAGAATAGCATTATGCCCTGCGCGTGTACGTAAACAGGTTTTGCGGACTGGTTCTTCTCCCCGAGTTCATTGTCAGTCGCGACTTTTCCAAACTCTGTCCTCCGGAGACAAGATCCGTCCACCAAAAGACGAAGACAAAACAAGACGCCCAGATGCGTCTTCGGTCGCCCCAACGACAGTCCGAATGGAACGTGCTCGATTAAGCAGCCCCACTGCTAGCCGCCACCCTGGCAGAAGCCACGAGTTTCGAATCGCGTAAACCAGATGCGACTCAAGACAGGTGCGGGAGAGCAAGAGGGGAGGAAAAAGATGGGATACAAGGAAAGGATAGGGGAAGGTCGCAGGTCCAAAGAAAAGGAGGGTTGATAAGCTCTAGGTATAATATCAAGGCCGCCATGAACGCCAGGTATAATGAGTCAAACATCAAACAAAGGAAACAAAAAAATAGAACCCAACAACCGTCGTTTTCGACGGCAAGAGAAAAAAGGGTAAGATAGGAGGGGGAAAAGGAAAGAAAAAAAGATAGCAAGAAATAAAGCAGCGAAATAATAAAGCGAGACGACATGGAAAAGGTGGCGAAAATTTGGATATCAAAATAACTCGTTTCGTCGTCGTAGATTACTGTTTCGAAGCCCCTTTCCCAGTCTGAGTGCGCCCTTCCAACATCTCTATCCCAAGAATGTATTCATGTGCGCATGGGTGAGGTTCCACTAGGGACTGTCTCCTCTCCCAGATACATGCGCCAGCAGCGCCACGCCGTTTACTGAGCAGCCTGAGGCGTCGCCTGCGCCATCCCTTGCGGGCCCCCAAGGCCGTGGGACATGGTCTCGGGTGACAAACTAGAGTGTTCAGCTGCATCGAACTGAACAAGCTGGTTCATGTCAACCTCGGCCTGGTGCTGGTCAACAAAGGCCGGGGAGTGGTGGTTATGCATGGGAAGGTTGATGCTGTGCTTCGAGTACATTTCGTTCAAGCTCGTGCCATCGTCAGACACGGCACATGAATCGTTCATCTGATGATGATAGGCGGCATCTGCGGAGGCAGGCCGACCCATCATGGACAGAGGAGGTGACTGTTCGACGATTGAGGGCTCAGTAGGGCCATTGAACGAAAGGGGCGACACCGAGGTGGGAGGGACGAGACTCGAGGGGTTGACCATGGGAGAGAGGAAAGTGCTGCTATACGGGGTGCTGACGGGCAGAGGAGTCGGCTCGGGGCCTTGATTCGCGAAGAAGTTGGGGCTCGAAAATTCGGAGGGTGAGGCCGTTGTGGCAGACATAGGATACTGGCGCATGTCAAGTCCAAAACCAGCCTGTGTGTCGATTCGGAGATTAGGCCCAATATTGTTGGGCTGTTGGGGGATGGGTGCAAAGATATTAGGGCTTGCCGGTTGAGGCGCAGCCTCACCAGGCTGCTGAATGTAGAAAGAGGGCATGGGATTCTGGAATAGAGAGAAGTCGACAGGCATAGGTACGGAGCGACTTCGCTGGCGCTTGTGGCCTGGTCCGCGCATTCCAGGTTGGAGCGTGTTGATGCCCCAAGATTCCTGGAACATGCCAACATGAGGTTGGGCAAAGTTGGGCTGAGACGAAGGGCGGGCGGTGGGCGAAACAGGCGCGGAAACAGACAAAGTGTGAGTCTCGAACATTGGAGGCCCTGCCTGATGAAGATGGCGATTCATAAACGACTCGAGAGAGACAAGCTTCGCGAGTTGACCACTAAGCACCTTGGGGCTGCCCCCGAGTCTATGAACCAGGCATCGGGAAGCCTGAAGATCCTCGGTGAAGTCGTTCACCTGATAGAAACCCTGGGCATTCGTACTCGAATCCATGAAGAAATGGGGCGGCCGGTTGAGCTCGATGACGATGCCGCCGGGTTTCGAGAGGTCGCCTTCGTTATTCTCGAGGTATATGCTCTTGATGTAGGCGAATGGGTACTCGATCTTGTACCCAGCCTGCTCATTGTTAATGTAGTACGTCATGGTGCACTTGTCCGGCGAGTAGAAAACGATTAGGTCCATCATGTTTTGCCCGACGCGCGTCCAGCTACCGATGCTCAGTGCACGACACGTAAGGTGCTGGATGACTGCACGTTTTGGTTCAAGTTAGCCATTGACAGCCATTCACTTCCGACTTGGAAAGGGGCTAATAACTTACGAACTTTGCCCTGGCCAGTGGGATCACCGCCAAGGATCATCCCCCTCCGTAAGGGAAAAGGCCGGCACGGCCGAGCAAGCTGCCGCCAAGTCCCTTCCCAGATTCCATGGCCTGCATGGCAAGGTATTGGCGCATAGATTCCGGGATGGAATCTAGATCCTCGCCATTCTCCAGGTGTTTCTTCGCCATGAGCTTAATCTTAGCGCGCCTACTCACGGGTCTGTTAGTACTCCTTTCTCACGAGGTTTGCTGCCTGGGGAGATAGAGCCGTCTTGGCCTTTGATTGTCTGCCAAACCTACCTATTCTGGAACCAGATTTGAACCGAACGTTGCGTCATGTTGATCTCGTCGGCTATCCGATCTCGAACATCAGCGGTGGGTGTGGGGTTCTTGCTGAATTCGAGCTCCAAGGTCGCGAGTTGGTCTTGAGTCGCCCTCTGCCTCTTCTGATTCTTCTGCTGCTGGGTCAAGGTGCTCTTTCGAGGTGGCCTCCGTGACGGGGTCTGTCCATTAGTGGGCGTGAGGCTGGTCATGGAGCCGTCATCCGTCAACTGCTCGGTCTTCACAGGAGTGACCGAGGATCCAGGAGAAGCCGAAGGCGTCGGGGCACCAGGCGTCCCGGCCATGGCACTGAGTGACGACGCTTCCAATTGCGTGACCATGGCTGATACTTCACAGGGTATAGTCGGTTGAAAGTGATCGTTGAAGGGTTCCTCTTTCCTCTTAGATCGTGTCTTTTCCCGTCCCTTCCTTTTGATCGGCGTACGAGAAGTGGCTTCGAGCCTTAGAGCGAGTACTTGTCGATATTTTCGGCCGAAGAAACGGTGGGAGAGCCTTATTAAATCGTAGAAACCGTTTGGTCAAAGATTAGTTCGCGGCGTTTGGTGAGATCGTCTGGAGTGTCGCAAGACTAATGAGTGATAAGGGGAAATATGAATGAGTGACTTGATAGTAAAAATGGTTGGTTAAATGAGTGTCGTCCTGATCCAAGGATTGGAAGAGGAGGGTGTTTGGAATTGGGGCGTTAGGTTGTTGATTCTAAATCGTTAAAAACATGTATGGCGTCCGAGATTGGAGCAAGAGCTGGGATGGTCAGAAGCCTGTAATGAATGTAATGGGACCCGGAAGGAGTGAACGGGTGCTCCGAAGTGGCAGTGACGATGGTCTGAATGAGTGACAGGAAGAGAAAAAGAAAAGAAAAAGAAAAGAAAGACTGGGGGAAGAGGAGGGTGAAAAGGCGAAGTAGCTGGCCTCTACGATAGATGGGGAAGATGAGGATAGGAAAGAGAAGAGGAGGTAAGAGAAAGGGGAGGAAGTGGGTGGATGACCCTGGTAGTAATACTATCACTCAGGGTGTGGGAGACGGTCCTTGGGGGCAAAGAGCAGAAAAGAAAAGGAAAAAGTGTTGTATCGATTGGTTCGACGTGGTCTGCAGCGTGGTGCAAGGACACCGCTCTTCTGGGTCGAGCGAACCAGACGAGTGAGTGGCCAGGGACCCAGTCGTCCAATCCTCAACCCACAACCACACGCCCCCTTCCCGCCCCTTTCAAGCCCTGATCAGCAAACCAAAGTAGACCAAGAGGGGCGTCAGCTCTTCTGAAGGGCGGTCGGCCGGTTCCTGCTTGGCTTGTCACTCCACTGGACGGTTCCTGGTCTCCTCTGCAGGTCCTGTGGGTAGCGGACCAGTAAAATCCCCGACCCACTCTTTTTCCTGCGTACCCTTCTCTGGAGCGGGGCCCTGGACAGGGAAGGTGGGTCCCGGTAGTTCCTGAGTAAGGACAGCCACTCCTTTCGCGTTGTGAAGAGGGAGGGGACAAGTCTCTGGCTACAGACATCAGGCTTCCTTTGAGTTCCACGGATGTACCCTTCCCTGGTTCACCATCCCCTTTGAATGGCGATACCTGGTGCCTGGATGGCCGAAGTACTCCGTGTAAATACACTCGGGTACTTCCTGATCCTAGGCGGAACTGTGATCTGGTTGGCTGAGGCCGAATGTGCACATTGCGCATTCCATCCCTCGCATCGAGGTGTCGAGAGAAGGGTGGATGCTCACAGGAGGACGTCTTACACCAAGTCTTGGAAAGACAGCTCCGGTTCTCACCTCCACCAGAGCTAAGAACGACACTCCTTGATTGACAAATGGAAATGCTCCGCCGCGATCGACAGGAGAGATTTCCTTCCTCACCTTTCGTCCCATTCTAGGAGAAGTTGGTTGGCCAAGCTTTACCTCGCACTTCATGAGATGGTAATTGTTTATCCACACATGTCTAAGTGTCGGCAAAGACGAGTATAGATGGAGAAGAAGCGCGCTTCAAAGGCTCACATATGTGAGAATAAATGGGTGACATGGCAATAATTTTCTTTAGGGAGGAGTGTGCATCCACAACCTTCTTCCTCTGTTGCCGAGGAGAAGGGAGGGAAGAAGATCTCATCGCGACACCAGGTACCCAAGACCTTCACGATCAGTTCTGGGGCTGGGCAGCGAAAAGGGCCTTGCAGCGGCAAGACACTTTGTTGGTGGTGGGCAAGTACCAAGTGAGGTACCTAGACTTAAGCCTCTTTTTACACACCACCAGAACGAAACAAAAGAAAAAGGTAAAGGGGGAAAAAAGAAGAAGAAAAGAAAAAGAAAAAGAAAAAGAAAAAAAGAAAAAAAGGGGGGCGCAAGTCGACATATCCTTGAAAGCATGGACAAAGCTGCAGAGCATAAGCGTATCGGCGCGACGGCCTCACGGGAAGGCTTGGAGAGGGTGGTTGCATTGTTTTTATCGGTCCGCCCAAGGAACCAGCTCAGATTCACTTGGGTCTCCTGACAACAAATTCACACACGAACCCCTCAATCAGCAAGAGTTAATGTGTCCCAACATCCCGAACTCCACGAGTCGATAGTCCTCCAAAACTCACACTGGTCTGAAATCCAAGAAAACGGCTATTGATAACATTTAATGCCATTACGGGCACGGAAATATCCGGTGCATACTAGAGCACGTAATTACCAGGCTTCGAGAGACCTGTCAATGCTTGCAATGTGAGACTGGCTTGAGGGGAAGAAAAGGAACCACTCCCACGGCGTTCAAGTAAGCGGACGAGACGAGTGGGTCAACAAGAAAATGCTGATTTGCCTCAGGTCGAAGCTTCACCAAGGTACCAAGGAACTAGCTGCCATGAATCCCTCACAGAGCCATGATATCGACAGTGCATTTAGTCTAGCTTCATAGTTCATGTGAGCTCAAGGATATGGGGCGGGTGGCTCTGAGCTTCGAAGAAAGTTAACAAACAAGGTGCAGCATTCCGCCTGTACCTGTGGAAGGTGGGCAGGACGTTTCGGGGTTGTGAATTCTTTCTTTGTGATCGTGATCGGAAACATAATAACCCCACCAACCCGAAAGGAGAAGGACGGGATTGCAGGGAGAGAAGTGGCGCTCGCCTAGCGTTGACTTCCCCTAACGAATGCTCCACCTCTGACGAGCAGCAAGCAGGCGGAGAAACTGGGTGGAGAGGGTGCATGTGGAGTGTGAACTTCACAGTGCCGACAAAACATCAATCCATCCATGGATGGAATCCCTGGATCCCATCTTGCCCATGAATATCCCTGGCGTGAGGACCTTCCATCATGAGAGCGGTCGAGTAGAGACCAGATCAGCTCCACGCTTGTAACCGAGACTCCCAAAGGATTATTTTGCCTGCCTTTCAAAGGGGCCGCCACCGCATCTCTGAGCCTCAAAGTTGGGTGGGAGTTTGACGCACCTAACGCCTTGTTGACACGAAGCAACGTTGGCCGCATAAGTTGGAAGCAAGTCCAGGGCGTCTCGCACCAGTTGCCTAGCTAGGGGACGACGGCGCACCCTCCAGTCCGAAGAAGGATCATCCCCCCTCCAAAAGATTCAGAAAATAGTACCGTTGCACGGCCACGAGACTGAGTGGGCTGAAAATAAAGCCATTCACTCGACCCATCCATGATCCATGATCCATCCATTCAGCCCAATCCTAGAACAGGTACCGAGGTCGACTTGAGCCATCCGGGGTGAGCAGGGCGTCACATAGCCCACAAATCAACTCTTCTTCAATGAAGAGAGACCGTCAGAAAGCCTCGGAAGCTAAAGATCAAGAGCCTCAACGGGTTCAATGGCAGGTAGATCATTACAGCTGCGAGGGGAAGGGTATGAATCCTCACGACAAACCCAGAGATGCCTTGTGCGCCCCTGAATGGGCGAGCGCGCGTCGCCAATCGATCTATCGAAATCTGAATGTTGAGGGTATCTAGAGCAAGCACCATGTCAATTGAAACCGATCCATGAATAGAACCGGTTAAGCTCAGTAGTCCCCACACGCCGCTCCTCACACTAGCCTAGGATAGCCCATACTCGACAGCGCCCTAACTCAGGACAAGATCTTCATAGCAGTTGTGTGAAGGACAGTGCATTTTCAACCCACCTGCACCATCTCAGGGGTAAAACACCACGGGTGTCTTGGCACGCTGACTGTCCCTTGTAGCGTCAGCGCCATCAATGCAGCCGGCCGGAGGCGAGGAAAACTTTCCATTGAACCAAAAGAGAACTCGCCTTCCCGTTCGCTTTCAGTTCCGTGCGCCTGCCTTCGGGGTTGGTGACGCGATAGGCTGTGTGCACGGGAGGGGGTGTGGCACGGTCAATTCGTATTGATGGGAAAGTCTTGCGATCCATACGAGTGAAAAGAGCAGCATGAGGGGTTTTTCTTTGTTTTCTTTTCTTTTTCTTTTTCTTTTTAAAAAATCTTCCTTTGGCAAACTCTCGTAGCTTTGGCGTTTAGCCAATGGCGGTCTCACAGAGGAGCGCGAAAATTCCGTTAGCGAGAAAGGCAACAAAACTCGAATAGTTTTGACCGCACGTCTTGGTATGCATACCCCCAATTGAAAACGATGATGATGGTATGAAAATGAAAAGAAGAAGAAGAAGAAAAGATGTGGATAACTTGGAGTAATATTGTGTGTTCCCTCTAGAGACGACAAATGAATGGGTTTCCTGCACAAAATCATCGTAGAAGGCCGGATGAAGATGCTGACTGGTTAATCATGGACACGACGCGTCAAGGCCCGGCCGGTCGTCTCTTGGTAAAATGGTATGACAGAGAGGGGCGGAGGCTGTGAGATCCCCGAACGTGCATGCATTCCGTGTTGGCTTGGAAGGCATGCAGGTGCACGACCCTGCGCTAGACAGCAGTGAAGAGTGTGCGCGCCAAACACAAGAAAGTCAACAAAAGTACACACCACCAGGCACTCTCTATCTTAGCCCCCGCGCCCTCTAGTGTAAGACAAGAAAGAGCAGCCGAGACAGGCCCCACGAAGCGCCTCAAGAAGGCAGAAACCGGCTGTCACTCCCTAGCAAGCGCAAGTTGACAGACAGAAGTAGTCTCGCCCGCCGTTCGCATGAGAAACTTGGGGTTGGGATGCGATTCACAGGTTGGACTGTTGTCATGAGGAGTCGGATTCCTTCCCAGTCGCGGCGACTTGGGACACCACCCACCACCTCTTCTCCCGACTCCGAACAAGAACACACGATATAAGAATAAGGCTTGTATTGATTTGCAACCCACCTCAGCGTTGACCTCCAACTTTTCTATCTAATACCTCACCTTTGTACCGAGGTATAGAAAGAGAAAGAACAAAAGCGTGTACCGAGGTACG